CTTACCTTCACGTCTTGCAGTGTCACAGAATCCACTTATTTTGCACCGCGACCGTAGCAGGGTTTGAATAGGTTCGACAAAGCCTTCGCGCAGCAGACGGCAGAGGCGGTGCGGTACAAAGCAGAGGGATGAAAAAAGGGGCAGACTATTCGGTTCTGGAATGCTCCAACGTTGTTGCTATGGTATGGTAACCTGCGCCTGCTCGCGTATGCCACGTGGTAGCGGGAGGAAAGACGATGGGAGGGGCGCACCGAGTACCAGACTTGGGAAGTGATCCGTTACAAGTTACAACTAACGGGTTACTTGTATGCACCTCGAACAAAGAAAGGCGTCCTTCCTTTTGATTCCGCCCATTCGAAGGTTGTGAAAAGGGACATAGCCAGTTCGTGCCTCGGGGCTTCCCTCAGAAAGTCATGTTGGCACAGTGCGCAAGGCAGCTTTGAGGGGCAGATAGGGCGCCTGCAGAAGGCTGGTTTTCCGCTGAGATATTTGGTTCAGGTGGCAGAAAGCTTAATAAAAAGGATTAAAGGTAATCAGAAATCAAACAGCGATAGACCGACTTCGGGGCCTGTTGTCATTTCAAATATGCACAATGTCATAGACAATCTAAAAAAGGTGGTCCAGCGCTACGATGTTCCGGTAGTTTTTTCATCGATTTAATTCCTTTAGCCCAGACGTAAAGCTCTTGTGAATAGTGAACGGGGCTTGAACATATCAGGACCAACCTGTTATCGATGACGAAGGGACCACCGGTCATTTATTAATTTATTAGATTCTACAACATGGCAACTCAATAAGAACTAAAAATATATTCTTGGATGCCCATCCATTTACTGCCAGAACACGAGGAAATATGCAAGCGAGGAAGCTTGTGAACAACGTTTCAAGTCTTTGAATAAAATCTCGTTCAAAGATCCCATCGGCAAACTACACTTCCTTTATGACATTTTAGTTTCCCCGATGAACAGTCTGGCTTTTCATAATACTTAAAATATGGAGAGAGAGAAAGCTAGATAACACCGAAATTAGTGTGCAAGCATAGAAGCTACACAGCTGCGAGAAAACCCATCATTTCACTTTTGATAACAGGAAGTCATAAAAGCTCAAGATTTATAACAGAGAACCAAGCTGAGAAGTACCAATACCACAAATAGAAAGTCCACAAATGCAGATCCCCGATTATAATTTGTTTCCAGGTGCCTGGTATCACAAACTTTTTTGGTGAGATTTTTTCAAGAAAATAAATGTAGCTATTTATTTAAATATTTTTCTTCAATAAGTTTCTCCTTCATCACCTCAACTTAAAACTAGTTAAGAGAATTGACATAAATAAATAGGGCTCTTCCTGTTTTATTTGAGAATTAAAAACAAATGATGTTAGAATGTTGTTGGTTATCTTTGCCTGGGTATGGTATTTATCAGGTCAACTTTAGTTTTGCCTTGAAATCTCTCTAGGCGTACCTGTAACAGACGAGTTGAGGGTGAATCCTATATCAAGCTGAATTTCGGAGGGCAAAGGTTGCTTAGGAGTGACTGGTACAAAGATTGCCTCAATAGAATCCGGCTCCGAGTCCCGGAAGGGGTCAGAGGTGACTGCTTCCTTCGTCCCACAAAATGGAAAGCCGTGATCGATGTAATTTTTTCGGTAAGACGAAGACACCGATAAAGAAATCCAGAGCTGGCAAAATAGTGACGCTCGCTACGAACTTTCGGAAAGAACAACAACTGTACTTTTGCGATTGTGGACTGAGCGGTCTCCGACGCGCCTTTCCCTGGTGTCAAACGGTGAGTCAGTAAATTATGGCCCAAGCGTCAGTTGCGTTGACGACTTGGTGCAAACATGGTTTCGTGTAAACGCAAATGCCCCACCCCTGACTGCCCTGACCCCCCCTCCCCCTTCTCCCCCCAACCTGCTCAGGTCATGTTCACCGTCGCTCATGGCTTGCTCTTCAGTGAATCGTCTCGAAAACACGTGTTTTATTACCCAGGCTAGAGAGCCTAATCGTCGAGGCCAAAACCCGTCTTTTGATAAATCAGCTATACTGCACCCGGTGTGGCTTTTGCGAATTTGCAAAAGAAACCTGAACCCCCGCGCCCTCAGCACATGGGGTGCGGAGTTGGAGGAAACACCGAAGAAATTGCCGTTAAAATGTCACGTAGAGTTAGGCTAGCAAAGTTGGAAAAACGGGGTGCGCGTTTGGTATTTGCCCCGTGAAAATAGTTATCCTTATTTTCTTTTCCCCTTGTCACTTTTTCCAACCACCCTATGATGTCCGCACGGCCCCCGGCAAATGCCGCACACGACGATATTGAGGGAATATTTCCACGGACAAATGAATGCGGATGCAAGAGTGCACAAAAATGAAAGGGCCCGAAGGGAAGTTGAGAACTAGTTTTTCGGGACGTTTCACCAACTTTCTACTCGGGGTTGGAGTCTGGACTTCCTCACCGAGTGCTCATTGCGGAAGACTAGGTGTTCTCAGAAACAGGTGTGTCTTCAGTGAGGTTTGGAGGTGGGGGGTCGCAGAGGCAAAAGTAGGGCTTAGTTGCCTTTTTTTTTTTTAATTGTTTCTTCGACGGAATGCGGGGCAAGACATCTCCCTTTTTTTTATGTTTCGATAGTTACTCCCGATTTTATTTTTAAATTGTTTGCGGTTGTTTTTTCGCTTGTCAACGAACCAATGGTCACCTTGCTTGCTCGGGGGGGGGGGGGGCACTCTGGTTTGGAGGTGGCAACTGCCCCTTTTGCACCCCTCTGCCGACGCCTATGGTGGGCCAGACGGGCAGGTGCGTAAATGATCGCACTAGGGAGGCTCAAGTGAGGGTGGGTGCAACTCCTAGATTGGGGATCACGGGACATGGACGCCATTTAATTGCTAAATTTTGCTGGGAGTCTATGGGGCAAAGGGTCGTTTTCTTTCCTAACTCAGGTCATAGAGGCCCATTAAGGTGCTTCAATAATTTATACAAGGTATAAATGATTACTTTTCCATAGCCACTAGTTTTGTTGCGATAGGTTAAGTATTTTTTTAACGCGAAAAGTGGTAAATTCCGCCATCTTGGACGTTGCTGCTTGTCTGGCAACCCTTTCTCCATTGGACCTTTTTCCAGTAAGGAGTGCCTCACGGCGGTTTTGCCGCGTACTACAAATGGAGGGCAACCGAACTCGCCTTCTCCCGTAGGAACAGATTAGCGTCGCAACAGAACAGTGCCCCCCAAGAATGGCGAAAGGGCGGTCAAGGGAAAGGGTGTGCGCGTGCGCAGACGCTTACTGGAAAAAGGTCCAATGGACCTTTTTCCAGTAAGCGTCTCGGAGCGAGAAGGAAGCGAGAGAGGCTGCGCCAAGGCGTTGGTTGCTTTTAATGGGAGGAGAGAGGAGGAAAGGAGCATGGAGCAACAGGGTTGCAACAGAGCGGGCGCCTGCTTTCGTGCAGGCAACATTGGCGCATATCCTTTCTCGAATCCTCTCCCTCAGGCGCCGCCATTCAATCGCAAACGCTCTCCAGGTTTTGAGTTGCGCCCACCCTCACTAGAGCCTCCCTGGATCGCACCCGTGAGCATGCTGCCTCTACAAAAATGACGCCTTCGGGGCATCTTGCAATTCATTGTAACAGATGCTCGTCCACCCCAGCCTTCAATGACACTAAGAATTTGCCTAGATAGAAAGCTAAAGTGTCGCGAGAATTACATGAGGCATTTGAAATTAGAACCAGGGAGAAGAAATGTATAAGTGACACGTTACATGCTCAAGACTAAGGAGTTTGAATTTTTGAAATGTGGGCTGAGCAGATAGATGAATTTTCAACAAACTTCAGTTGAGAGTGCACCTTGTCCTGTTCCCCTTCGTCCGATTCGCTGTGTTTTTTCGTTTGCAATAAACCAACTGGCCCAAATCTCCACTTTATTGCATAGGTCACGAAACATCAATTTTTTCCGCTGAATTTAGCAGGGAAACTGAATTGGTGCATAGGTCACGTGACATATTTTTCCGCTAAATTTAGCGGGGAGGATTTGTCTAAATCTTGTTGTCAGCTCAAGTGACATTAATTTTCCCGGCGAATTTATTGAGGAAGCTTTTCGTTTATCCAGTGACAAAACTTAATCTCGGCATTCTTAACACAATGCATTCATTATGAAACCAGAAATGCTCGGAAACCTCTGCCGTTTTACAGAATAAATGCAGCCTCTTTTTAACGGATGTAGAATTTGATGGATATTTCATGGCATGGTCCCGGCAGGCAGATGTTCTGTTGTCAGTCCAGGCCTAGTGCCACTTGGACCGCCAACCTAGTGCTGCATGAATCGCAGGTGGTCCGCACTTGTTACCCAATGTTCCTGTTGCCATACTCACTCTGTTCATTCTAGATTCATAAATTGTATTTCTACGCTAACCTTGAAATATATTTATCTTTATGCATTTTGCAATTTAGTACATTAAATACAGCACAATCCACTCTCCAAAGTTTTTTATGCAGTTTTGTGGATGCCGTGCTACATCATAGATTTGTAAAATAAGATTAGAAGAAAGGCGACTCTACCTCATGCCTTCACAGCTGCTTCACCCTTGGATATGCAGCAAGCAGAGGAAACAACAAAAGCGTAAATATAACGTCTACAAAATGTATCCTACAATGCACTCCATATGCATTCATTAAAAAAACATACTTGTACGCAGAACTCGCGGTCTTCCTCAAATCTATAATAATGCATGGGATTACGCATACTCGCATGTACAGGGTGCGGCCGTAAAGACGGGAACATTTGGCACACCCTGCAAAATTCAAATTCCAAACGTACATACCTAAAACTGGGCACGCGAACGTCATTTTGCAAAATGCTTTAGGTATATTTTTGAGAGTGCAACTTGGAGCTGTTCAAATTTAACAAAACAAAGCAAAAATGGCAGCCTTGCACGCTTATCGGTACTTGCGAACACCGAAGTCTGGTCTGTCGCAAGGTTTTTTTAAAGTGACAAATACCAGACGCTCCAGACCACAAAATATTGGTAGACAGATCTGCAAAAATTTATCGACCAAACAGAATGAGCGAAAGAACAATGCCGAATTGAGTTTGAATGTTTCATGAAGGGCGAGAGAAAATGTTTTTAATGCATTGAGGAGCAGTAGGCTTACTCGGCTCGCGAAATATTTGGCAGAGGAAGCGAATAAAAACTGTATGGAGAACCAACGTCGCTTTGAAACTTCTGATATTGCAACACTGAAGTTTTGAAATTGTTATTTCATAAAATTGTTACAAAGCAACTTCAGTAGCGCAAACTGTCTTCACAGTGGATGCTAAAGATGTTGGCTCAAGACCACGTAACATGCTCAAGACTAAGGCGTCAGACTTCTGTGATGAGGGTAGTATCCAAAAAATTGTGCCACGATATGACAAATACTTTACCATTGAAAAGAATTACGTCGAAGCTTAAGGTGTGTAGAAATAATTGAAAATTGAGCATTTCACGAACATTGTGACCTTACTTTCCTTTCGCAAAGCATTGCCTACTTTCCGGATGCTGCTTGTGACTGGCAAAAGTACACAGATTTTCTCTTGTATCATATATAGTACTCAAGGGTCACCAAACATTTTAAATGCCCTGAAGAGACAGTACTCGACACAATACGGTAAATTATCTCACTTGCTCTCCAACATGCAACATCAAGCTTTTGCTGCAGTATGCCCCGTAACCATTCTATGGGTGGCTTGGCTCCTCTGCACGAGAAAATCCAGGTTTATCTCCACATCAGCACCACCTACTGGGGGTCGTAATAGTCTATGTGGTCGCCCGACGTAAACTTCTGGTCTTCGAGAATGCCGATGAGCCGACCGACTGTCTTCTCTGGTGTCAGTAGTCGACCCTCTTTGATCGTACCTGAAAGGAAAGGGTAGCTCTTTAATAGTCAATAAAAATATCCTGCGCCAACACCGTCCAGATGTAAACTGCATGCAGTAGTACAAGTGGGTGCAGGGTGTAGCTTATCAAAGAATTCATTCAATGTTTGATTTTGCTTGTGTCCAAGCGATCAGCTGGCAGGCACAAAACAAACTGCAAAAATCGGTACAAAAACAAGCTTGAAGCTTGTGGGAACCACGTGTTTCCTGCATCTCTATCTAGGCCTAGCTCAGGCAGGCCGTGGGACGTTGCCATGAGGGGGTGCATCCCGGATGCGAAAGCAAAGCCACATTCATTTGTGAACGGCTTTCCCTCGCCCTTCTCGGGTGATTTGCCTAAAGCACACCCCACGGGATCATGACTTGGATGCGTCCACCCCTCCGGGGAGCTCACCTACATCCAACCCACCCCGGGCGCATCCATTCTTGCAGGCTATATAAGACGGCCCTAATCCAACGGGCGCGACTCTCGTTGGGGGAGGCTCTGCTCGACGGAGCCTTCCTATCCCTATCTGATCCTCCCCCTCCATGATACTGTCAGTAGCGGCAGCGCGGACTCTGACTGGCGATCCTGTCAAAAGAGAGAGCGCCGTCATCTCCAACATTGTTGGCACTCGGGCAAGCGTGTGGCATCTAAGTCAAATAAACACGTCTTTATCCGGACCTAAGGAACCTTCTGTGTTCCTAAGTGGTACCCCCAAAGGGGAAACCCACAAGCTTCTTGTGAGAATGACATGAGAGATAATAGGACCAGACCATGAGAATAACTGAACTAGTTGTTCCTACCACTGGAATACATAAGCCCAAAGGGAACCTGTGTGATGTGCAATACACAGATGCCTATCTTCGCTTTTCTAATAAACCAATTTTTCTCTCTCAAGAGGGTGCCTTCAGCAGGATGAATTACCACAAAGTACAATTCGCAAAAAAGTATCCAGAAAGATGCACCACCCCCGAAAGACAACCCTCCCCTATTCTTGGCATCACAATTTTTTTTTAAAAACACCAAAAGATAAATTAATATAGTAATTGCAGGGCCCTGGCAAGTGATAACCTTGGCAGAGATGGCCACGGCAAGAGATGAGCAAACAATGGTGACTGGGAAGGACAGTCCTTGGTTCGTCACCCCTCCCAGCAATCACAAGTTTCGCAGGTCAAAAAATCTAATTAACTGAAGAATGTGTTGGTAACATTGACTGGCAACAGAAATGTTTGTCGTCCCTTGTCCCAAATTTGTTTTATCCTTTCTGTTGCCAGACAAAATCTAAAACTAGCATTTTTTCAACTTTTTTTTTATAGCTCACCAAAAGTCAGTTGACTTCTTATTTTCACCTGATTTGCTTTCGATTTTAGGCAGGCTATCTCTTGGGATATTACGGTACCAGGGATGGGCAAAATACATGCAAATATGTATTGAAATACAAATACAAAATACTTTGTCAAAAATGTATTTAATTACAAATCTAATTACATTTCCAAAAAAGCATTTAAATACAAGATACAAATACAACCAAATGTATCTGGTCTCCTCCAAATACTTTTCCGAATACATTCCTCAAAATTTGCGTCAGCGACTTTAGGGCGCCTGCAACGGGTTTCTGGGTATCTAATTTTGCATCGCACACTCGGGAGTCAGTGTGCGAGACTCTAGTAACGTAATAGAAATATAATCACAAAAAATATAATCAGCTTGGACGTAATAGGTGAAAAAAGTACAGAGCTTCAAGCCGCTTTTTTTGTCGATTACATTTCGGTATAGCTAGAGAATGTTTCATTGTTGCAACTCGCACCAGTTACAAAAATCTCGACGACCCGCGCATTTAGAATGTTCCAGGCAAAAATATGAATGGAAATCAGGCTGGAAAGCATCACAAGTTGTCACAGGCACTTATTTAGCCAGTCTGCCTGTGAACGTCGATTTCGTCACTATTCTTGCCTTGGACTAGCACCGCAATCACAAAGTCACTAAACGCTTGTGCTTGATTGAAAGACACTGCATTCGGTGCAGAACATAGTTTTCTTCCTGCTCTGTACAGTGAAAATAAATTTGAGGGACGTATTTTCGCCCACAAAATTGTATTTAATTACAATTGTATTTGAAATACCCATGTTTTAGTATTTAAATACACACGTCAAATACATTACCCAATTCGTAATCAAATACAAATGCAAAATACACAAAGTATTTGAAATACTGCCCATCCCTGTACGGTACTATATTTTTTCCACCAAAAGCGCATGAAAAAAGGTGATAAAAAATTTGCCCGATTCCTATACTACTGTGTCAAATGCATCAGTAACGCAGAATGCATTGTGTGCTGCTTCGCAGTGACGTTGCACAGAGGAACTCAGTACGCATTTTATGCCTCGACGAGGCAAACGTTGTGGAGCGTAGCGTCTCCGAAAGGAAGCCCCACCCAAGCTAGCAATCCGGCAGGAAAGGAAGTTGGCGTCTCTTGCACTCGCACACCCCAGTTTTGATGAGGGGACCAGTTTACAGTGCTGAATTTTTCATGTCACCGGCCGGAGGCCAGCGGGAGGCACAGATTAGGCATGGGAGCTGCGCCAGCGTTCAGATGGGACTTGTGCCAAATCAGCGGGGAGGCGAATTGCAGCCTAGCGCTGTCACAGCAAGCATGCTATGTTCCTCTTTCGCAAGAGTGTGTCAGAACGAGTGGCTGCGAGCCAGCTGCGCGAAATGTTCTGCGTCAACCCTTTGACGGTTATCCTCACACGTGCACTGCAGTGATTACATGTCTGAAACTGCCCGCCTAATCGCGAAACTGCACGCACTGCGGGAGGTGTTGTTATTCGCAATGTCTTTGGCAAAATGTGAGTGTAAACGACCCAATTTTCGCAAGGACCTAATTTTTGCAAATCTCCCACAATTCACAAAAAATAGGTCCCGCAAAACAATTGTAGTAAAAGGCAAAGGGATTGAAATCTATGTTGTAATCCCACCTCGTCGCGAAAATTAGAACACACGAATTATCCCAAAACCTCAGCTTTTACCTAAATCGCAAAATATTGAGCCTGTGAAAAATAAGTCGTTTACAGTACTGTGTTTTCCGGACTATAGTTCGCACCCAGTGCATAGTCCACAAAAGCAAATTCGGGGTCAAAAATTAAAGTTTTTACATAGATACTGTAAAACCCTTTATTTTCGCGGGCCCCTATTTTTCGCGAATCGGTCACAGATGACATAATCGCGACCACTAAATTTCGTGAATTCTAGACGCCTGTGTTGAAAATCTTAAAAACTGAAATTTTCGCGCGCCCTTAAATTTCGCAAATTCTTCAATTCGTGAAATTCGCGAAAATTGAGGGCTCGCGAACGTTAAGGGTTTTACAGTAGTCCGCACCTGGTGCATAATTTGCACCTGGTGCATAATCCGCACCTGGTGCATAATCCGCACCTGGTGCATAGTCCGCGTGTGGTGCTCAATCGACACGAAAATCTTCTCATAGACGACACCCCTGGACAAATGTCTACTTTCTTAGCTCACAAACAAGCCTATTATACATGCAAATCATCATTAACATACTCTTTCATTCACAAAATCCGCTCGTCTCGTCATAATCAATGATATTGAAAAACAAAACTTCTCTATAGTCCACACGCGCAGATACTCCGCACTGCCTAAAATTTCAACTTTTAATCATGTACAGTCCGCGGACTATAGTCCGCAAAATACGGTATATATTTTCACGGTGCTCTGTGTTCTTGGGGCTATTTATTGCCTTGAAATTAAATGTCTCGTGCACGTGACACGCGCGGGATAGTCGCTTTGCGTGTTGGTTGCTCTGGCGGTAGTGGCAATCGAAGCTCCGGAACTTCCGATTCAAGCTTTTAACGCTTCTCAGAATTTTATTTAGATGATGAGAGCTTACCATCCGAGGGAGGCTCTGTAAAGTGCCTCTGGTTCGGAATCTCGAACCGCCGGAATTTCGCGGAAGCAGACGCGCCAATGTGAAACCGAACGGAAAAAAAGTGACAACGTTAAGCCTTCAATATTTACATTTGATGCTTCTAAACCTGAACAGCTTTCAAGCACTGTATTTGCTCCCACTAGACAAGTAAGAAAAAACCTGCACACTGACGCCTTCCTCACACCAGGGGTTGGTACCCTTTTTCCCCTATGGGCCGAATTGCCATGAAGCAGAGTGGGCCGGATAATCGATCCAAGGGGAGCGGGGAGGGATTACCTCACAAAAAATAATAGATATGATGCACAGCAAACTGTTATGCCCAGTGCTACACAATGTATTCGGCAAGACTCCTCAAGCCCCATAGTAAGCCTCTATGTGTGACAGCAACTATTGAAATTCACAAAGGTACACACCGTGATTCTGAACAAAATTTATGAGACACGACAACCTTATTTATTGGTTCCCAATGCATCACTTTAGTGCACACCGATTTATGACGAATAATGCGGTGAACATGCGTAGGAAACTAACCCCAATTCTTGCCGTCTTAAATCACTCCAAGTTTGCAACTGATCATATTTCTTGCACCATTAGTCCTGGAGGGAGTGTATGTGTGTGGCCAGTTGCCGACCGCTGCTTTATACTATTATTCCTTTAGAAACAAAACACAACCGCTAAGAAACATTAAAAAACAGAAAACAAAAATCTTGTTTGTCAAAAGGTTAAACGGGCGGTGCAAAATTTTTGGACTTTGCCCAATGAACTGCGAGTATTATACTATGTCACTTGCATAACGAAGAACAAAAAACGTTTTCTTGTGTGCGCTGGGTTTTACTAAAAAAAAAGAAAAATTAAACAAGTTGAATTAAACAAGCTCAACTCCCACGTCTTCTTTTGAATGACATACTTTGGGGGAACACCTGGTTTCCCATTCTCTCTTAAAATCCCCCAGCCGCTTCCTCCATGATTGTAGACTTTTCAAGGTTTAGCATCACCGAAGGTCGTGGCTGCGGTGAGTGATTGACACAAGAGGCGGTTCATCACGGGGCTGATGGCAAGTGTAGCGGCACTGGTTTTGTTGACTTCCGCAAGTCACCCAGAAGACGTTTCACCGTAGTCCCCGTAACCGTTACACACGGCTGCAGATCGGCAAATAATTAGTTTCTTCTTCTGCGATTAGGCTATGGAATAGCAGTTTTTGGGCAAGGCAGCACATTTTTCCGTCACTTTTGCCCAGATAAACAATATAAAAATACAAACTGCAAACTATTTTAATGCTAAAATCGTAACCCTTTAAGTAGCCATGTTGGGTCCATGAGTCGCAGATGCTGTGTGGGTGCTTTAGGACCCAAGGGTTCCTCTAGAGTACTACTGTCACATGTTCCATGATTAAACCTCCTCAACCGTCCCCGCCATTACTGAAGTGTTAGAAGGTTTGAGCTATCCACTTAGACATAACCTTGTGTCAAATACTGGATTAATATGCGCATTATTGTTTACGAGGTCCACAGGCTCGCACACTGCTTTACTGGATCAATGCCGGGACCAGGAGGGGTTCCTCGTATGCTATGCCAGGCGGAAAAAAATTCCTCAAGATTGAAATGTCCAAGACACCATGATGCGAGCGGAGTCACTATATGGTCCGAAACTCTCTGTGCCAAAAACATTAGCTGGATGCCCCTCCCGAAGGCCCCCCCTTCCCCCTGTCCATAGAGACTGGGTAGTATCGAAGATGTGTGGCTTGACTCTCATAAGAGGCAAACTTACTGTCATGCATCGCTTCCAATTCCTTGGTTCCTCTCTTCAGCTGCGCAAACATGGCGGTGTCTACGGGACCAGGAGCGTAGTTGAGGGTGGATACAGACGGGTTTTCCAGAGCAACCACTTTCATGTACATGTCTCTCGCTGCCTTGCCTGATAGAAAAAGCGACCAAGAGCATTAGGAATGATCCAGGGTGATTACAGCAGATCTGATCAGCTGCAAGAGTGGGTAAAACATACGAGACGCAAAGAAATCACCGTTACAGTAATAGGCAAATTCAGTCCCAGCAATGTTTTCCAAATTACATCGACACACTTCAACGAAATACAAAGTTTAACAAAAATTAGATCTAAAGCCTGACCACGCCAGGTTAGATGAGGACAGTCTACATACAGGTTCGAAAATGAATCACCGCGAGATCTGTGCTTCAAATGACGCATGGCAATGAGTTTGATAAGAAAGCGTGGCACACGGCATCCAAACCACAGATATTGTGGTGACTCGTGTTTGCAGACTCTTTTTTGTATGACATATGAGTCAGGTGACCCAGGCTTAATGTTTTATACGCAGATGCAAATGCCGTCGATATGATGTGACGAAAAATGCCATACTGTTTTTTCTCTACACCATTCCTTGTTTCTTCCAGGGTCAAGTCAATCGTTCAAATCATGTTGTTACAAACACCCTAAAAACCACAAATCAGTAAGTGTTCTGCTTGTGCTTTGTTTGTGCGTTGTTTTAGCTGGCAATGATCTGAAAGTAGTAGTAGTAGATTGAGGTTTTATGGCGCAAAAGCAACTTAGGCTATGATGCGCCAAGAGATAGGCAATGATCTGGAAGACCGAAGTCATCTTAACATTAATTCAGACAGCGCCAATCATGTTTACTGCTTCCAGATAACAAATTATATTCCAGTTACGTGAAAATGCATGTAACTTTCCCAGATGTCGTGCCACGTCCCGTTCACGCACCAGACACGTCTCACGGACGTTTCCAGCGACGTCTGTGGGACCTCCGAGACAGGCGCGATCCGGAGCTATAACACTCACCCACACAGTAGAGAACGAGTCCAGGTATCGCCGCGATCCCCGCACGCGACGTGATATTGATGATCGTTCGCGATGGCTTGGAGTCGGGACGGTAGTGTTGGAGGAAAGCAGTAGTCAGCGTCATGACTGAAGTCAAGTTGAGGTGGTTGTAGTCATCGATCACTCGTTCGTCGTCGTACGTCGCCGCGTACCGCGAAGTGTCTCCGGTCGTACCGGCGTTGTGCACGAGCACGACTCTCTCCGGACTCTCAACTTGTGCCGAAGCCCGTCGCAGAAGTTCCTGGTAGTCCCGAAAAGAGGCTCGAGAGTGATCGCAGGTCTCGACGACGACGTTCACGTCGGGTCCATGGTCGCCGACCAAGCGCTTTGTCTCCTCCAGCCCAGCCGTATTTCGGCCCGTGATGACGATCAGCGAGCCTGGAGCTACATGTTTGGCGAAGCTCACCGCTATGGCCCTTCCTATGCCCACGCTAGCGCCTGTTACGAAGATTAGGAACTTTTTGCCCCAAAAGGGAGCTTTCTCGCAGTCACCTGTCGCTTCGGCCATTTTTTTCCCCCGCGTTTTCTAGCAAATTAGTTTCGCCTGTGCACTGCTTCTCTCACGACAGAACCGACAGGACCACCGACAGGACCACTGTGACTGCGTGCACGGTCACTGCATACGAGAAGGTTTTGATTGGCCTCTTTGGATTAGGTCTTATCGGTCTTATTATCAGCAAGGTTAATGCGGTTGCTGGGATGTTCCCCAACGCCCCAACCCTGCGAAAGAAAGAAAATAAGAAATCCCGCAACGAAACAACGTTGATCTTGCTGCCTCGAAATAAAAGCGATGAAAATTTGAAACGCGTACTATTATTACGTTCTACGAGGTTGATTACGTTTATGTTTATGTTGCACTGTTGCACCTGGATTGCCGTTAATTGTTGTAAAATAGCAGCTGAATAGATAAATACATACGCCTGAATATTTTTATCTTGGCGGTGGCTTGCGCCACCTAGCCGGCCTTTTTAGTTTTTGTTTTGTTTTTGATGTTAGCAGTTAACAGAGATAACTCTACGTCATACAATAAATGAAGGTTAACGTACGACTTCTAAAAATTAGCTTGTGTGACGGAAATGTTTGTTCGCAATCAGGTGCACATTTTCCTAACCAGACGCACATTTTCGAACAAACCGACACCAGCGCCACGGCGCCACCGCCACCGGCCGCTGGCTGTGTTTACAATTTTTATTTGCTTACGCTGGTTACGCAGGGAAGATTCGCGCGTCCCTGTAACCGAAGATGTCGGCTGCCAAGAGCACTCCGAAAGACGCCCAAGTCATGGGCGCGATCTTGAAAGACATGGGGATCATCGAGTACGAACCCCGAGTCATCAACCAGATGCTAGAGTTCACGTACCGTGAGTCTTTATCTGCTACGACAGCGTCTTTGCGGCCGCTTCGCCGGCGGCGGCTTTTTCCTCGCTTCTCGTCGAACATTCGTTTGCAATGTCCCCAAGCCCCATTGCCTTCCAGGTTACGTAACCAACATCCTAGACGACGCGAGGCTTTTTTCGACCCATGCTAAGAAGCGGGTCGTGGACGTTGACGACGTTCGACTGGCCATCCAGATGCAAGCTGACAAGAGCTTCACTTCACCGCCGCCAAGAGACGTGCGTTTCCTTTTCTTTTTTACTGTGTCTACAGTGCCGTCCGACGGCACTCCACTCTCGCCTACAAGTACCGTCCGAAAAAGAGTCTGACGGCGCGTGTGTCACTGGGGAGCTGGTTAACACACCCCCCGCCTGCGTTCACGCCGCTTCGCGGCAGTATGCGGCTGCTAATTACAAAATTGACCCATTTGGCCCTCCGCACACGCCGCTTCCAGCCGGTAAACCAAGCCCCGCTGTTCCCCATGCACCTACGGAAACGAAGCCCCATACCATTTTGTTCAGCGAAGTTTCGTCGACAACATTCAATTTTCCAGCGTTAATCGTAAAAAAGAAATGTAAATATCGCAAAATGCGGGACAAAACAAAATCCTAAGAAAAAAAAAGTAACCCTGCACTGGGTGTTGAACCCGGGATCACTTGTTAATGAGGCAGACATCTAACCGTTAAGCTACACTACAGCTCCGAAAATCTTGCTTTGAGACCTCGTTTTATACGAGACTGGCACTTAGAACGCTCTACAAGAGGTCTGTCGGACGGTACTTCACTCTCCCCCCCCCCCCCCCTCCTCCCTTTTGTATAGGGTGTTTAAATAGATCCTAGCACTGTAAAACGAGCCGGAACAATCGGCGCCTGCACAGCATTGGGACAGAGCGATTGTCCCAGACCTGGAGCACGGCAAGGAGCCGAGCCAGGACAGGACTTTATCAGGAAGCTGAAATCGGGAAGGACCAGGGCAGGGGAGATGGTTCCTGGGGAGGGGGAGAGGAGGGGAGAGGAGAAACCGCTCTGGAAACAAAGTGGTTGCTGGTGTCCAAACGCAGTGCTTACTGGTAATATGGGCTGGTTCTCACACCAAATCAGGGAGGCCGGGTCAAAGCTGCAGTACACGTGCTGTAGAGCTACGCTCATAGGATGTATTGCCACATCGAGGGCCATAATTACCAAATTCAGTGGGGGTACAGCGAGGCAGTCGGCAACAATAAAGAGCGGATGAAAACAATTCGACCGGAGGCGACAAAAACGGTGTAGAACAATAGCAGAGATTAGCATGAGAGGCAGAACTTTGAACTCTAAAGAGAAAGCAAGAGCGAGCTGGCACTGTACTGCCAGTACCGCGGAGATAGGGCCAGCGCGCTTCTTTTCCAAGTGTGGACAGGAACTCCTCCTCCTCCTTCTCCTCCTCCTCCTCGCCCAGAGGCAGAAGTACGAATTGTATGGAGACAGCCGAGCCCGTCGACTTTGCAGCAAAGATGAAGCGGACATGGAGTATGTTTAAATTCGGCGTAGCCGCCTAAACGCGCCAGGCAGAGCTTTTCACAAGGCAGTTTGGATGGGTCCTGTACCACAAAGACTCTGGCGACGCATGCGACGGGGACAAATAACGACAGGTGACGGAAGCCACAAAGTGCCACCCGGTGGTGTGGGAAGAACTTTACCGCACCACCGATACTGCCAAACCGGCCAAACTTTGACCCAACGGTGCTCTCAACAGCTTTGCCCAAAGTATTGAGTGCTCGGGTATATAGGAAGAAACTTCTTTCTCGCTCTGTCATCACTAACAAAACAGTTGTATGCTACATATGTTTGCTTGAACCTTGAATTCGCTTCATTCATTTGGAATCCCAGCCAGGTCACACTAATAAATAACTTGGAAGCTGTGCAGAATCTCTCCATTCGCCTTATTCTTTCAAGTTAGTATTAGTGCACTGCCAGCGTAATGTGAAGTCATCTATTAATCTTCCTTCCCTCTCCTCTCACAGAAAACTATCTCGCCTCTGCCTCTTTCTTAAGATTTATCATCAATAATCAATAGCTTAGATCATGCTTGATAAAACCTGCTTACCTCACTTCACAGCGTGTCAACCGTTGTCATAAAGTAGACATACCTTATCAAAACACATGTCACTTACCCATACCTTTTTTGTTCCAAAAACCACCCTTGAATGGAATCACTTGCCTTCTTCTTTAGTAAGCATCACGGACGGTGATCGCTTTCGTGAAGCTGTTAGTCATGTATAATATTTTATGTTGATTATAGTGTGCTTTCCTTTATTCTTATATACAGTGAAACCCGTTTAGAATGAACCCACTTGCAGCGAATTATTGCCGATATCGAACTCGCAGAAAATTTAAATAAAAATGCATGTAAAAATTATGTTTTATAATGAACAACATATTGGCTATATCAAACTTTTTCTCCCTGGAACGCTTCCAAAAACGCGCAAACATTCGTCTTCTAGCCTGTTCTTCTCCCCTCCCCCCCCCCCCCCCCCCCCCCCCCCCCCCCCCCCCCCCCAAAAAAAAAGAAACAACTAGGAAAGAGAGAAAATTCCAAAAGCTCAAGTTGCAAACAAAATTGAGCTAGGAGAAGCGATTCAGAAGAGAAGAAAGCTAAAAAATACACTCTGCACAGATGAAAAAAAAAGAAAAAACCTTTTAGCGTGTTGTTACAAGGCGGAAGTGAAGACATGAGAAAGAAAAAGAAGCTCTCGCCTCACAACAAACTCATTGTGGAAATTTGTTGTAAATGTTTTTTTGCTATATCGAACTACTTGCCATATCAAACCGACGGTAGCATTTCCTGCTGTTAGTTATAAACGGGATTGACTGTATTGTTTTTGTAAGGCCCCTCCCCTCTCTAATGCTTTGGCCCTCAGGTTAAAATAAATAAATAAATAATAGAAGTGAAAATTTTATTCTATTATGGTACCAAAGACACTCTGAGAAGTGCTTGCTCCATTTTAAAGGAGTCTTGGTCCAACTGACCGGGTGTGCGACAACATTCGGCGAAAGTTTGGACTTCCTGCGCACAGGTGCAAACTTTTCTGGCTCGTTTTACGACACTAGGATGTATTGCAGACACTCCGCAGTCCCACAACAAAGTGCCATCATTGCCTCCCGTGGTTTCTTTGCGACAGCTTCTGATGGAAATAGCGCGCCAGAAGAACAGCACGCCACTGCCGCTCATCAAAGCCAATGCCGGTCCCAGACTGCCCCCCGACAGATACAGTCTGACAGCCTGTAACTATCGCTTCAAGTCCGCCAAGAAGGTAAGGCTTCCACATTTATCAGAAAACAAGATATTAATTTTTGTTTGTTTAATTCGGGAATGTTGGGGGGACACTGCACTGACAATGAAACGTTTCAGGCAAGCTCGTCGAGTGGACTGGAAACTGGATCACACATTGGCGTTTGGGTGCGATTGACTGCATTGAAACTTCTTGTAGCACTTGCCAGCACCATCTATCAAGCAGCCCTGGAGTATTTGTGATCCGCACATATTTCATGCATCATTCTTTCATTGTATGCTTAAAATAATTCTGACAATGTTATAAGTGACCATTTCTCGTAGACGGTGCATAGACTTGATGTCGCAAAATACATGTACCGAAGAACCTTCGTCGGTCTGGTTATATGCAGATTGAAAGTGTTTAACGCTGCCCAGTAGATGGTGGTAGTGTGGAAGCGGCACAATGCACTCCACTGCAACTGTCTGAGCCAGCCTTAAGGCGTAAAAATGTCGTTCCAGGAGTGGCAGCACACCAGTGGCATGAGGCACTTGGGTCAGGCAGCCCATTAATCTGGTCCAACGTAACTCCCTCCTCGACATGTAAATGCAACAGGCTTGCAAGACGCTCTCATGCAAGCCGCGGCGCTGCACGGGGACTTGATATGTACCAACATTTTGGGGGGTTAAAAACCCCTGTCTGTCCCGACTCTTCTTTCTTTCTCGCACCCATCGTTTTTGTGTGATGATAGATCTGTTGCAGTATTGCTTTACGTCCTGATGATATGTATCATTACGTTTTTTTTGCACAAGCCTCCGATTTTGGCTCAGCCCACAAAAATGACCTTCATCGCCACCACACCACTACAGCCTTAAAAACCCTCTGAAAAGAAAAAAAAAATTTTTTTTAAACAATCTGGTTGGGACACATGGGTCAAGAAATAAATTTGACGGGAAGAATATCTTTTAGAGCAGTATTGACGGCAAGAGAATTATTTGAAATTCTGCACGTGAAGTCCATGTCGTCACGGGTCATTCCGGAATGACCATCTCGGTCGTGAAGGCAAAGCTAATTTATCTCCTCCACGCATTTGAAATGCCGAGAGAGAAAACAAGTGGAAAGGAGGTGACTGCCGATTAAATTATGTTTTGCGCATTCACTAGTGCCCTAAAAAAACTTTTGTTCGCGTAAGAGAATTTTTTTACACGCGTGTCCCAACCAGATTGTTAAAAAAAGAAAACATTTTTTTTTTTCTTCTCAGGCGTTCTTTAAGGGGAAGCTGAACCACTTTTCAAGAAATCCGAGTTAAGAGCACACTTCTATAGCTTTTTATCCCACAAATTCAGTTATTTCCCTTATATTGGGCACAAGTAAGTGTAAACCACATTTATTTTTAAAAATATGCGCAGTGATTGCCGCCAAGCATGCAGCGATTCTTTCTGCCGCCTGTTATCTGTCCAGTGCGCCGTGATGCCATTGACGGCATGGAGGCACCTAGAATGAGAGAGCGTTCAACTAAATGTGATGATCACGTGGTTTATGGGCAGTATGGTGTGACTAACTTGGGTGCTGTTGCCTGGTCGCCAGACCAAAATGATCACCATTCGTAAATTGATAATTGCAATTACTAGAGCTCCAAAAATTGTGAGACTTAGTGCATATACTAAGTAGCCTATGAGTATTCCATTTCAAGAATAATTTACTTGTTTAATTTACTTGTTAACCCCATTAATTATCGTCATCATCAAGCCTGATGTTTGTCTATCCAGCCCAGGATTCAAATGGGACTTCCTCCCCAGCTCAACTTGTCATCCATGCAAGGAAATGCTGGTTCTGGTGAGTTTAAGATTCTCATTATCTCGGTATTGACGCGGTGGCAAGTTGTGGTTTATGATGTGCTCCGTGCGGTCACGATTACACAAGTTTTCGTTGGTACACTGCCTGTCCACACTGAAGCCAGCACGGGTAGGATCTGAACACATGATGCATATGTCAGATCAGCTTTGCATGCAGAATAGTGCACTCTTCTATTGTAAACGTTGAAGCCTATTGTCGGTAACCAACTCCATTTGAGGGACCGTGTACAATGAGCAGGTATTTGTAGAATGGCATCTTGATGAGTCACTCTCGGTGTTATAATTAGCTATCATTGGAGGCAAACAAAATATCTGACAAAAATTAGTACCCGTAAAGTAACGGTTTAGAAACACCAAAACGCATTGCAGCAAGAACCAAGTTCCTATTCTTGGTTATTGCGCGTAACCTCTATTTGTTCCTGAATTTGCTGCGTGAAAAATGAAAGGCAATATTTACATCCTGAGTTTTTGAAGATCAGGACAGTGGGGCCTACTCCTGTGTGGTGAAGTTAAGGATGGCAAAGCATCTGTTATCACCGAGATGGATACAGTGCCATTACAGTGATGAGATTACTGTGCTACATTTTGCTAAGGTGGGATCAATTTGTGCCAAAACGTTATTTCACTTTATACTGAAAATATAATAGCTCAGACCCCGCTGCATGGCCGCATCATTAGGGTAGGCTTGTTTGAATTGTCAGAACTTTCAATTATCGCCTCAAATGACGCCCTAATCGTCCTGATCCCTGTGTGAAGCATTGACAGTACTCGTAAGTCTTGCCATATTTCTCATCTTCGTGGTCTGTCCTGGCAGATTAGTTAGCTTCGTTGAGGGCGCTTTTCACTATGCACTGCTGCACTGCAGTGAAGCACGAACCGCAAAGTAAGTGTAGCGATTTTGCATATCTTGCTTCACCGCAGCACGCCCGCGTGCTACGGGGAAAGCACTTCTTTATAGGAGGACATTGCCATGCAGACATTGAGTATAACAATAATGAACTAAAAAGAACTTGATGAGTGCTGATGTAACAACTCTACCTTGCAATAAATATTTCTAAAATAAAAAAATAAAAATATCCTGATATTTTTTTTTTTCATTTAGTAAGGTATTTTTATTTCCATACTGTCAGTTTGTGGGCCGTTAAAGTGACATTAATTAGATATAACATGCTTGATAATTATATCTTTGTTAACATAAATGTAAACACTCATTTGAAGGCAAGTCTGATGCATTGCTGTTTGAAGAATAAAGAAGCACATACAAAGGAAACAGAAGCACTTTTTTTAAAGATTTATGTGGACTGCTCTATAAGTTTATTTTTTATGTCAATTCCCTTGTTAAGTTGTCACTTTTTTAATATATATATGTTGCATCTCTCTGATGGAGCATTGAATAGAGTATAAACCAAAACTGGATTAGCTGGAGCTTTGAACAGAAACTGGCAATCACCTTAACCCATTCGCTACCGCACACATCGCACGCTGCCGGGTCATCCGTACCGCATGTTTTCCCCCTAAAACAGGGCCACACCAGGCGTGACTGTTTTGCTTTTTGTTTTAAAACTCAGTGCAGGAAACAAGAAAGCATGTTTATTTACACGCTTAAGTGGTTCGTTCAAGTCCTTAAATGAATAGGCCCTCACAGATTCTTTCTCGTATGAAAGATCTCAAAGCACTCCATCCTTGGTTGCTTAGGCGTCGCCACAACCAGTGCGCTCTTGTCGTGATTCAAACTCCGAAAAGCTATCGGAATTGCTCCCGTCGTCGACAGAAGGCTCCGAAAACTCACTATCTTCACCAGACGTCCCTCTGTCATCGCTGTCGAAGAGGATAAATATGATTTCATCGTCAGAAAGGCCACATTGCACACTTGAAGCTACCATCTTCTCCAAGCAGGCAGCGATCGAGCGGGAAAGACGACACACAAAAGAACAAGCTAGAACAAACACAGTGGACAGAACGACCCTCGCCATCTGTTGGCAATATATCTAACTGCACTACCCCAAGTCCCCATAGCGCACTATCTGTGAATGGCTTTTTAAAACGGAAATTCATGCAGACCGGCGAATCGCTGGCTTTGGCACTATGGCCCCTGATGGCACGCCCGGCACTTCGCCGGCTTTGGTAGCGAATGGGTTAATGAGTTTTGCTAAAATTGTCTTTAAGAAGGCATATTTATCACTCACATGCCAATTTTTGTTATCATGAAGTTTTATGTATAAAATGGTATTGATGTTTATAATTATTGGCAGAAGCTTTGTTTTTATCTGAATTAAGAATTTGGCTTTCATTACAAACTTTAGAACTTAAATAAAACATCAATTTGAATGCTCAATATTATTCCATTCTAACATTATTTCTATGGAATATGCTATTTGGTTTCCATTTTATTCTATACCTAAAATAGCCATTCACTGTCCATACCTGTCATACTGTCATCAGTCAGCATATTGTTGGCGTGCCTGGTGCTTTTTCGCACAGCTAAACAGCCATTTCTTTGTCTGGGGGAACCGAACCTGCCATGCAGCTGATGGTGGCGAAAGGTTGCGCAGAAGTGAGACGGCAAAGTAGTCATTTAGTTGGACAGGCCAACTCATTGTTCTTAATATACTCATATAATATTCATAGTGGTGAGAATGAAAACGAGGGGTGTGCTAATGCTCCAAAGGTTCTTTTTGTTGCTCCAAAATGGAATTTTTGACTGCTCCAGATGGTGCTCCAAAATGACTGAGACCAATCACATCATAACCCTAGCATTTTCCACTGGTTGGTTTCAATGTGCATGTTTCTTGTACCCCTCTTTTCTGAGCTGGAGAGCACTCCTGCAGTTTGTCTCGCCTACTGCAGCTACCTAACTATCTTTCACGAATCTCTGGCCTCTGTCATTTCTGCCGTGCTATTTAGTATTGCAGAATTCGGAATAGTTATTGTGAAATTGCCAAATGAAGGTGATGCCAAAACCAACATTCAGGTGCACCCACGCTTTTCAGTGACGTAACGTCGGTGGCAGGCAGGGTCGCAGGTCAAGCAGACAGTCTAGAGAACAGAGTATGCCTCACATTTGTTTTGTGCTGCTGGGTAGGTGCTGCAGCAAGCTTCCCAAGCATTCATTTGACAGCATCGAGCTTTTTGTAATTAGTTGGGAACAAATTCTACTGCCCAGAGTGAATCCCTGCCTTCCACTAGCATCACTTTTCCATGGTTGCCAGTAGAGACTCAGTTTTAAAAATACAGTGAAAACCAAAATTGTAATTTCAAACCCTTTGTGAAATGAAAAAGGAAAAAGAATGGTCCTAGTATTTAGGTTACTAATTTAGCTATATTTGTTAATGGATATGGTCAATTTTGAGGCAAATCAGGAACAGTCAAGAAAATGCCGGAGTACCCCTTTAACTTGAGAGGAGGCTTTCTATCCGAACATGAGGTCCTGGCCACCATGGTGAAGGGGTACATATGGCTGGAACACTGAGGTTTGCAGACGAGAATGGTTCATAGAGAAGTTACATTTGAAAAGAGGAGGTTAAGGGATTGGCAAAAAGGACCTAGAAAAGTCTGAAATGTCCCACAAAGTTGATGAGGTAGACGTTTTAAAGGGGGACAATAGCGTGGGTCAAAATTGTAAAGAAGGGGGCAGAACATTTTCTGGGCTAGGTGGTGCAAGCTACCACTCAATATAAAGGGTACATCCACTGGTGTCCATCTGTCCGTCCACCGTAAGCAAGACTTGGTTTTGGGCCTCTAATTGCAGGCCTCTCCAAAGTGAACCCTGCACTGAACCTGGGCAGCAAGACGGGGGCCACGCTTGCTGTCGTGTCAAAGCCGTCGTCCGCACCCACAGTCACCATCGTCTCTCGGCCGGCCAACAAGTCCCATCCCACGCCCATCATCAAGCTCTCCCAAAGTGAGTGCCTTGTACTCTGAACTTTCGGAAACGCTTATTTCGTTTTGAGAGGGGTTTCAATTGATTTCGATTGAAGGACACTAAAATGGATTTCGAACCTCTCTTCTTGTGGCGATAACTGGGTCTAAGCGCCCTAAGCGTCCTAAGAAACCCAAAATTACGATCGTGCGTGCCCCTTTTCCCTATTGAAAGCGCGACAAAGCGTCGTGACACGCCACTTTTCGGAAATATATTCAAGAAAACGGAGCGTGTCGAAGTTTCAGTTGCAATTTTTAGTGGAGAAAAAAGCCATACATGATTCTGATTTGGAATTTGTTTAGGATGCTTATGGTGCAGAGACTGAGTTTGCACGATAAGAAAACAGTGTCAGAAAGTACTTTGGTACCCCTTTAATGGAGCTGTGCAACAATTTCAGTGCTTTGCCTAAATAATTGTAGGAGTTGGTGTCTTGACCCTTCTGAAGTAAAGACAAAAACCACTTTTGCCTGCATGTCCTAGTTTTTATTAAAAAGATGACAAAGATTTGGCACCTCTCAACCCCTTCGCCGATTTTCGAGTCACATGTGCTGTGATGTGAAAGGGTTCGAGCGGGGTTCCGGTGAAGCTTTTCTGATAGCGCCATCAGTGAGCAGCGAGAACTCACCCACCCGTGACCATGTGACCACATGCTTGTGCCGTGCGATCAACATGGCGAAAGGAGGAAAGTGCCAATGTGCTCGTCCGGGTCCAGCCGTCTGGCTTCGGGCTGCTGCTCACAGTAGCAGATAGAGCTGACAGTTTGGTTGACCTTGGATAGATGGCGCCACTGAAACTCTGTATAATAAAAATATTGTTGATGATACCAGGTTTTCGATGCACTTATAATTATGTTGGAACGACAAGATCTATAGAAAAATTACCTTTTATTGAGCAGGTAGTTGCGCAACTTTCTCTCGTTTTACAAGCGCCCCTTCGACGTCACGCCGCGTGGTTCTCAAGACTGCCGCTCGCGGCTGCAGATCGGGAAATATTTTGATTTTTGCCTCGCAATTACGCGGTGGAATTGCAAATTGCAACATTTCGAAAGAAGGAGATGTGCTTTCTCTCCTTTGTAACAAACAGTCCGCAGTGCTTACGCAGGAGCGGACAGGGGAACATTTTTTCTTAATTCTTTTTACTTATTCCGCACATCCAAATCTGTCCTTTGTAACAAGATAAAGAATATCAAGAGTGCAAGATCTAAATTATTTCAACGTTAAAATCGCTGCACAGCTCTTTTAAGGATGTGACAATTGTAATATCAACTGGCAAACATGGACAGAGATGTGGACAGTTCACTAAACTGTCTAGAGAAAGTCTACCTTTAATGCGAAAGCATTAACTGTCTCATGGAGCAAGCCTACGTCATCAGCTTTGAAACCGCGCCAAAGGGCACCTTAAATCCTTTCTCCAAGTGAAGCCAGCTCCCGGCTATGAAACCACACGCAAAGCTAGCCAACGGCACCAAAATTCCCCGATCTCGAAGAAGCTCCCATTGGTTGCTGCGCGTCGGTTTCAACAACCAGCCACCCCATGGCACTGCATGTCTGTCAGCGCGCTGCTAACACGGAGCATTCAAGGTCAGTGCGCCAAGGAGTTTGCGGCCTCTTCTCGCCGGCAGAGCGCGGCGCTCTGCCGTCGTCGCAAATATGCTGCACACGAAAATAAGGAAGCTAAAGAATGATGTACATGCTTTCGCATTCACAACTCATAAGAAGTGCTTAGGTATACCTTGTGGGGGTTCTTTATGGGGGAGGTCCCTCCACTACTAATAATCGTCGCCCGGTCGGTATGCGCTCCGCCCGTCACCCAGGGAGTTACACACTGCAACAAGAAGACAGCGAATGGGTTAACTGTACCTCTCGGTTGCCCGTCGTCGAGAGCCGGTAGTCCCGGCCCGCCGACCTTTGTTGTCGCCCGCCGATCAGAGCTCACAGTCGGGGTCCGTGTCCAGGCCTGCGGATCGCCTTTCCCACGCCAGCGCTGCGTAGGCTGGCTGTCTCGGGCTATCAATGCCCGAGTCTCGCTGCGGAACCACCCCGGGATCGTCGTAGCCCAGGTCATATGGCCCGGGCTTGCCGTTTCCACCGGTCTTGCTCCAGACCTCGCTGGTGGACCGCTCCAGGGTTCGATGGGCCAGGCCAGGCAGCCCCGGCTCCGTCGTTCTTGTCCAGCTTAGCTCCAGCCTCGCTCAGTTCGCACCGTCCTGCGCCAGCTCGTGACTTCTCCGCCGACCGCCTGTCACGTGCCCTCTGCCTCGTCCTTCAATCTCGGCTCCCACACTCTCCCCCCCTCAAGGCCCGGACTTCGGGGGACTTCATGGGCTTCAGGGAGCCGGGGAGCTTCATGGGCGGCCGCTGTTGCTGTTGCTGGAGTGGCCACGTTGCAGCGTCCGAAAGCGGCGTAGGTGGTGGTGGCTAGCGAAGCCGGCAGACAATGCCGACCTGTCTGTCGCTCGCTGTCCCACTCACCGCGATGCAGCAGGGGGCTTGCTCTAAGCTGGTCCGGCCGACGCAGACGGACTTGCCCCGTTCCGCTTAGAGGTCACAGCGGGCTTAGAACTGCCCGCCTGAACCGTTCGTCAGGCCGAACAACTGTCAGCCACCCTGAGCACTTGGGAAAACGAATGGGCCCGTCTTCCCTCCCGGTGGGCTTCCTAAGTTACGCCGTCTATGGCCGTCTTTCCAGGAAGCTACTCTGCGCAGAACAAAGTGTTAAAACAACACACAACGAACAAATACTCTGCCGCAGATTGTGGCAGGGACCATAGTCTCCACCGCCAAATTGCTTGCCGACGGGTTCGTGTACCATGCGGCCAACTCAGCAAGTCTGCATTCCACAGCTCGCTCGTGGGTTGCCAAGAACAGGGGATTTCTTGTGTCCTACCGCAACCTCATGCTATGCGTCTTCCCCATCGCGACGACGGTAGTATCCTTTCAAGTCAGCGATGTGAACCGGGCAAGCCTCCTCGTTTGTATCTCCCCGAGTAAGCCTAGAAGTAAGACACGACGCACGCGTCTTTGTACCTCGGGTGCCCTTCTCATCTCGGAGCAAGCGATGCGGCAAAACCACTAGCTGCGTTGCTCAAAGCGTGAGTTTTCCTTCAGAACAGGTAACGATGGCGTAAACCTAGTCCATCTTTTGCGCAATCGAAGGGATCCAAAGCCTGTGGCGGGATGACCAAATACCATACCCGCAATTCCGCAACGGCTACATATACCATGTGCTACTCGATGTAAGCGTCAGCGTCCCATTCCGTCCACGTGCATACGAGCTCTAGGGACTGCTCGGTCCTCGGAGGGGGCGGTAGCTCAGCGAGCAAGCCTGCTTAAACCGTTCGCGCCAAAAGGCAAGCTGGACAACTACAAGCCACCTAAATGCCTACCGCCTCATCCCCGGCCAGGTCGCGACGCGACATAACTTATTAAAAGTCTTGCTGTCACTGCCACGACCGGCCAGAGTGAAGTCGAGAAAGAATCATTTAAAACATTTCGTAGCTTTCTTGGAACGACCCCCGTCAAGGGAGAGTCGTCCCTCTGCCTTTCGTCGGTTGTTGGAGTGACGCGAAACAACTAGCCGTCTTGGCCCAGCGGTTACAAATCATACTGCTCCTTAACTCGCCTGCCAGCGTTCCCGGTGTCAACTGCAATTTACGCCAGTTTACCCAACACCCGCTGACAATCTCGTCCACCAGTGTTCCCAGTGTCGACTGCAATTCCCGCAATCTTTCCGACACCCACTGACAAAACCCATCTGCACCCTGGGCCTCGACAAGCGCTTACTGGCTCACCGCATCACTCCAAGCCTTAATCCTAAATATGCAATAAGTTCTGGCTGTTTTCCCTCCTGCCAGTCGCTACCCTGCCTTCGAGCGAACCTGCCGTGCCTCTCCTCTGCCTCCGAAGACGACTTTCTTACATCTTAACCGCGCTCCTCGTGTTCCCCCCGGTTGGGTCACCTTCTGCCAACCACTATTCTGGGGTACCCGAGAACGCGCGTCCGCAACCTCGTCCTTCGAGACCTTCAAGTACTCGATTCGAGGAGACACCTGCTGAGCTCTGCTTTGAGACAAGTCACCATAATTCCAACATACTTTGTCTCAACGGGCATCGTTAGCGTTAGTGAACAACCCGCTCAACGAATCCATGGGACTCTCTGGGGACGACTAGAAGCAGAGGCGTACCGAACGGGCCCCACGTTGGATGCACCATTTTAGTGTGGGGGTTCTTTATGGGGGAGGTCCCTCCACTACTAATAATCGTCGCCCGATCGGTATGCGCTCCGCCCGTCACCCAGGGAGTTACACACTGCAACGAGAAGACAGCGAATGGGTTAACTGTACCTCTCGGTTGCCCGTCGTCGAGAGCCGGTAGTCCCGGCCCGCCGACCCTTGTTGTCGCCCGTCGATCAGAGCTCACAGTCGGGGTCCGTGTCCAGGCCTGCGGATCGCCTTTCCCACGCCAGCGCTGCGTAGGCTGGCTGTCCCGGGCTATCAATGCCCGAGTCTCGCTGCGGAACCACCCCGGGATCGTCATAGCCCAGGTCATATGGCCCGGGCTTGCCGTTTCCACCGGTCTTGCTCCAGACCTCGCTGGTGGACCGCTCCAGGGTTCGATGGGCCAGGCCAGGCAGCCCCGGCTCCGTCGTTCTTGTCCAGCTTAGCTCCAGCCTCGCTCAGTTCGCACCGTCCTGCGCCAGCTCGTGACTTCTCCGCCGACCGCCTGTCACGTGCCCTCTGCCTCGTCCTTCAATCTCGGCTCCCACAACCTCGAGCCTTTTTATTTCTTTTATCATTGCCAATTTTATCTTTTATGTTTAAGCTAGTTCATCGTTGTGGAAGGTAACTACCACCTCGAAGCCACAGATGAAAAGCAAAAATCTATGGATGCTTGTAATGTCCCATTTTTTCCCGTTTTCTTCAGTGACGTAAGGTGCGTGCATCCATACACACCACTCCTTTTATTAATTAAGGAGGTGGCACTACATGTGTTGAAATGGCAAACAAATTGTCAGAACTTGTCTTGTATTTAGCTTTCAGGCTTTCCAAAGTAATTGTGTTAGTTCAAATCGTGTAATGCCCCTCTACTGCCTCCGGCGTGCATGCAACATTTAAATATAATTTAAAGGGACCATGAAATTGCCTTCTGCTTTTGCCGTATATCTTTTACATTAAACCTTTAATGTTCACTGAATGCCGTACAGGCATCCGTTTTCGTTTCGGTTTATTAACTTCTACACAAAATATTAATGGAATATCAACTTTTTCTTTCTCTCAACTGACCGCAGAACAAGCTGCGGCATAATTTTGACGGTCGTGACGTACCCTGGCACAGAAACCGGAAGTTCTCTCGGCAGTAGGAAGATGGGAGCGTTAGTGGCGGCGAGTTGGGGGTGTACTGGTAGGTTTTACTATGCTGATGGCGCTGATGTCACTGACGTATTTTCTGAATTGGCACCTCTCATAGCCACGATAGCCATGGATACATCGGAGCTGAGTGAAATTCAATTAGATATGTTGCCGGTGTGTGTGACGCGGGCCCGTTGCGACGCTGGTCGAAACTAGGAAGTCTGCGTGTGCTTGGATGCTCCGTGCGATGCTCCTCAGCACCACACTCATCCATGAGCACACACACTTGGGGGCCTGCAGAGCCGCTCTGAGCTCTTCTCGCGTTCCGCATTCCGCCGCACCCGCTGTTGCTCCCAACTTTCACGTCGCGTCCACCCACCGGTCCAGTCTCGGCATACACTGACTTGACTCGGCTCGAAATCAAGCCGAGGTCCTCACTTTCCCGTTTTTTTCCTTGCCAAACAACAACAAAAAAAGAAGAAACCGCCCGAGTTTGGGACAAAACATTCTGCCGCACCCTCCTTGAGAGGGGAGCTCTCCCGCGGTTCCTAATTAGTGGGGGCTGCGAAACAGCACAAGCCGACGACCCCAGCTCTCCCGCTCAACCCGTGAGGCAAGGCGCGACCGACAACCGGATGTGCCCCCTCACGAAAACTTCAAAATAGAAAAAAATAGTCGAATTCTTTGACAATGTGGTTCATCGAGTGGCAAGCGGTGAAACTGCAACTGTTTCTTTTTAACCACCGGACTGCAGAAACTGTAATTCGGGCAGTTCGGTACACTGCAGCCTTCCGGCATAGCCACCGAACGATCGATCACTGAACACTACTCGAGCAGCCAGAAAATGAAAGTCTGCTCTGCAAAGAAAGTGCGACCGGGAGCAAACCCGTTCAGCAGACGACGCTCGGGGATTGACTGCGCAGGCGCAGTAGCGTCTTTCTCTTGCTTTGTTTACCACACGATAGATGGCGCTTGGCTCTGAGCATTATCAAATTCGGCAATGGCCGGCTATTTATTGTTTATGATCTCGGTGCTGGTGAGGTAGGCTCTTACCCAATAGGCGATGTGGATTTGACCGACGTGCTGCAATTCCGCGGATACATCGCTGTGAAAAGGCAGAGAGGTTTTGAAGGAAAGAAGGTCCGAAAGAGTCAGTTTTTTTTTTAAAGTTCTATAGCAAAGAATTTTTTTTGGCTCCCTATTTTTTGTTTTTGTGTTTCTTTTCACACATTTTACAACGTGCGGTAGATGAAATTCGATTTTAAAATCGTTTCATGGTCCTTAAATGGCATGTAAAACACTTTCACTTAAGTCGTGTCAAAATGTAACTGGTAAATATGTACTGTGTCACATCAGATATTAATTCTAGCCTAAACTTTTACGTCCAAACTATCCCAATTTTCTAATACCATAATGATTTCTCTCTAGACAGTTCTTACTTGTTTTACCACACGCAACTTCAGACTCTAGAATGTATCTTTGTAAGGTTTGTGCCGACGTGGAGCGTGTCTTAGCCAGGGTTGTAAAGGTTACTTCAAAAACGTAACTGGGTACATACCTAGGTACTCACTTAGAAATGTACCTAGGTAAGGGTACAGTTACTTTAAAGATACTTTATTTATTTTCCCCAAACTTGTCAAAATATATTGGAAGTAAAGCTTTTTATACTAAGGGTACACACAAAAACGAGTTTGATAAATGTGCTGTATTGGTGTCAGTGTGATGTCCACATTGGAGTTGAGTCCTCTTGTGCCTTATCCCCACGCCCCAATTGGTTCACCGAGGCCACAGTTTCCACTGTTTACCATGTCTCGCCAAAACTCGCTTGTTGATGTTCTTGCCCTCAGAGCCGGTGCTGACGTCGACGGGCCCAGAAGACGTCGGCCGCATGAAGAAACGCATGAGTCGAGTGCATATGCACCTAACTTTTGCTACGGCAAACAAAAAACTTAAAGCTTCATCGTTTTTTTTTTTCCTCTTGAGTATGAAGAAAAATAAGCTTTTCTTTCGGACCTTTTTCAGTTTGGATAACTGCATGAGTATGAAAAAAAATATGCTTTTTTTTTGGACCTTTCTCAATTTGGATAACTGCAAATTTTTAGTTTGACTTATTGAGTGGAAACTGTATCATATACACTATGTTACATTGCTTTACGATTAAAATTAGAGTTTATCCAATTATATTTTATTTTGTATCTATGGTAGAAGAGAGCCACCACGAGGACAAGATGCAGGCAGCAGAAACTGCACACACCTTTCAAGTTATCTCCTCTGTTGTATAGCTGTCAGAGCAGAGAAGCTTCAAACACGGAGTGAGGTCGATTTCGGTTTGAGATGGGGGAAGCAGGTCGCTATTTTCCCTAAGTGGAGTTTCGAAGTGATTTTATAAATTGGTGTTTCCTAGAATGGCATCGCTAATCCACCGTTCGCTCAAATGAACACCGCCATCCGCTAAAGTGTAGTTCGATGAAACATCTTGGGCGGGGCTTTGTTCGCTAAAATGTCGTTCAATCATTTCAGTGCCTCCCAGGTCGTACCCAACTCAACAATAATAATCACGGCACATGGGAGTGTGTTAATACTTCGAGATTTATAGTTTCTACCATTTTGACGAAGTAAATAGAAAAGTATCTGTAAAAAGTAACTTCACTTAGTTACAAGTTACTGGAAAATGCACCTAAGATGCAGATACAGATACCGAGGAATGAAAGTACCTAGGTTTGTACCTTGGGTACAATGAAAGTACTTAGATACCGATTTCCAGTTACTTGTACCTAGGTACATTACAAACCTGGTTTTAGCTGACCTTGAACGCTTTCTCGACAGGACCACCCCCGACCTTGAGCACGTCGGTGTCCTCGGGGCCCGCGGTCTCTTCTGTGACGCCAGTCACCGGCCCCCCACAAGTGGCAGCGACATCCGCGGTCCCGGCCACTTCGGCGTTGTCCGTCGCGGCACCCACTTCAGCGCTTGCGGGCGGGGCGAGTCTCGCCGGCACCTTTACGACCGGCGCTTCTTCAGGGACGGTGGTTCAGCCCGCCATGCTGCCCATCATCAACATCAAGAGCGAGAACAACGGTGCGGAGGCCGACAAGAAAAGGAAGAGGGAGGACGACGATTACGACGCTGACTGAAAATAAAAGCGGCCTCTTTTGCACGAGAGACTGTGTCGGACCTTATGCTCGGTTAGCCTACAGGGAGGTTTCTTGTGACATGCTTCCGGTTCGAGACCTTTCCGGAAGCTATATTGGCCAACTTTTGCCAGATGTGTCTCTACGCACTGATGCGGTGTTTTCCAGGTTGTTGCTCTTTCGCGTCGCGATCCGCTGCGCCTGCCAGTGTGGTTGGGAACATAAAAGGGTGTCGGCTGATGTTCAGTTCTTTTATACGTCGGTCTCTATTCGGACTTGCGACGAGCTGGCAACGGAAAAGTCGACCCGTCGGCGGCCAAAACGGCCCCAGTAGATGCCGCTGGGGCGACACTGAAAAGAGAAAAAGTGGAGTAAGTGTGGCTTTTTGTGGTCCAGATACATCCCCAACTGTACAGTCGCCCAATTTTTTAATAATATCACGCGAGCGTTGACCGCCGGAGCGGCTAGCTCTGTGCCGCGGAGAAATGCGGCGTCACGGGAGAGATTAGGCGCGTGCACACAAAGCCCTTACTGGTGGGAGCGTCATCTGCTAGGCTATTCCATTGACCGCACACAGCCCCTGCCCCGTAGCAGAGGAGGGCAGGGCGCTCGCATTGTCGAAGTGCATTGCCAGTACAGCCCTCCTCTTGAAATGCGCTCAAAATCCTATTGACGTTAGCCTGTGTAACCCCGACTGTTGTTTCTATATCCCTTTGCGTCATGCCGCCCATCTACATTCTCAAAACACGTTCCCGTGTTTTTATGGGCCTTCGAGGAGGCATAAAAATGTGCGTGTGCCCGCTAGATGACGACAGCAACAATGCAGTTGATAATACAAAACACCAAGCTCAAGTGAAAACCCTGTCTATATCCTGTTTCTCTTTGTGTTGTACTGCAGCCGACGCTACGAGTTATCTTGGCCAGTCCATCGCTAAGTGTGTCACGTGGCCTTCCCGTTCGGTACAACTGCACGGGGAAGCACGATGTCACGTGGCAGGATGAAAGCACTGGATTGGTTTTGATGCCTCGTAGCATTGTCTGCGGTATATAGTTTAATGTTTCGTTTCATCGAGTTTGTCGCGTCACCGTATTTTTCATTTTTGTTGGTGTTCACAAAAGTAAACGTAAACATGAAATGAACAAAAAAAGTAAATTAAACACTACGTGCAGTTTATGCCACGCCTGAGCAGTATCACGCAAGCAAGCGCTGTTCAGATCTTTGCTTAAAGGCGGTTAGCTATGCCAGCAGATAATGAACAGGGGCTGTGTGCGGTCCACGGAATAGCCTAGCAGACGACGTTCGCAGCAGGAAGGGCTTTGTGCGCATGCGCTTAAACTCTCCCGTGACGCCGCATTTTTCTGCGGCACAGCGCTGGCCGTCTAGGCGGTCAACAATCGCTTGATATTATTAAAAAATTGAGCGACTGTACTTATGGAGTTCCTGTCATCACTGGAACCACTCGTGCGTTTCACCAGCACCAAAATCGACAACAAAAACTGTAAGCGTCTGCAAGCAAACTAATGGGAAAGTGACAGACGCCGTTCATCAGCATGGCAGGAGGCAGTATATCGGAAGTGAAGAGGCGTTTCGTGAAACCACCGTATAGTTAGTTGCAGGGTAAGTATCCAGTAAAAGCTCCGGCATACTGCCTTCCGCCAGGTTTGGCTGCACACATGACAAAGCGTTATCAAAGACAAAGCTTGGGCTCCAGGTGGAGCATACCTCAGATCAGCGACAACTTGAACCATTTTGGTGCTTAAAATCCTGGTTGCTGTTATCTGAGGCTTTTGCCTGAAATCTCGAGAAAACGCTTTTTCTGTGTTTTCTCGTAAGAGCGAAATGATATTTCGCTCTCACGCCAAATGTTAATGTTTCAAGGGAAACATTAACATTTTGCGTGAAAGCAGAATAATATGGCCTCAAAGCCGCGTTATTCGAATCGTGACTATTGCCAATGGACCTTTCCCAGACTCCCGGTTCGAGGGTTTCTTGGGTGGAATATGTGTGGGCGTGGCCCGAGCGTGTGTGAATATTCCTTCGAATAAGAACCCTAGATCCTGTTAGGTCCACTCGACGATGACCTTGATTCAGCTCTGGAGACATCGATTTTGTGTCCATGAAGGCTTATCTTTTGCCCCCAAGTTAGTACAAAGAAGCTTGTCCCCTCTCCTTCCTTCTGGCATTTTTTCTTCATTCCACCCAAGATAATCCTCTGATAAAGGGTGCCACCTTTGCGGAAAGAGATGGATTGCTCTCACTCGGCACTAAGCGTCGAGGTGCCGCCGCCCACGAAAAGAGTTGTGTAATGGAGTGCCGGCCACTCTAAACATAGCTTATTTTGTGGCTCTAGGTCACCCTGTAGATTGAGTAACGACCAGTAGACAGTGAGTAGAAAGACCAGCTCAGAATAGAGGAGTCGTTGCGAATTAAGAAAAAACGACCGCATCTCCACGTGGTGAATGATGTTGGGTCCGGACATTTCATCGAACGCCGTTTCATCGAACGCAGTCTCATCGAACGCAGTCTCATCGAAGCCGTTTCATCGAACGCCGTTTCATCGAACGCCGTTTCATTGAAACCGTTTCATTGAACGCCTTTTCATCGAACGCTGTTACAGGCTGCAATATTTTTCCAATTTATTTTGATTTTTATACACAACGTCATCTAATTCTCCCTTTTTTTTTAAATCACAATATGCAGTGACGAGATAAGTTCCACTGTGAACATGTCCTGCTTCGAGAAGAAAGCCTCCATGAAACAATGACCCCTCTTCATGTCACATGAAACAATTAAAAATGAGACAAAAAAAAAAAGAACAGAAAGCACGATGTGTTTTTTGGGAAGCGGGTAGTGTTTTATTGTTTGACAGCGTGTACCTGTAACCTTGGGTTATGTGAGGATCCGAAAGGGTGACAGAGTACACCCAGGGCTTTACTATTGTCTGGTGCGGGTTGGCCTTCCTAAGAAAGCATCCTGAAGATGATTCATAGGCAAAAGGGTCGGTAATAAAGTTGACAGTGAAGGGGACGTGGTTCCAGTGGGTGGCGGAGAAAAGCTCACCGGAGAAAAGCTCACCGGAGATAAGCTCACCGGAGAAAAGCTCACCGCAAAACCAGCAGATGCGGAGAAAAGCTCACCGGCCGTTGAGCGGATGTGGAGAAAAGCTCACCGATTTTTTCTTTAACTTAGCGGATTCTGCGTCAAACGTGGTAATTTAACACAATTCGCATTCGTCACTTCATTGAAAATATGTCCTCTTTTTTGTGATATCCTTGAAGTTCATTGGGCATATTTACTAAATTCTCAGAAATTAGTAATCACCTATTTTGTATATTAATGAAGCCGCAAGGGGGGGGGGGGTATAAAATCAGAGCATCCCTGACCGGTAAAAAAAGACTACAATTTATTGACAACTGACAGTGCGCCGTCGGTAGCTCTCTCAAATAAAGAGGTTTGTTCTTTGCGAGCTAATATGAATAGCGTGCGTGAACCGTTTCAGCTCCAAATATTGCGTAGTGCCTAATAGATAAGTAGGTGTTGATGTAATCAGTGTCGGCTACGCTGTTTTCTTTCTGTTAATTTAACTAACAAAACTTCAGTTGCGAGAACAGCTTCGTCCTGTCGTGCTTCTTGTCTTCACTTTGTCGTCGTCGTGTGAGCGGTTTTCATAATGTATGACGTTTACCAACTCGCCCTATTTGCTACCTTAAAGAAGACTAGTTCTTGTATAGATCACCAGTAACAGCGGTGACATTGTGCAGCCTAAAGGTCATGGGTGGCTCACCGTAGAAGGGCACTATCACACAAAGGCAACGTGTGGAAACACCAACACGAACAGCTAGAAAGCCTGCTTCTCCATGGAAGAAAAAAACCTTGATATCCTACTGACTGTTTTATTCTGGTTTCAAAGGTTAACAAAAGCTTCAAATAGAATTTCAGGCACCGCGTTGTTGCGCATGCACTTTCGGATTTTCGGCATTTAGTTTTGACGTTAGGTTTTAGGCAGACATTATTAAGTTTTCGAACATTTTCCTGTTCTTCCAGTTATGAAGTTTTAAGAAAACACTCGCCCGCAATTATTAATTTGGGAGCAATATACCCAATAAGCTTGACAAATAATACAAAAAAGGACATTTTCTTTTTTACAAAGCTGAGAAATTTTAATGATAGTAAATTAAGATGTGTTACGCATGATTTAACAACCTCCATAAAAAAAGAAGAAAAAAAAATCGGTGAGCTTTTCTCCGCATACGCTCAAGGGCCGGTGAGCTTTTCTCCGCATACGCTCAAGGGCCGGTGAGCTTTTCTCCGCATCCGCAGGTTTTGCGGTGAGCTTTTCTCTGGTGAGCTTTTCTCCGGTGAGCTTTTCTCCGGTGAGCTTTTCTCCGGTGAGCTTTTCTCCGGGATTCGGTTCCAGTCCAGGTGTAGCCCGAAACCATGTTGGCTGACACTTTGTGCAGCTTTTGACTCTGTAGAGTTTGAAAACTAAAAAAAAAATAGCAGAAACGTTCAATCTGAGCATAAAGCTGATAATCAGAGTATCATTATATTTCATTTCGTGTGCTCTCCTGGCAGAGTTTCGTTTTATTATAAGTGTGCTGCCCTGGCAGTTAAATGCTTTTCGTGAATAAACCTTCAACTAAGCGTAAGTGTGCAAATGAGCTGGTGTGAATGGCACATTACCGAAACCGCCGGACAGCCGGTAAAAAAAATGACACAGACATTCAAAAGTGTTTTAAGTGTCGGTCCTTTACCTCCAGTTTCATGTTTTCTGACAGGTAAATGAGTAAAACTTTTCAGTAAGTCGCATACCCATTTGTTTTTATACCAATGGTTTTTATTTCTAGTAATTTGGCTCCACCCTAAAGACAGTTTACCTTTATATTAACAAATGTAAGGTAAAACATCTATAAAGCACTGTTATGCCTCAAAACTCGATACAGAGAAATTCGATGAAACGGCCCTAAGCGATTCGATGAAACGGCGTTCGATGAAATGGCGTTCGATGAAATGTCCATTCATTCGATGAAACGGTGTTCGATGAAACGGCGTTCGATGAAATGTCCGCTACCCGAATGATGTTGATTGGGGCGAAGCTCTGGTGGTGCTTGTCTGCGTAGACGCTGAGCCGCAGCATGCCGAGCCTTTCGTTCGTTTTCATCCATGTCAGAAAGAGAATGTGTGTTATGGAACGTGGTTATATTCGCACTTGAGCATTTGACCGCAGCGTGACATGGATGAAAACGAACGAAAGGCTCGGCATGCCGCGGCTCACCGTCTACGCAGACAAGCACCACCAGAGCTTCGCCCCAATCAACATCATTCACCGCGTAAAAATGCGTTTTTTTTTTTTTTTTGTTTTTTTGGTTTTACACGAGCAAGGGAGCACTTGCTCACGTGCTTGTGATCCGACGGCGGACGGACAAGGAGCTTCGCCCACTTCGCCTCTAAAACAAGGGGGCGTGTAGGGAAATCCCGGAAATCGTACGGTCGATCGTGCGTGCTCACGCTGCTCACGCTACTAAAAGTAACGTTGTCCGAAACCACCTAAAGCATTCTGTAACCAAGCATATAAACAAAAAAATTAAAACTATTTTTTTTTTTTTTTTTTTTTTTTGCCACGATGACGTTTATGCGCGGCTATAAAACCGGTTGGTACATTTCACGCGTGGTGCAATTAATTAAAGATCCTAGAATTAGGGTCAATGTCCCCGATGACCAATGACCCAGCCTGTTTTTTTATTTTATCTTTTTACAACGGGCGTTGTTTTTTTGTTTCTTTTTTTCTTGCAATGTTGGGGAGCTTTGGCAGCCTTGGGCGTAGGTTCAACGGGAGCCAATCGCCATCAAGACCAGCCCAAAGCGACGCTCTTGGACGCTCTGTTGCAGTGGAAGCAGACGATAATTTAAAAGGCTTGCAGCCCGTCAAATAATGTAGAAAGTTCCTGAAAACAGCATGTAAATACCTTTAAACTAACAATAATGTCGGGCAGTAGGATTCACGGAACCAGCGATTCAAGTTCTCCTGACCTGGCGAGCGTTTTCAGCCGAACCCAAAGAGGTATGTTGTCGCTATTGTGTATGATATATGACACGCCTGTTCATTGTTTGCTCTGAAAGTGTTGCTCACACCGGAATTTTTTGGTGTTCGTTGTCCGTTGTCAGAAAGCCTTGATACCAAGCACAAATTGGAAATGTTAGAGGCCCGAAGATCCAATGTGACGGAGGAACAGGCATTGAAAGGCGAGTAACAAACTTAATGGACACATCACAACGAATGTGAGGTGTATCTTACGATATATTTTTGTTTGATCTTTTTTTTCAGTCATAGACCAGCTTTCGTTGCTTAAAATGAAACAGCGTCCAAAACAAGGTATGCTTTGTAAATCTGTTTAATGTGTGCAATTTTAGGCAAGCCAGTAATGTGGGCAGCGCTATATTTCGGCTTGCATTGTAATATTGTTTATCTTTCAGGACTTTGCGCCAAAGCTGACTCAGTATTATCTTGGTGCGCAGTAGTCGTTGATAACACACGGTGTTTTGCGTGCATGTGTGAACAATTAGTTCGCAAAATCTGCTTGCATGGCTTTTAATTTTTTTTTTTTTTTACTTTTTAGCCGAATGGGAAGCTTTGAAGTCAAAAATGTCATTCGTTCAAGACAAATGTTGCAAGTAAGTAAACTGACGCTTCACGTCCGTTTCTTGAAAGAGTGTGGGCGCAATGGGCTTGTTCTATAACTAGTGATGCAAACTCTATTGTTTTGTTCTTTAAATGATAAGCATTAAACGTTACAGGTTCGAAAAAGCAAATACAGAGGTGTCCACAAGAATCGCAGACCTCACTACTAGGATTGTTCAGCATAAAGCTGCAGAATTAAACAAAATGTAAGTGACTACTCTTTTTTTTTCTTTTTTGCAATTAGATTGCATTTTAATTTAAAGGCTGTGGCTAGGGTTCCGTCCAGACAAAACAATAGTTACCACTAGAGTTCCATCCAGACAGAACTGTAGTTCCGTCGAGATGTAACCACTAGAGTTCAGACCAGACGGGACCGATAGTTACCACTAGTGTTCCATCCAGATGGAAAGTTAGCAGACCCTGTAGAGTTCCGTCCTGATGAAACGACAGTCGCCATTAGAGTTCCGTTCAGACGGAATTATAGCCGCTGTTAAAGTTCCGTCCAGACGGAACTATAGCCATCATTAAAGTTCCATTTAGATGAAATAGAAACGTGCCACCGAAGCTCCATCCAGCGTACACGATGGTTAATACCTGTGCTCCACCCCTGACTCATTTCCGAAATAACAACTGGCAATGTTCCTGTGCTATTTTTAATGTAGTCCTGTTTAAGTAAAATGGACTCGTCCCAGCAGTTTGACATTTCTACTGCTTTCTGGAAAAAAAAGTTTGTTTAACCTCTGCAAACTATGCATCTCCGGCCTATATTACCCCATATCATTGGTGCACCACTCAAAAATGACGCGGGCCAAAAAATGTTTATTGGGAACTGTGCAGGTTTTCAATATCTGGCAGACAGGTTTTCAATATCTGGCATCATCGCACTGGTTGCTGTCTTGAGCACACCTTGCAGTGTCATATCCACGGGCCGCTTGCTGTGCACCCCCGCCTCACATACCTATTAAAAATTCCTTCCATGCAGGTGTTTCTTTTTTTTTTCTTTAAGTCTCTAGTCTTTGGGAGCCAGATACAGTGAATTCGGTCAATATAATTTCCAAAGCTTTGTTTAGGAACGGCAACCATTGTAATGCACGACCTGAGGCTGGCTGCATTGTAGTAATGGGGGAGCACTCCCTGTTTCTACTTTCCACGACGTTTCTCCTTGATTGCTGCCCATAATTTTCTAATTAGATTCACATAGTAAGAACCCGGTATTGTAACTCCATCTTGTAAATAAAACAAAAATTGCCCTTTGCATTTTGAGCAATTGACAGAGAGCCTGTTATTGTTACTCTAGCTTGGACGAAACTGCACGATACTGTCTACTGTGCCCTTGGGACGGAACGAATGGGACTTTACAGGGCTTGCTGCTGTTCCGTCTGGATGGAACTTTGCAGCACTCGCTATCGTTCCATCAAGGCGGAATTCTGCTAAGCCTGCTATCGTTCTGTCTGGACGGAACTCTACTGCGTCTGCTACTTTTCCATTTGGACGGAACTCTAGACACTCCGTTACTTAAAACCTGGGGCTGCAGTGATGCTCAAAACCAGAGCGCTCATTTGGGAGCCCATGGCACGCGATATAGCTTTTGAGTTTCACTCGAATACTGAATTATATTATTGCCATGAATGGCAAAGATTAATGAATGAGTTGCTATGGTTCTCCAGTTTCAGCTATGCTGTCTATATGTTCTACACAACAACCATTCATGCAACTAAAGCAGGATATACATACTTCTACCACTTTCAGAAGTATTCAGTACAAAACACTTTTTTTTTCTTGCAGTTGTCAAGCCACATTACTTTGCTGGCAGTACATAATAGAGCTGCTCCTATTTTATTTTATTTGTGGCTATTAATCTGAGAAGGTAGTTTCAATCTCTTGGGGTTCATGTGTAAGATTGAAGTCCAGCCTGATGCCCTTTGAACTTCATTGAATAGCAGCTGGATAGAAAATCTTGATCAATTATGGCTCTAAATTCTGTCATTACCTTCACAGGCATAACTTTCAGCAAGTAAAATGCTTTGTGTTCCATTTACAGAAATAACATCAGGGAACACGTGCAAGATCTGCAGCATACCCTTGCAGAAACTATATCCGTACGTCAAAGTTTTCTCTTCAGTTCGGGCGAACGTCTAAAGGGGCCATAAAATTATTTTCAGAATACAGCACAACTATCGCTTACGGGAAAAGAATTCCTGCTTGTGTGGTCTAGTGTTCATTTTAAGAAAGGAAACTGTTTAGAAAATGAGATGCCTCTTAAAGGGCAACTCCGCTCAAAAAGTCGACATTACAGTAATGGATGGCTGATATCGCTTTAGGGGGTCAAAATACAGTCACACTCAAAATATCACATCAAACCAACTTCGCATTCCAGAATAAAACTAATATTAAAAGTGTTCTACTGGCTGGGGTAGCAGCTAGCTTGTCAGTGGGTAAGCAGCGCTGGCAGCTGGTGAGCTAGTGAAGCAACACTGGGCAATGACGTAGGTTTCGTCCTATGCTCTCGTGCGGAGGCCGCGACGCTTCGTTTTTCGTGGCATTCTGCAATTCTGCTGACGGCAGGGGGTGCTTACCGCGTTATCTGGAGTTCTCCAATTTTTGTTTACGTTTTGGCAGTTCATTTAACTCCAGCATAGCTTCCGCGATTGCGCGAAAGGGAGCACAGCGGTGCTGCTCTCTCGCTCATGTGCGTGTCGTGGAGCCGGAGAGATTTGCCAGACTTATGTTGGGCGATGCCAAGCACGACTTGTAGTGCTGCAGTTTGCACCAACATAGTCGCGCTGCGCCGGCACTGAAGATTTACAGCAGTCAGATTTGCTTTTCGGCCGGCACATTTGTAAATGCACACTAACACTTGCTACATTTGGTGCATATTTACAAAGTGCAGCGGTAAAAAAAAAGAAAAGCAACTTCTGTTTTGAAACTTCATACGTGACTGAGCCGGCCGTGTCGGTGCGTCGGCTCAGGAGCGCGGGATAAGATCCACGTCCTGCCGTCGATGCGCAGCTCATTATCAGTGTTGCCAAGCTGCTCAAGGCGGGAGTTTCAGTTTCGCTGTGCTGCCGGAACAGAACATGAATACACAATATCTCCAAAACTATAGACACTACCGTAAAACAAATTATATCTCGTGATTCAGGATTGCCGACTTCAATTAAACAGGTCAGAACCCAAAAATCGTAAAAATGGAGTGGAGTTTCCCTTTAACTTTTACACTGTCCGGAGGCCCATGCAAAGAGACCTACAACGGGGAGTGGCGATTTTGTACTGTCTCCCGCTCACTAATGGGCATTATGGCAAGACTAGTGCTCCCTCCTACCATTACCCCGTGTTCTCCTGGTTCTCTTAATCCTTGAACAAGAAGGACGGGTACCTAGCCAGCAAGAGGATAACGCATAGCAAGGAAACAAACCTGGGTTGAGATTCAGCTTTTGTCCACTTTAAGTAAATGGCTCTACTGAACCTTGCATCTATCTTGCAGTGTCTCTAACGCACCTAAGCTTACACATCCAAGCGACAAAATTGACGGAACACAGTTTTAATATGATTGCACAGCTCGATCACCACGATTTACTCTGGCAAGCGTCAAGAAATATCACGCGGTGGTCCCTATGGCAGCCATTTTCTTTGCAATAACTTAGTGTGCTCGCGGTATTCTTGGGAGAGGTGATTTGGTGCTGATCATATATCCCCCGATGTTAAACATATTCACGTGCTGGAGTTGGCAGACTGCAGGACACTTGCTGATTTCCAGACGTTGGTGGGGATGAACTATTCCTGGCGTTACACCGATGGGACATGAACCCTTACTCGAATTTTCGCCGAGGTATTGATTGTCCCGTGCCCATGTGGAGTCCTTGTGCAGTGCTCATGTCCAGTCAATGAGTCGCATTCGACTGTCTTCAAGAAATTAACCCCGCAACTACCTTATTTAGTTTTGCAAAGGAGTGACCGAAAGAAGTAGTTTGCTTTAATTCCTGAGGTTATGCCATGGCGAAAAGTCTTCTGGGTTAGTCGCGTGATGTGCGGAATTAGTTGGGTCACACGAATGCCGGTGTGCTTGGAAAAAGAGAAAAACACGTGACCCCCTTAATTTAATGTACTGTTGTATTTCTTTTATTTGATTATACCCATATGTTACATTTCAATTTAATCTCCCATGCCGCCTCGTTCGGATGCGCTGTTCATTGCTGCACAAGGTATATTGAGATTTTAGTTTTTCTATAATGCACAATAAATGACACAGTTAGTCTTTGTCTTTGGTGCTTATAATTCAATATGTTTATTCATTAATTTTCCCTTAAAGGCCCTCCGGAGCGCGTTACATAGGGGGGGGGGGGGAAATGGGGGGGGTTTGCATGGTGTGGCTATACAGTCGATGTAACACTGTTTGGGTGAGTAAAAATACACAGTAAAATTCTACATAACGACACTCGGACAGAAATAGTTACTACAAAAACATTAGAAAACCGTATATGCATAAGTGAGATTTCCCCTTCTGATTTAAAGACAATAACAACATTAACAAGCAATAGCCCATGTAGACACTGATACGAACATTAACAAGCGATAGCTAACGCAAGACACTGGGATACATAAAAATGCCCAGTCGACAATACACATATCTTTAATACTGCCGTACTACCCTTTTTTTTTGTACATTTCAACACTCTCCAGCCCTTGTATTCCTGCATCAGGACGTGCAATTCTATAACATCTCGGGCCACTTCACCATTCAAATGCTCTTTTGAAATTAAATGTGTTTCATTAACATATATATTAACACAGGATCAGCAGCATGACACCGAAATTGCGAGAGGTTGGTGGCCGGTCTTTTATGCCATGGCTTCATGTTCAAGTCATGCGCTCCTCTGCCCTTCCCCTGCAGAGTCCTGAATGCCGGGACAGGCTCGTAGCATCGTTGACAGCGCAATGGAAGGAGTTGAAAGCAGGCTGTAAGTGTACGCATGGCCTTGTCCAAGCAATTCTCAGGCTCGCAGAAGTTTGAGATGTCTGTGTGTTTGTGTTGTCACCTCGGTCCGGAGAATTTTTCACCTTGGTGCATTGTAATAAGTTGTCAAGATGTGTTAATTATTATTAGGGGTGTGCGAATACCGAACAGTAGTTTTCGAATCGAATCAAGAAAAAAAAGCCGAATATCGAGTAGTGATTTTATTTGTAGGAATCTTTCAAAGTGTGCTGCGAATGAGATTATTATATGTGCAGAGTATGCGCCTGGTGCAGAATATGCATCTCGTATGGAACAAAAGCTCAAATGTATAAAAGTTCTGGTGAAAAAAAAAAAAGAGCAGCTGCTGTTGGACGTTGGGCACTAATGATCCAATATTATGGTGCAAACAATCTATCTACCCTAAACGTCGCAAAAAAATCCCAAAGTGACCGCCATGCATGCCTTTTTTTTTCCAATTTAAAACACAACCTACCACCGCAACATTTTTTTTTTTTTTTATATATTTGTGTATCTCAGGAAAGGGGCATTTTGCGATATTTGGTCTTCATTTTAGGGAAGAAAATGGGCACCAGGGATTTTATTTCACATCAATAAAAACATGTAGGTGTTAAATCTGAGTAAACAGGCTTAAACAATATAATCTGAAGTGAAAAAAAAAAACAAAAAAACATGTGGTTAGGTAGTGCAAGTCACCGTCCAACTGCTGCTATGCATCCATTCCTCTGTCCATCTATCCTGTTATTGAGAGCCTAGATTTAAAAGAGGGAGCAAACGAAACTGAAACCATGGAGACAGCTCCAGCGCAGATTGGTTGTAAAATGCTCATGTGTTGAGTTGTCGCGTGGAAAGAAGGTGAGCAAACCGAAGAGCGACAACGCCTGCCCTGCCTGCCCGATCCCGATCGACGCTTTCATCTTTAATACCTTCTCACAGTTTGTAATTCAAACGCGGCTATCGAGCGGTTGGAAACCCTCTCAAATCTAGGCACACTATTTTTCCGTTCCGTTTCGTTCCGAATCGGAGAATTTGCGGCTTGCGGTTCCGAAATAACGATGAAAACTCGGCTGGTGTCATCGGCGTGGTTAACGTGGTTTTCTTTCTGTGATCGTGCAGTCGCCGATTTATGTGAGTGCGGCAAGTGTGTTTTACATCAGCGATTCAATTTGAAACGAGGGGCTTTATTCGTGAAAAGAATTAGGCATGGTGCGGAATTCCGGCCTCCCAACAATACCTCTCTGGAAGCGGTGCAAACGGGATGTTGCGGTTATGATTCAAGGGTATGCAGAACCCAGGGATCCTGGGTTCAATCCCCACCCCTGCTCGTTTTGATCTGAATAAGTATCGTACCGGCGTGCGGTCGTGTATCACTACTGCGTGGTGCACGTCAAAGACCCCAGGCTAGTGGTTGTACTGTACTGGCTAAATTTCTCATCTACAGCTAGGAGACTCGTCGCCCGTTGAGGCAGACCAAGTTCTAGGCTGTATGAACACACACACAACCTAATTTTTTTTCTTTAATTCAAGGGTAGATTTGGTTGCGATCGTGAGTTAATCTGTGTGCCATAAAGTTTGTGGCGTTCATTAATTCTTTTTTTTCGAACCTGTGCGTTAGAGTTTTGTGGAATGGTAGGACCAAGAGGTTTCTCGCATTGTCTGTCTAACATCACGGCACTTAGATCGGAAGAAAAAGTGGCTTTTTTGTCAGCTCCATGCCGACCGCGCGTCCTTGGCCGAATATATCGAATATTCGAGTGACAAAATACTAAGAAATCGATTTGCGAATCGAATTATTCGGGAACTTCCTATTCGATTCGAATTCATATATTCGAGCATTCGCACACCCCTAGACTATTATGTAGTCAATCTAATGCTATCTTTTATAAATATTGTCGTTTACACATGAGTAAATCCTGTATTATCTCCAAAATTGTACTATATTCAGTTTTAGTGGCGCTAAACCATCCCTCTCTTGAAGAGCCTCACCCCATTGCTACCATGTACCGGATACTCCTTCTCCCCAGTGTACCCGTGAACGCGTCGCTGCACACGTCACTTGGAAGACTGTGCGAGAGTTCAAAGCGGTCGGGAGGCGCCCAAAACATCAATTGTTTGGCTTTTCTAAAAAAAACAACTACTGTGCACAGGTTTTCATTTTTTTGCTCCAAACATGACGGGGAAAAACTCTGACAGTTATTTGACCAAAGTTCAAACATTGTTGCACGGCCCTTTTAAGGACGGTTCAGTCATTTGCGCTTTGGCGGGACTGACTGTATTGCAACTCCTTGCATTCCACTGCAACGCGTTGCGTGGAGTTGAAACAAGGTGGCACCGGTGCACGCGCTTAGTGCTTGAACGCTTTTGTTACTGTACTATATAGCAGGCGGCAGGTTAAGAACGAGCTTTGTGCCTTTGATGATAACGCTTTGTTGCCTGCGCAACCAAGGTCCAGCGGAAGGTAACAATTGCACACTTCTTTTGAATTCTACTGAAAAAGAACACTGCTAATGAGAAAGGGGTGCCTATAACATAGTCAGAATTATTTTGAGCTCATGGTGAAGGAATGATCTGTGAAGAAATTAAGAGATATAAGCACACCGGAAGTCGGACAGCTCTACCAGATAGATGACAACACCGTGTTGTCTTGTTGTAAACACCCCAAGCGGTCGTGACACAGCCAGTCACACACTCAGTTGTCAATCTTTCGAAAATGAAATTTTGAAATCTACAGTAATTGTTCTTCCGAATCTATCAGGTTTCATAGTCTGTGAATGGATATTTGAGCTATAAATCTATTTATAATGTCCCCGCGGGCTGAATGTGCTTTGAAGGGGCTCCACTTTCCCGGGACAGAAATTTGGGAGTCCTAGCAAATTTGCAGGATGAATATCTTAGCATCTAGGGCAAGTGGAAGTATAATTTTTTTTTTTTTTTTTTTTAACATGTAGTTTAAGTGAAGCCTACAATGTTGCAAACAGATTTTTCAATATACTCTAGGTATGCAGGGAACTTTTCCGAGCGATTTTCTTATTTATTACTCGGTAGCCACAGGTTGAACACTGAACTTAAAAGTGTGATGAAATCACTAATAATGGGTTAAACTTAAAAGTACTCTCAACAGTGCAAACTTTGCAGTTTGCAGGATCTAGCCATGTGTTAAACAGAACATTTTGTTGAGCAGTTATTTTTCCTATAGTCCCTTCAAATAAAGACAGGTGACTTTTATTTATCTTCATGATAATCTATATAATACTCACTGAGAAAATGCCCAGATGTTTGAAATCGGCTCTAAAAACTGAACAAGCTTGTACAGTTCCATCGGTTTTGGTCATAAAATGAGAAGAAAAGCTTTGAGACCAGTGTCCCACTCCAAACCTCGCCGACCAAACAAGTTCATTATTTGAGCCATTGGTGCTTGAATCAGGATCCAGGTTGGTAGGAGAATCGGCAAAACCGCGCAATATATAGTACACGGTTGGACAGGTATGCCAGTCGGTTGATTTTTCAAAAGTCACTCCTGTGATATATTTATAATTTATATCTGTGGACAAGGGGACAAAGTGTGATGTGCTCTGGAAACGTTTCTGCAGTCATCAACCTGGACAGCGAGCTGCAGTGCACCGAGGAGGCAGAGCTGAGGGAAGCCAAAGACGAGAGAGTGACGCTAGAGGAGGCGAATGATGCCCTGTAAGGCTCTTTATTTCTTCTTAATTTGTCTTAATTTGTGAAACGCCCGGTGCATTCTGAGTTGTGCCACTTCGCATTGTGTGTGCGTTGTAACTGACAGCATCAGGAATGCTTCGCATTCCTGATGCTGTCAGTTACAACGCACACACCGTAAATCTGAATCATCGTGCACAGAGCCTGCTGTTCGAACTGTCCCTACAGCATACCCCAAAAGAGTGGGAGTTTTTGTCCCGTGGGTAATTTTCGCAATTAAAATGACAAATCCAAGCTGGCAGAAGGAAGACCTCGTTTGGTCCCAGGACCCAGTGTTTTAGTTGACCAACGAGAGACTGTAAAAGAGACGAGGGGTGTTGTGTGTGCGGTCCTACACTTGCTCTATAAACATGCTCTCTTTCTGTGTGCAGACTTCTTTAGTCGAGGCACTAGTCATGTCCAGTGTTGGTAAGTACTTTAAGCACACTGTACTTAAAGTACTACACACTTAAGGAGGTTTAGCAAACTTGTACTTTACTTAAAGTGTTTCTTCTGATACTTTTCGAGGCGAGCACAACTTCTGACTTCAGAGTATGTTCCTCGAATTTGGTCTTGTTAAATTTGTATCTTAAAATGATGCTTTGTTAATCTCATCAAGGTTAATTCAGGTTTCGACTGATCGTTCAGGACCAGTCATTGTACTTCTGGGTTACGACAAAAGCTGCTGTTTGTGTCCAGTTTGAGTTTGTGCCTCTTAGAGGAAGGCGAGGTTTTGTTCTTCTAACAGCTATGAACCCTAGAGGTGTCATGGGAAAGGTTGGGGGGGGGGGGGGGGGGGAGGGAGGGAGGGAGGGAGGGAGGGAGGGAGGGAGGGAGGGAGGGAGGGAGGGAGGGAGGGAGGGAGGGAGGGAGGGAGGGAGGGAGGGAGGGAGGGAGGGAGGAATTCACTTTTATATTACACCTTGTACCACTCCACCCAGCATAACTGCCAATAAGATGGTGATAAAAATAGGATGGCATAAAAACGAGCTTCCCGGTGGCTACCTCCAGGAGTTTAGCTATTTTAAGGTATCAATGTTTATCCAAGCTACACTTGTTTGCATGTTCTTTTTTTTTGTGAGGGTATCAGTGGAAAATTCGTTTGAAGAAATATTATTCGATATAAGCACATTCTTTTGAATCTAGCACATGTTTACACCCAAGTAATATTTATCTTTATTAAAAAAAATTAAATAATGCAAATTTAAGCTCCGAATTTCAAAGAATTGGGAATCTAGCAAAAAAAAGAAAACTCCGAGACCAGCTCAGAATTTTGGCAAGAAATTAGCTCCAAAAAACACCTTCTGAACATGATGAAAAATAAAGTACGAAAAAATGGAACCCTACTTAGGCCCGCTACGGATTAGGCAATTTTTCCCAGCAACGTGACGTCGCAACACCAGCAACGCAGGCCGCCTGCATTCACACGCAGCATCTGAATTGCTATGACTTGTCATCGTCATCATGAACTTTTATTTTTCTTGCACAATTTAGACGCACAGTTACATGCTAAAAACATGTTTTTATACCTTTTAATTGCATTGAGAATACTAACTCGCTTTTCTGAAACAGTTTATATCCAAAAACTATCTATTTCAAACGAGAACCAAGTCTTTAGTTGTCATCATCATCACAGGGGTGTCACATGAAAATATTGAATCCATGATTGGCTGCTGCCGCTTCAAACGTCTTTGAGTTGTCGGAGTAGCTCGTCCGTTTCAAGCCCAATCTCAGCCGGGCCCGCTTTCAGCAATTCATTTCGATCTAGGGAAAGCTAGGGAACAACCCGCCAGCAACCCCGAAATTGCTGGAAAAGTTGTTCCGTATGAAGCGGGCCTTATAAGTTGATTGTGCTAGATAGTTTGTCAGCAAGAGTAAAACAACTACTCTGTGGCCACTTGACTTTATCTGATATTTGCCACCTTTTCCAGAAATAACTAATGCACCCCGGATTACCCTTTGGCAATGCATATCAATTAAAAAAAAAAAAAAAAAAAACTATAGAAGAATGAAAGGGCATCATAAAAGATTGTGTTAAAAGTACTTTTACTTTACTTTGAAAGTGCATTAAATTTATAGTTATTGACTTCAAGTACTTACTACAAGTACATTAGTAAGTACTAATCATAGAGTTATTACAATAAACGCTAGAGGCTCAGCTGGCGCTAGTGTGCTGTTGCATTTTGTAGCAGACAGCAAGCAGTCAGAAATTGACTTCCGGTAATGCATTTCTATGGGAAAAAGTGAGTGCATTTTCTCTCTGCGCTCGGTTATAAGACCAAATATCACTAATAATTTGTACGTACTAGGCACATTGTAACATTTCTCAGTCATGCAGACGAAATAATTAGTCAGTTACAGTATTTTTATTTGAAATTTGTGGTATGAAAAACGGTGTTAAAACCGCTTCATATGTGTATTTATGTGCACTGTTGCGTGTCTCCCATTGCACTGTAGAGGCAGAAGTGAGGAGGCATGGTGCAGATAAAGTTATTTTAGCCAAAATTTTCTAATTAAATACCAAATGGCTGCTGCGTTTTTCTCCAAGCCCTTTTTACGCAACTTGTTAATGTTGTTACCAAGCTTCTATTTACTCAATGCCGAGCTCACTGAAACTTATTCAATTAATTGGCTTGTCCTCAGATAATTGAAGACCTACTCATGTGTGGCAAGTAAACAAAGGATTTTACATGATAGGGTTGTGCGAATATTAGAGTTTTCAATAGTAGTTTTGAATAATATGCTATTGAATATTTGCTTCGAGATGAACTGCAATATTGACACTTTTCGAAGTGCTGATAGCGGAGGGTTAACAGGGATTCTACTCCTGCGCCAATTGCGCCATTTTGCGCCGAAGAGGTTTTCCTGCGCCATCCTGATAAAAAGTTGCAAAAATGCCCGAAATTGCGCCAAACTTCTCCTAAATCAGGTGATGGGAATCGGGCGGCGTCTAGCACCACCTGTCCTAGTCAAGGTGTACTTCACCTTGGCTGAAGCAAACGCAAGTCTTGCTGAAAATATGACCGAGCTTGCAGGTCTGAATGAAAACCTACAAAACCTTTAAAGAGCAGGCTTTTGATAAGCTCATGGTGTTTGAAATAAACCAGGTGATATATGTCAGAGAAGCAGTTTGATAAGCTCTTTGTGTTTGAAATAAGCGAGGTGTTGTAAGTTAGATGAACCGGTTTGTCATTCATTTTATTGTGAAGGTAGTGCCTCCTATTTCCTCGCAAACGTTTTCTCAAAGGTGTTGATTTTCTTGTTTTCAATGTCTTTCTGCGACCAATATATCATACTTGTCTGAAGAACTTACTAATGTAACATTTAGTAGCATCGAAAATTGTCAATCTACACCTAGGTTCTCTGAAGTACTAGACTTGGTACACAAGTGCTCAAAATTGTTCCAAAAAATTATATTTAGGTGCTCCAGAATGCTACAAAATTCACATTTAGGTGCTCCAAAATGAATATTTTGGTGCTCCTAATATTTGAGTGCTTCAAAAATTGCTCCAAATCTGGTCTTGGCAGTAGCATCACTGGGTTAAGCCCGTTGAGTGCACTTCTCACCGAGCATCCGTGCACTGCGGGGAAGCAGTACCCGCGGAGCTCGCATGTATTGCTTCCCCACAGTGCACAGGTGCTCAGTTAGAAGTGTACTCAATGGGGCTAACCCGCTGCAAATCTTTTTGCGGGTTTTATATTTTTCAGAATAGGGGTAAAAATTGGGTGCTTGGTTTCAAGCTGGCAATCGGAAAGAAATAATATTTTTTTAAGGATCATGAAATTCAGGTTTTTAGCTTATTTCTACAAATATATAACTAAATTAACATTAAAAAGCATTAATTAGTTTCTATATATGGAATTATTATTTTTTTTTTCACAATCGAGTCAATAAAGTACACTATGTAGCATTAGAACATGGCATAAGAGCTCGCTTGGGCTTTTCAATTTTTCATAATCTGTGTTGCTTACATAATCTGCATGCACAGCATTAGTCGCCATCCTAAACCTGTCTTTGGACACTGAGCTGAGAGAACATTCTCCACATCGCAGCTTACCCATACATTTACAATGTGCAACACTATCATTTCAGTTTGACAGAAACAAAATATCTTCTGTTCCTTTCGAAACAAGGTTTTGAGACTTAGTTTGTCATCCTCTCTTTTTTTTTTCACTGGTTGAAACAAAGAGAGAAGTGCAAAGAATGCTGTAAACGACTTATTTTTCGCGTGCTCAATATTTCACGATTTAGGTCAAAGCTGAAGTTTTGAAATAACTCGCGGGTCCTAGTTTTTGCGACGTGGTGGGATCTTAATATAGATTCCAATGTGTTTACATTGTACCGGAATTGTTCGCGGGACCTATTTTTCGCGAATTGTAGGCGATTCATGAAATTTGTGAAAATTAAGTTTGCACAAAAATTACATCGTTCACAATAGACATAAAAGCAACATTTTGAAGCTTCATCCATGTCACTGCAGTTCACTGAAGCCAACAAAATCTATGTTTGTTTCCAAGCCTACCAAACCTACACTTCCTATAAAATATTTTTGAAGCAGATTAATTAAAAATATAGTGAAATTAAACTTTCGAATTCGGGAAAAAATTGGGTTTAACCCGAATTTCAAGAAACATGTTTGTGGTGTAAATATCGAACTTTACCCGAAAACAAAAGACCCTATGCATATGTTGGGCAGCAATGTCTTGATAACCCAAATTCATCAGTTGTGCTTGTTTTTTATGTTGTAAAAGTTGAAATTTAGGGAAGAATATTGTTATATAGTACTCGGATCTAAAAATCTACTCAATTAGAATAGTTGCGACAAATTTGTCGTTCACATGTCACAGTTCACAAATATACATAGTTATGTTAAAAGTAGCTGAGCTTAGGAGTAAACAAGTGGAAGGTTGACAACAACTTTGACGAGTTTAGCTGAATTCTTGTTTAAGCATGGTACACGGTAGTAAAAGGCATGGAGAAACTATTCTACATCTGATTAGAAAATATTCGGCCAAAATCGCTATTCACTTTGCACATGGCAAGACATGAACGTAAACCTGAAGTGATGCCTGGCTGTAGATAACTCAGGAGATTTACAAATCGTCTTGCTATGCAGATATCCTTCCTTCAACTTCAAACTTGAAAAAACAAGGGCAACCATTATGATGCATGCAGCTCAGCTAACATATATTCCCGCATAATAGAAATACCGTAATATACCGAGCATCCACCATCCACCAGTACATATATATAGTAGGTAGAATTGATGACATAACAAGCACCCATTCGCTAATTTTCGCGGTTATCTCCATATTTTGAGCGGGCGCTTGCTCGATATTTTACGGTAGTTTAGTTTTTAATATTTTACTGCAAGATAAATATCAACATCCACCAGGTTATTATTATTATTTTTTTTTTAAATGTGTCAGGCACACGTTAGCACTATCCCGCTCTGGATGAGTGCTTTTCTCCCAAGCACGTGGCTGCGCTGCGGCAAAGCTGGATGCGCAGCATTGCTGGATTTTCCGCTTTGTGGTTATCGCTTCTTTGCAGTGCACTAGTGCTCAGTGAGCAGTGTGCCCAACGAGGCTAAATAACCACGACCATTCATACTTTTCTCATGCAGCAGGTACAAGGCTGGCGATGCAGAAACGCGCATAGCAGATATCTGTGTCTTTGCGTCGCTAGCCTTGTGCCTGCTACACGAGTGGAAACTTTCGAGTCCTCCTATAAGACCATTCCATCTAGCGCCCTCAGGGCGGCGCCATTTTGTTCGACCGCGGCACCCTCTCCCCACATTCGGGAAGTTCAGCAGGTTCGCTCTCCATTTTTGGGCTGTACCGGCGGGCTGTACCAAACATCGAGCTCTCGCTCGTGGCTGCCGTTTTGAAGTGGTTTGCGTTCTTAGAATATTTATAGCCACTCCAAAATCAGCCTATTGCACTCTGTTGTTTTATTTCAGGATCGACTAGCGTATTTTTGTTCCGTTACTTCATTAGCAGTGGAGTTAGCCGGCAGTACTACCTTCAGCCACTGCGTCTATTGCGTCAGGAGAACACATTTTTATTATTCCAGACTTCCACTCATTGTCGCTAAAGGCCTACACCAGTATGAAGTTTTTATGGTAAAAAAGCTACAGCAACTAAATTTACTTTTGGCCGAAGAGACCGGCCATTCTGACACAGTTTATCCTTTTTCTTTTTATTCGCACGCAGGTAACATTGCTATTAGACTCGGTTAGTTTTTTTTATCGAGCATAGCATTACATGATAGCTTGCATATTAAAATCCGTGCATCTGCGCTTTAAATTTCCAAAATGACGCGATTTTAAACCGAATTTCAACGCCAGCCGGATGTTAGGTAGAGCCCACTCGGCAGATCAGATGACACGCAAGGTGAGAAGCGGAGGGAACTTTTTCTCTCTCCTCTCTTCCTCGTGGAACGGTCTATAAGTCTGATTTAGAGGTTTTCAATGAGTCTGAGCAAGTTTCTAATTAAAGCCATACTTTTTCCCCACTAGTTAAGAAGTTAATGAACCAATCTTAGCTAAATATTTTGATTATAGGGGACTTATCGCGACAATTATCCCTCTATATATACATGTCCCCCTGGCCATATAAGTCTGCTGCGCAGACCGGATTAGTGTCCCTTTCGCAGCTTTTTCTTAATTAGATCCGTCCGAACTAAAATCGGACACCCTGGTCTGTACACGGCCAATACATCTCTCTCCGTTTCTGTGCAGGAAAGTCTTTGAAGTCGGACAAGCCAGTCTAGAGAGGACACTCGCCGCCCTCACCAAGTGGAAGCAGCAACTAGAGGATGAATGCGAGAAACTGTCTCGAGAGGCTTAGGCCTTACTGTACTCTGCTCCCACTGCCACTGACAAATGCCAAAGAGCCTGTGATAGCGGCATCTTTAGCGCATCCTCCGACGTGTCTAGCGAGGTGCCAGGCCCGCCCCCAAGTAACTGTTTTCGAAGCTTCATTTTTACTTAACCCTCGTTTTCTTTTCTACGGGCCCCTCGGTTTATAGGGGGGGCGATGACCATGTACCGAAAAAATAAAACATTCCGAGCCTTTCTCTGCGGTGTAGTCGACTAGTCAAACAGCCTTCTTTTTTCTTTTTATCTAAATTACTAATATACTTTAAAGAGCAGCAGATTCATCCCTAAGAGATCACTAATGTGCCTGCTAAGCACTTCGATACACATCCTTTATACTCGTGCCATTATCCAGTTGTGCCCCTGGGTACTGACAACGTATACACTAACGTGTCTGTTTCTTTTAAAACGCAACTGTAAAGCTGGAATCCCTTGACACGGTAAGTGCAGGATTACTCCAGACCATACAAATCTAGGCCATTTGGGAGTCTCTAAAGTGATCCTGTACAATGCAACTGCTAAGTTGGAAATTGCATAGTTCAAAAACGTATGTCGGAACAGGAGCCACACAAATGAAGGCTGGCAAGTAAGCATAAAAACCCCAAAATAAACATCAAACCCAGGTATGCAATGGATTAGAGAAGACAAATGAGGTGCATGCAACTAGACATTGTTTATGTAGGTGCAGCTCAAAGGAACAAAAATTTGCTCGACTGGCTATCAAATTTTGTCACAACTTTAAACATGTTGCCAATTCAGTGCATTGCAGCTCCGAGTGCGTCGAGCAAAAGCTTGCGCTGCACAACTTGGGGATTTGGGTTCAATCCCCACCCCTGCCTGTTTCGATCTGAATGAGCATCGTACCAGCGTGCGGTCGTGCATCACTACTGAGTGGTGCACTTTAGAGACTTTGGGCTAGCGGTTGCACTGCACTGGCTAAATTTCTTATCTGCAGCTGAAACGCCAGATCCCCATTGAGCGAGATCGAATTCCGGCTGTCTAAATATGCACGCAACACCATTACTGATGGATTGGGTGTTTCAATTTAGCAACTTTCTGCGGACAAAGCGAAATGCAGAGAAATGCTTCGTTTGGAAGTTTTTTTTATTTTTTCCTCGGGTAGCTATACCACACCTCAAACACTCGGCTACTCTACAGAGATCACAATCAACTTGACTAGGTCATGCAAGACAAACAAGAGTGTGCTGTTCCTTTTTCCACAAAAGAGTTTGTTGCAAAAACGTTTAGGGTGAAACTATACATAGCTATGTAGCAAATTTGATGAATCTTTAAAAATATTTCTTTTTTTGGCCGGACCAGTGGGAATTGTTGATTGCCATCGATTTTTGCTAGAACTAATTTCTAAAGAAGTTCCACTAAGCTTTTCTTGAAAAGAAAAAAGTAATTTCACAGTGGAATTTGAAGTTGCAACCACCCTGAAGTGTGTGTTTGCCAGTACCCAGGCAGACGTTGATTAAAGGCCTGTCTGGAATAGAAGGTGTAAGTTCACTGCAGTGGCTCTAATGTCATCATGCGACTTCAGAATCATTGGTTATTCAGATAAAACTGCCAGCCCATACTACCCACGACGCAGCCATCAGATGTTGAAATCGGTAACTGCAAGAATGCTTGAAGAGGCTAGTAGCCTGGTACCTATCCACAAGCTGCTCTTCAAATGTTGAATCTTTTGCCAAACTCGAAAGCAGAATTTGGAAATCGGAACCAATTCGGCCATGATGAGTCACTATCGCACACAAGCACTGCAAAATCGATCACAATTCCTCTAAGGTTTTAAGTTGATGACGAAGTCCCCTTGCATGCTGCTGACTTTCAGCAATGCAGCACGTGACGGCTGCAAGGCGCTTGCGACCAGTCCATCAGCCCAAGTTCTGGCACTTGCCATGCGATGGTCTTGTTCTTCTCCAATGTTGAATTGCGCAACTCCAGAGGACAACATGTCTGTCGACGTCGTGGAATATGCGACCCAGAGAAGTCCTCAATAGCGCTTTGCTTGGCACAGATGGATGCGATCGTCCTCCAGAGTCGACATCAGTACAAGAGGACAAGAAACTGTAGACGGACCCCGTCGCAACCTCCGGTCCTGACCATCACTTGTTCTTGGCCTTCTTTGTCTTCTGTGTGGCCCCGCTGTAACACGTCATCATGTAGCAGAGGACAAACGTGTTGGCCACCAGAAAGATGAGACTGGCCACCCAGACATGCAGAAACAGCGGCTTGCCCGCAAACTCGAGGTAGTACGCCTCCGCAAGCCACAGTGCCTGCCCGCCGAGCCACATGAACAGCAGCAGGACGCCGTTCCGGAGACTCAGGTTCAGCTTGGGCAGCGCCGCAGGCAGCAGGCACAGGTACCAGAGGAAGTACTGCGACGTGACCACCTTGTTGAAGCCGACCAGGACGAACGTCTCGCAGAAGAGTGCGAAGGGAAGGTCGTTGAGCTGCCCATACTTGAAGGACACCATGGCCATGAGCAGTAGCTGCGGCAGGAACGCGGCTGCCGTGCTCATGGGCATCCCCTCTTCCTCCGCGAGGTAGAGCGAATAGAAGAGCGGTGAGAAGTTGTGCCGGACATCTTTCCTCGTGACGTGGTACACAAACGCTTCCTGGACATACTCCGTACCATAAGCCAGGTAAGACCCAAGCGACGGCACCAGGCAGGATGCAGCGCAGGCGCCGACGAAGAGCATCTTCCTCCGGTTTGGCAGCAGGAGGCGAGACAGGTAGGACCGCAGCGTCTCGGAGTCGCCTTTTGTTGATCCTGACAAAGGCCGCGTCTGGAGCGCGAGGTAGAATGGGAGCGCATAGACGGCCGTATACATCTTGAGGTGCACCGAGAGTCCGTACGCAAGCCCAGCCACTGTGTCCCTGTTCTTGAGGACGGCAAACAGGGCGAATACCACGAGGACTGAGAGGAGAGAGTCCGCGTTTCCCCGTGTGGACACTGCCAGCGTGATCGGGTTGTAGAGCCAGAGGCACGTGCAGAGCACGGCCTTGCGTTCGCTGAACCTCGCTGTGCGCACAATGTGGTGCAGGTAGTAGCCCACGAGCACGTCCGCCACGGAGAAGAGGGCCTTTCCAAAGGACGGGTGGAGAAGGATATTGGGGACAAGCAACACTGCCAGCAGGGGGCTGTAGCGGTATGTGTCGCGCAAGAAGGGCGACCGGCCGTTGGCCACGTACGATGCGCCGTCCGTGAACACGTGGTAGTCTACGTCCGTGTACTTGACATGGAAGTGCTGGTCTTGCCATTCGCCGAAAGCGATGAGCACCGCACGTATGAGGCCCGCTAAGAAGAGATGGTGGTACAGCTTGACCTTGCCGACAGCGAATCGGCTGTTTGACTGTTGCACCATCATGTAAGCAGGATTCTAGGAGCTGGCGGTCGGACTGTACGTGATGTGAAACATCGAGGAACGGACGCGGTGATTCTATGTTTTGCTTTTAAGTTCCCCTTTGGCCTTCTTCGACGCTTCGTCCTTCAGAAATCCGGAGCAGCAGCCTGACATCTCTCTCCACTTTTCACAGCATTTGAGCATCTCCTTGATGAACTTGACACAGGCATCCTCTTGGTAGTTGTTCTCTGGAAAGAAGGAGATAATGAGGCATTATTTGTGTGCACCTCTGTTTTCGAGCTGCAGTACGTGTACCCGGATGCACTGGCACCCAAGGGGTACTCCAAATGTTTCTGTAGTTGTGGCTAACAGCAAGATGATACTGTCACCATGCAAGCTTTCTTTCTCCCTCGCTTTCAAATTCTACGCAGGCTTTGCAAACATGATTACCAACAAGCTTTGCCTGTCCCCCAATTTGAGTGAGCAGACTGCACTTGGCACTTTGAAGGTGTTATATGTTTTGTGCCCTTGTAAATCCTCCCCAACAACAAATATAATATAAAAAAAATGTGAGCAAACCTTACCATAGACAATTATTTTAGTAAAAAGATAACCGTTTCCTTTAAGTATCTTCCCCAGAGCGCGTAAACTATATGCATGCTCGCAAAAGCAAGTGCGCATATTGCGCTAATCCACGTTAAGATTTTGTCCATAATATACATTTTCCTGCAGCACATCACTGGAATAAACAAGTTTTCGTGTTAAAGCGCAGCAATCGCTCTCTCAACTGTAGTCAAGTTGCAGCTCGAGGAATGAGCGCTTTCGAGCGCATTAAAGGCAAGGTTGAAATGGCTGCGCGACCCGTGCTTTTATTAGAACAGGGTACCGCGATCAATTTGAGCCACGATAACTACATAGTATCACCGCCCTTAGCGGCAAAAGAGGAGCACATTAGACAGCGCAGCGGATTGTTTCATGCGCGCAATCGAGCTTCACCCGCGACCTCAGCAGCAATCGATTTCATGTGCAGCGCGGCAACGGGTACTTCCAATTTCGCGGATGCTACGAAGTGCTAAACTGTATCTCGATTAGTTGTAAAGAACTTTTGCAAAAAGGCGTGAGCAATCATTTACCTTGGAGGCATTTTTGGATGGCGCACGCCTCTTTTTGGCACGGATCAACGGCTTTCATTTGATGCGACCACGCGAAGGCGATCACAAGAATACAAAACAAATGAAAACTTGATTTGGCCCGCGATTTGCAAGCCAGTGCGACACCGCCGACGGAGCCGACACCGACAACACCGCCTGCGGATGTAGCAACGCAAATAAATAAAAATGATAAAAGTTTTTTTTTTTCCCGAGTAACCGGCGACGTAAAGGTAATGAAAAATTTCTAACGGTAAATGAACAAACCCAAATTTGGGCAAGTGACCAAACGGTGGCGCGCGCTGTCGACAACAGAGGAGAGCAGACGACACCGATGCTTTAAAATAGCAGCATGTTTAAAATAAAGACGAGCGTTTTCTGTGAGCTTATAAATGCACAAGTTAAAGTGGTCGCACGAATGCTTTCCCTTTTGTTGGTTAAGTTTATACTGAGCGAGATAATGAATTCTCAAATTGCTCCATGCGCTTCATGCCCAGTGCGCTTTCAACGCACGCTTCAACCTTTAAACTGACGTACTAAAATAGGCTCAAACAAGGCAACTTTTCTGTGGCGGAGAGGAAACTGCGAAAAGGTGAAAACGAATGAAAGCTCTCAAAGCAGGCTGATAGCTCATTCAGATAACGAAAAAAAATCAACAACTCCCCGCAATAAAACAAAACAAAACAAGGCGGTTGTTATATTAGCCGCTCTCCACTCAGGTGTTCCAGCTGACTGGAAAGGACAAAAAAGACAATCGTATCTGTCGCAAGACTGCTACTGGACGCTGTCTTTATCTTTTGTTCGTATCGCTCGCTGAGGCCGACCTCATGAATGAGCTCCCCTAATTCTCGTGATTTCTCGCGTAGTGACGAGATTTCGTGAAGTGAACCATGGAAGATGGCGGCTGATAATGATGTACGATTAATAGAGCGGTTACGCGTCGTGATCGGTGAGTATTGCTCGCTTATTGCCTTCTTTTCGACGTTACAACGTCCCGAGCTTTCGTTTGAGTGTGAGAACGTCGGGATCCTGCGCTTGCGTTCGAGTTTCCGAAGTGTTGACACCCTCGATCCGCGAGTAGGCTTATCCAACAGGTTGCCGTCGCGTCGTCGCTGCTTGACTTCTCGTCCGAATTTTTGGGCTCGACTTTTGCTTCTCCGCACGTCCGATTCTTCGGACTCGACTGGTTCATTCGCGCTGATTCGAGCCGTGCGTCAGCCTCGTCGGTCGCGTGAGTAACGACCTTGAGCGTTCGTGAATGATCCCGGAAAAAAAATTTTTGCTTCCTTCATTCATTCATGAAAGTTGTAACGCCGAGGGTCTTTATTTTTCTGAATGAGTGTCGCAAGCTGCTTTGATTGCCGACGCTCGCTTTGGTCTCGGCGGCGCGAGCCGCGTCTCATTTTCGCCGCGCCCTAAGACGACTTGGACGAAACGTACCACCCACGGGTGTCAACCAACGCACGAAACAGAAAAAGAAAGAAAAGAAAAATAGAGCGAGTGTTTTGAAAAAAAGAAAAAAAAGTAAAATAAGAGCGTGGGACAAGCACGCGCTACTCCCGCGGTCCGCCGTACAAGGCCTAGTTTACGGCAAGTTTTTAATCACTCGACACTTATTCTTTACATTACGCCAATTAAAGAGACTCGTCTCCTATTGTTTGGTCGTTCCAGGCGAAGCCAAGAACCTGCCACCGAGGAGTCATGGTGCCGTTGAAGAGCGTGACGTTTACTGCGCTATCAAGTTGGACCAAGAGGAGATATTCCGTACCACCACTCGTGAAAAAACACTCAAGTGAGTACACGCGCCTACGATGAGCCGTTAGTCTTTTTATTTTTCTTCCTTGAATCGGTCCTATCGAAGTGAGCGATCTAGCAGGAATCTCAATTCTCTCATTCGATGTGTTTTCTTTCTGCATTTTTGTTTGAACAAGTGTCATCGTGAGCCTTTCCCTCACTCTAAAATCGCCCCCAATCGGCAAAAGTTTTTTTTTTTTTTTTTCCCCTTTTCTTTTTGAATTCTTTAACCCGTTTTATATGCTTGCGCGGCGCGAGCGTGGAATGGTGTCACCCGCGTACTACAGCAGCCACCAGGCTGAAACGACAGGAAGGCGAAGACGGCGGGTTAGCTTTTTCAAGGCTGCCGAGGAGAAATTTTACTGGAATCTGGGCGGCTGGGTACAGGGAAGGTGGGCAGCTTATACCGGGAGTGGACATTCTATAGCTTGAAGAGATACAGCAAATAGCCTGTTCACTGATTCGCCTTTCTCTGACCAACTGCAACTGCTGCCACTTTTCGGACAACCCTGAAATGCCCGTTACAAAGGGTATAGCCATTGCAGAGCCGTATATGTAGAGAGTTTGGCCATTCGTTGGAAAGTATAGGAGACAAACGATGAGGCACCATTGGCCGAAAGCGGGCTTAGCGTGTTCCAGGGCGTCTTCAGAAATTCGAATGTGACCAACCAGAAGCCGGAAATAAAACCTGGCGGTGGTCGCGAGAAACAAACATGATAACTGCATTGGAGTAACTCTCGATGGCTGAAAATATGGTACACGTGATGTTTCAATCACGCTCATCCAAAATGATGGTGGAAGAGTGCGACTAGCGGAACGATCGACATAATCCGTACGCCGAGGGCCAAAAATCTGCCGTCCGAGCGGTCACACTCTGTCCGCGTAAAACAGAGTTGAGCGGCGCATTCGTTTCTTACATCTTTCTGCATGATCATGATCAAAACAACACGTGACCCTATTTTCAACCACAAAGAGTTACTACACTTCACTCTTACGCACTTGTTAACTCCATACATGAACATGGACCTTCGATCAGAACTGTTTCTTGCTACCACCGCTAGGGGATTCTTTTCGGCTTCTGGTTGGTCAAGAGAGCATGCCAAACCCTCTTTCCGAGTCTGCTGAATGCCCTGGCTCTGCCGGCGCCTCCCATTGACCAAACTCTCGACATATACGGCTCTGAGCCATTGACGTCCATCCATTCATGCATATTTTTTTTTCAATTTTATGAGGCGTCATTCTCTCACCTTGGGCTCGAAACAATTCCAGATGTGTTATAATTGACCGATTTTGATATGTTCTCTCATCGTGGGCTCGAAACAATTACGAAAGTGTTATAATCGACCGATTCTGATAGATAGTGCATATATTTGATGTTGCAAACACTACAAAACCGTTCGTTTAGCTGTTGGGGAGGAGGAGTGGCCGTGACGCCCCAAGCGGTTAACTTTAGAACTACATGGATGGGGACAACAAATACACTGACTCGGCGCTCGGCCGACATAACCGAACGCGGCGTCAGCCTTCAAGTGGAGTTTGTGCTCTCCGGTGAGGGGGAGGAGGAGTTCTTTTGTTACCACTCCGGCCTGCCTGAACAATGCAGCATGCACGGTGCCAGCTCAGCGGAAAAGCCGAAGTGGAAGCCGGAGTGGTCAAGCTCGCATTCTGACGACTGTTTTGGGACAGATCCGGCACTTAACGTCACTTCGTCGATTGTTAGTATTTTTTACATTACACTGTGCCCACGCTGTATTGTAAAAGATGACGTGGACATGCCCATAAGGCCTGTGGGCATGTGCACAGTCCTTGTGTCGAGTAAACACCGAGGTGTGGGGACAACAAACGGGTCAGAGTGCCTCCTATAGTTTGATCTCCTGCCGAATACCCAAGTCGGAGGTCTTCCGGAGCAATGCGATGAATGGTGCCGGTATGCCAGTGTTTTCTCCCGCAAATAATTGTAACGCAATCGGTTGCAGTCAAATGCAAGTGTGCGAACCAGCCTGAACACTCGGTTTTGGAGGGGCACTCAAGTGGAGTTTGAGATTGTCTGTTTATAGTGATAACTCAATCCGCATCTCTAATCATCTGTAGAGAAAGACGAAAAGCGACTACGTCTGAAGCATTCCAAAATCAAACTGATCTCCTGGTTTTTATTTGCACGCGGTCTTCTTCTTTTCTCAGTGGCTATCGCCACATAGCCCCCCTTTGGAGACGGAGTCGTCCGAGTGAACTGTCCTGGAGTGTTTGATGCGGGTCGCGGGTGCTACTGTTGAACTCGAGGTGGCTTGCACGCTGGGAAGATCAGGCGGCTGAGCGATCGTATCGCTCTTAACAAATGCTAGCTCGAGGCGGTCAAAGGACACAACCGTGTCGCGGCCATTAACTCGCAGCCTGAATGTTTTTTCGCCACGTGCCACGATGAGGTGGGGTCCAGTGTAAGGTTGCTGGAGCGAACGGCAGGCGCTGTCGACGCGCAAAAACACATAGCCACTGTTGTGCAGGTCGCGATGGAAGAAAGGAGGCTTGCTCTGGCGTGTCCGCGTCGGTGTAGCGCGCACGTCACCGAACAGATGGGCTAAGTCCTCCACGTACTTCACAGCACTTCAGATCAGAAGGTTGCGTGTTCGAATTACGTCCGGGTCACCAATGTAGAAAAAGACAGACGAAAAGCGACTACGTCTGACGCATTCCAAAATCGAACTGATCTCCTGGTTTTTATTTGCGCGCGGTCTTCTTCTTCTTTTCTCAGTGGCTATCGCCACACATTCGAATAAAACCAAAATTTACACTCGTGGGCGGCCAATTTCCCTACTAAAAATCGAATCAAAGGTTTGTGACATGCACCTCTTTCTGCGTCTTGGAGCAGACACCAGGGGGCGTTGTCGGACAACATTTTCAAACAATAATTGCTCTATTATGTCTCCTACACCCGAAGGATTTAACGTTTTTTGTCAAAACATAACGCATAATGCACCTATAATGAGCAATTATACTAATGTTGGAAATCTCCATGCAATGACTTCTTTTTATTCTGTGAAAAATTTTATGGAGGTGATGGGGGCCCGAAAACAGCTCCTCCGAGAGAAAATAGTGCCCGTGTATTCCTATTGCTGCGAGTCTACTAGGACGTCTTGCCATGTAGAACTGGTGAAAGACAATGACTGTGCAGACGAGCTGGTGATGGTTAATCACAACATTCAAAACCCGAAACTGTGGTGAGAGACAAAAACAGGAAACTTTGAAGTGGAAAAAAAGGCACGGGAGGAGAAGTCTCGTATGCACCTAAATCATTCAATTTTCTCTAGCTCCTTGTATGAAAATGAACTGGTCATTTTTATTGTCTAAAGCCCAATGAACAATGTACCGTTGAAAACATGCTTCTACAGAATGCACTCGAGTGCCCCTTTAAGCGACTGACTGGTTACGACCGAGCACCTTAAAACCTCTTGGGATCTCTTTTGAGGAGAGAACACAGGGTGCCATCTGTTGGGTAGCCTTGGAACGCTTGGCGTTTTCACATGTTTCTTATTTTTTCTGTGCTTCAGTCTTTCTTTCTTGGCTTGGGAAAAAGCTTTTGGCAGCATTATAAACAACCAACCATTTCTCGTAGAAATAGTTTATCCATTTCATCTCGGAAATAGTGCAGAACTTTCGTTTTAGTGAAGTGCGGTTCCAGGGTCAGATCACAGATTGTGTCAGCGTGTTCTTAAGGGACTGCAAGAACTCGGTTGTAGGCAAATGCAAGTGTGCAAATGGGCCTTTTGTATGACATAACAGCCAAAGATTAGCTACGTGCAATGTATGTGCCTACAAGGTACAGCTGCAAATGTGATACGATGAACCGTGTGCCATTGTCTTGAGCTTTTTCACGGCACTTGCAGTCGATCGAACTGTTTCCCTGCTATACACTACCTCAACGAGCCTTACCTGCGTAATGTGCGACGTGATTGTGAGACAGAGCAATCGCCAGTTTTTGTTTTTTTTCCTCATGGAATTTAAGGGCTGCCGTAGAAACTACTTCTGTAAAATCCCTTAAAGGGGCAGTGCAACGGTTTTAATGTTGAAAGAATTGCCAGTTTTCATTTTTTATATTGTTTATACAAGCCCAAGTGACCAAAAACACGTCACCTTTCCCCAAAAAACGGCTATTCTGCTGCGTAATCGCAAGGCAAAAAACAAATTATTTGCCGATCTGCAGCCGCCAGTGGCGGCTACGGGAACTAAAATGACGGCGTCTCTGGGGGATACGCGGAAGTCAACAAACCCTGTCCCCCTCCGCTGCTACACTCGCCGTCAGCCCCGTGTCCATCGCTCGCCGCGACCTTCGACGAGGCTAATCCTTTAAAAGTCAACAATCGCGGAGGAAGCGGCTGGGGTCTCTGAAGAGAGGGCCCAAGGGGAAACCATGTGAACCCCCAGAGACGTCACTTGAAAGTCGGCATGGAGAGTTGAGAGGCACTTCAACCTTCGATTTGTTTCATTTTTTTAAAATAAGAACTAGCGCTCACAAGAAAATGCGGCTTTCAGTTTTTCGTTTCATAGGTGACGCAGATTAATTTCGGCAGTTTATTGGCCAAAGTCTGAAAATCGTTGCACTGCCCCTTTAAGAACACCCACCCAAAATGAAGAGATAAATCGCAAAAATATGGGGTGGACGACCCTCAAAAATGTGACGGCTACAAACATTGGGGCACCCACGTGAGCTGGGAACTAATACTGCAGATTGCGGACGCAGCAGATTCGCGTGCCATGATGTGACAAACCTGCGGGAGCTCACTAGAAACTCTCTTGTTGTACCTACCGGTACTGCAGATCGCGCGGTTGATGCAAATCTCGTCGGACATTGCGTCATATGCGACAAGAATTGAGGGATGGGTGATTTTTCTTATGTTTTGTGTTATGGATATTTAGAAAAAAAAGAAAAAAAAAACGGTATGGGCGATTTCTCAAGGGAGAGCTTTGATGCGGGATTTTATGGTAGTCTGGTATAGAGTGCTTATTTGGGGCAGTAGCCTAAGCTGTAAAATGCTCGTCAGTGACGTGCCTGAGTAAAACGTGAAAAAGCATCAATCTGTTCGTGCTAACAGCATCGTGCAGTGTACATGAGCTCTACCAAAATGAAATTTATTTGGTTACTAAGAAAACCCGGAGATACAAGAAACACAAAAAGAGGCGTCAGGGCAACAGCGTCTGAGTACATTTTTTTTTCGTACCTCTGCATCATTAGCTTGCCTGCGTGAAAACTCTTGTGTTACCAAATGTTTTTAGCAAATTTGGCGACGAGAATGAGATACAAGCCCACGCTCATATGTCCAATCCTCATCACCATTAGCATCATCCTCGCGACGGATGATCAATCATAGGCTGCTTTAAGCTTAGATTTTTTGTTCTTTTATTTTTGGTTGTTGTATATTTATGGATTTTTGCAGGCAGCAGGTAGTTTGCAGCTTTTCTGCTCTCACTACGAAGCTCAGCTGGCTCGTTTTGAAGGGAGCAGAAGTTACGAGCTTGACAGAAATAGCATCACAATACACAGTCTTCGTACAAGCGAGCTGTCTTGTTGGAAAAGTGGCTGCAATAAACTATGTAATTAGAGCAATGGCACATTACATTTTGCAGCATGCTGCATTTAGTTTTACATTTAGATAGGGCTTGTGATTTTTATCTTTCACCGCATAAATGCTGATAAAATTACGGAAAATAAAGTTTTCCAAATTTAGTGTACCTCTGCACCTGAAAAAGTTGTACTTTTTGTTTAGTAGGAAAGAAAAATTGGTAAGTTATTTATACTATTTTTTTTATTTTTAATTTTTGTATTTCTGCTTCTAAACAAAAATGACGAAGCAGAAAAGCTGCAGGCTGCTCAAGCAACATGTTAAATATTATGGGCCATGGAAAGGGAATCACAAGTGAGACAGCCCAAGTACTGGGACAAAGTAAAGAAAGAAGGAACACAGTCATATACGAGTTATTTATTTATATCTGTTTGCATTGCTCGCATTTCACCTTTGCTTGATGCGGATAGTATTTTAATGGACTCCAGTGGTGGAATTTGTGGACTTGCTTATAATATCCCTCAAGTAATGTGCGACAAACGTACGTGAAGGTGCCTGGCGTCTTCTTAGTCTCTTCTTGACAATTTACGTTTTACAGGCTCCAAAATTGAAATTTAAGCTAAATCAAATTGTCTCGAAGATAAATGCCAGAAGCTTTTCTCACACAAACTGCCACCCTCCACAGGTTCTACATTTTCTGTGATTCGTGCAGCGTCTTCCCTCAAACAGCCGTTCGAATGCTTGCTGTTGTTCCTGGTTTCTTTTGTTGTCAGAGCCCAGCTGTATGGAGCTTGGAGGCTGAGGAAAATTTCGGAGACCAAGCAGTGTCTCTTTTACCTGGAAATGACAACTTAAACTAAACAATATATTTTTTGAATGCACAAGGCTGGAATAAAAAAAAAAATTCCACGAAAAGTATAAACATTCCACATCACGGCATTATATTGCTGTGCATATTTTGGGCAGTTCAATACATCTCATACGAGTAACAAGGGACTATTCGGCCTTTGTTCCTGCTATGATACAAACACATTTCCAGTAATAGTGTGCATTAAAAAAAAACAAAAAAACATGCCTGCGTATGTGTACGAACTATACCGTTTGTTCATGAAGATGCCGCATTTATGTGAATCAACCGCATTCCACGAGCATTTCAAAGGCCTTCAGACCCAGTGCCTTTAAATCACCTGCAAGCATGCAGAGTGGCACGCAAAGGTTTGGGGTCGCGAGTTTGCCGACCGCCCAAATGCCTTTGATATAAGTGTCATTTGAAGTGCCCGCAAAGCAAGGTTAATATCACCCTAACTCGTGAAAATGCAAGGAACAGATTTTCAGTGTCTAAAACACTTACTCCACCGCTTCATTAACCCTTCGCATGATTGCGTGGATGGAGGGGGAGGTTGATCGGCGGAATTGCCTCCGTTGTTAGCTTTCGGTACTCTTAACCTAATTATAAAGTTAAAAGTTACAAACACGCTTAGAAAAGATATGGAAGGACTTCGGTATCAGTCTTACCCAGAGTCTGGTACACCGGGTAAACTAAATTCCACCTTCGAAGTGCTCGCGGCACACAACGACCGACGTTGATGGTGCCTTTCTCATCCTTAGTTTGATTGACCATGCTTTTTTTAACCTCAGCATATTCGGCTAATGAAAGCTGATACCGGCTTCTTTTCAGGATTTGCATTGTGGTACTGAACAGTAGGCTAGCATGATTGCAAACCAGAAAACGGGCAGGGAAACGAGCTGGATGCGAGATCGTGATGCGGAATCCTTTCCCTGACGTCACGGTACACCTCAGCCAATCGGGGCGTGGCGACCGCAGCGACGCTTGTGTTCACTCTTGGGGCAAATGAGACATGTTCTCTTCGGGCACATGGCCCGGATTTTGATTCAAGGGGGGGGCGCCCATGGCAGGTGTCTATATGAGGGGGAGGGGCAATAGGAGGCCCCAGCAAAATGGAAGATTTTGGGGAGGGGGGGGAAGCCCGGGCCCCATAGGCCCCCCCCCCCCCCCCCTGGATACGTACCTGGATCTTTATACATTGACAGAATCATTTGAAGCTCACAGTAAAAGAATGGTGCATAAAATTTTAAGTCGAAATATGTAGGGTGGAATATTTTCAAGGGTACCTGGTAGATTGCGCCAGTGTATTTCTCATCACAGGCAGTTACGAGGGAAAGTAACAAACTCTAGCACACGCAAGCACAAATGTGTTAACCAACCTTAAGAACAATGAGGCACCCTATGCGAAGTGCAAGTTCGTCTGCTTCTTGCGCAGGGGTTGCGGTGACCTCGGAATGCTAAACTTTGATTGGCTCCGGTTGAGATGATAGCGGGTAGACCTCAATGCTAGCTTCTTGTCAAGCTGACTTGAGGTCTACCTACTATCTTTCCAACCGGAGCTCAACGGTCTGACGTCGCAGCAACCCCCAATTGAGAAGCAGACAAACTTGTGATCTGCATAGTCGGTAACAGGTTAAGAATGCATGCGCTTGTTGCCTTTTGCCTGGCCTTGACTCTGAGTGCAACAAAGGGTTATAAAATGCAGAAAGCTGTGCTTCTTTAACCTGTCGCCGACCATGTATCTCATCTCTCCCGTTGACCGAATTGTGCGGCAGGGCAGGCACACTTTGCAAAGCAGATGGTGTCAGGGGCTGGAAAAGTGAAAATAAGGAGCTAACTCTGCGACCCCCGCCCGCGTGTGGGCAGTCCGTTCTTCTCGGAGGACTTCCAGTTCGAGGTTCCCCGGGAGTTCCGGCAGCTGTCGGTGTATGTGGCAGAGCGTGAGCGGGCGTCCAACAAGGACAAAGTGCTGGGCAAGGTGTCCATCAAGAAGGAGGGCATGCACAAGTACTACGGCAAAGACAACTGGTTCCCCATCATGCCCGTGGACGCCGACTCGGAGGTCCAGGTGAGAGGGCCGTCGACGGCGTTTCTTTCCCGCTCTGCCTTGTCAGTTTTCTTAAATGCGTAGCACTTTTAGGGCCAGCTGTAATGCTGTCATGTTCGAATTTGGGACGTAGCCTCGGTAGAGCGTGCACCGCAGGGCAGGCAGTCAACGTTTGCAGGGTCTGCGTTCAGGCGGTGACTGCTGTCGGAGCGGGGACTTTCCTCGGTTTGCGGTCGGTAGCTAAGCGGACTACATATACTGTTAAAGCTCTTGCTTGCGGGCTTTGTGTACGACCGAAGCAGCGCAGGAGTGGCAACAGCGGGCCAGGGGCAAATTAATGAGTAAGGCTTGGTTGGGGGGGGGGGGGGGGGGGGGAAGGGAAGAGGAGGAGGGGGAGGGGAGGGCATGAGGGGGGGGGGGGGGGGGTGGGTTCGGAAGGAAATGGTTGTCTTGGGTGAAGGGTGGCCCTGATCTATCTTGCTAACCCAATAGTTGCTGTTGAAAAAAAATAAGCTGGTTTATGTTATATTTTTATTAAAAAAAAGTTTCCTTGTATGACCAGTGGGAAAGGGGGGGTCCCCCCCCCTTTTTTTTTTAAAGGGACCCTGAAATAAATTTTGGGGTAGGATATATCAATGATTTTAAATATGGATTTTACTAATCGCATATCAATTAGTGGGCAAAAAAAAACCACAGAACTAGTACACGAGGGAAGAAAGCCAAAAGCCATTCAATACGGAAATTTAAAAATATAGCGGACTATTTCTCATCTCTTCTTTTGCAAAAGCTCTCCGCTTTTTAATTGTGATGCATCTGCGGGGCCCAAGCTCGTCAGCCGAACCCGACTTGCGCATTGGACACGGGCACTGCACTGCGTCCCTCGCACGTGTGCGCTCATCAACAATCAATCCGTCGACGAATATTTGAATTCGCATTCGTGACCAAGGATTGCTGTGGCGGCACTTATCATCACTCGCGAATGACAAGTTTCAGGGTGTGTTTAAAGAGCACGGTGGGGGCTTGGAGTCATCGCATCCGGTGAAATACTACGTCACGACCACACAAGTTCTCCTTTCGCTTTAGAATCGAGGAGGAAAGCTAAGCAGGATGAAGTTGAAAGATCATTCCACGATCCTTTTTAAATCTGCGGCAGGCACAGCTAGGTAAAGAGGGAGAGTCAAGGGACGCTGCTACAAAACAAGAGCGCCTGGCCCAGTAGTGGCATGAGGCCAGTTGCTGTTACGGAGCGGCCAACCGTCGGTTTGCGTGCCATATCACGGACAGTCCGTCAGGTGCGGTGCGTAACGTGTGCAACAGATTGTGGCTTTGGGTGGATGTGAGCAAAGCTGTTCTAAATGCGACGCATTTTTAATGTCTTCGGGAAATACGCCTAAGAGACGACTAACTTCTATATACCGCAAAATACCGAGCAAGCGCCCACTCAAACTTTGTACATAATCGCCAAAAAGTGGGGGATGGGCGCATTTGAGATCATAGATACTACGTATATATGCAGTGGGCTTATTTTTTCCGATGTTTCAAATTTTAGGGGTGGGCGCTTTACTGTGGTATGGGCAGATGCATGGTATTCCACGGTAGGCTGCAGGTTTTTCGATTTTGGCCGGAGAACGCCAGTAAACATCTACGGGTATTGGCAGCTTGAAATAAGCCAGGGCCAAGGAGCGTCGGTTTCTTTATTGTTGCATCTTGACATTTCTGGGCAAAGAATAGTTGCCAGCTTCTCCACCCAAGCAGAGATGCTTTACTGTCGAGACCGGTTATAACGAAATCAGCAGGAATTGGAAATCACTTCGCTATATCCGCTATTTCGTTATAATATATGCTCTAATTCCACTTTTCCATTGCGAGCAAAACGTCATACTTTCCTGAAGTCCACCAATGCTCAAGCTCATAAGCAATTTATTTGTCCAGAGTTTCTGGCTCAAGCTAACAATTTTTACTGGTGACCAGTACACAGACAAAACCAGCTTTTTATGGCACTCTAAAACTTATTCCCATGCACTCGTACGGTACTTCCTTCATTGAATTTAGTTTGTACTTGCTTACTTGGCTGTTATTCAACTTGTAATTATAAACTGTTGTTGAAATTTCGGTAACTTGCTTGGAGAATACAAGCTGGAACGACAGAAGACAGTACTCATTACTGTACACATCTTGTTCCATTCCGCATTCTTGGTGGAGGCTGAGTCTACAGTAGTATCTCATATGGTAAATTCAGCTGGTAGATCTGGATCGATTTCCAAAATTTGCGAAGGAGGAGAAAACCCGCTTCTTTTGGCACGCTCTGGATCTACCAGTTGTAGGCGCCAGCATGGATTTGGAGCGGCCCATCCGCCCAACGCCCAACCGACGTAAACGGAAACAGAAGGACGCTCTTCCCGTGAGCCTCAGGCAGTCTCCCCTCCCGTCTCCCGTGCACGATTCCCGCGTATCTCCCTTCCACAAATGACAAGAGCATGGCTGATCCTGCACAACTGTCGAATTCGGCGGTGCGCCAACTGCTGCTGTCACTTCTCGGAGGATGTGAGGCAGTTCGAACTTGAACTAGCTCTCTGAAGCGTCGCTTTCATATAGCAAGAGCACCGACGTAAACAAGTTTGGTCCCGCCACTCACGCCATTTCTCACAACAGCGCAATCCACTCGAGGGCCTGCCACGTAGGCGCAGCGCCGAGAAAGGAAGTACACAAGGTGCGCCGCAGCCGAGCACCAGCCGACTTCCGCAAGGCCCCCCGAATTAGGCGGGGTGGTTTTGCTCCTGTTTGATGCACTCCACAGAGCTCGCGCTGTCACAAATCAGCGAGCTGAAGATGGCCGACTTGATCCAAATCTGCGAGGTGAAGATGCGCGCACCAGATCTACCAGCTGAATTCACCAATAGTCACATGTTTGAGCTTTTTAAGTCTCACCCTACAACACTGTTTCTTAAACTTCATTGCATGTATACCCCAGGTTGCATTGCATCACTTTTTCAAGATTTATATCGTGAAATAAAGCGCAGACCGCATGGCACGTTTTTGCTCGCGATTCAGGCCCGTCGGCGTCAAACTAACGTCATTTCCTGCGCGCGGGCGCGCATTTTCGAGGGAGCGTTGATTTCTAACCAACCCAGAACAAGACTCGCCCGCTGAGGTGTCGAAGCGGCTCTCGCCAATGAGGGTCGGTCGAACTATCACGTGATCCTGCGCAGTACGCTGTTTCGTATTCAGCACATTTTAAAGTGTTCAAAAGTATTTTTATTTTCCATAGAAAAATTTAAAAGGTTTTTTTTTTTTACACACAAACCCATTTTATTTACTTATTTGTTCATTCAATTCTTCTTTTGTAGTATTTGCACCAACATTTACATTGCATGTTAAGAATTCTGTTATCTGGCAATGCTGATAACGCGCGGCCGGCGGTGCTTGGTTTTGTCTGCATGCGGGTGCCCCCGCGTCAGCTTCCGCGTGAGCGTTCATAGCGTGTCGCGTTTTCGCGTGTAGAAAAACACGCCATGCGGTCTGCGCTTTAGACATTGTAATATAGTCTTATTAATTGATTAAATTAGGTTACTGGGGTCCTAAAACTGATCTGCTTTTTAAAACACTCAAACTTTAATCCGTGTAAATATTTTTTTTACAGGGAAAGGCCCACATTGCAGTGAGACTTGAGCCTTCGACAAAATCTTCCATATACGGGCCCTGTGCCAAGCTCTCCGTAAGGTAAGTTGTCTGTTTACTCGCAGCACTAGCTTATACGGTTGCCTGATCACAAGGAGGTGTCAGTAGAATATCAGAGTCACTACGTGCTTGTGACATTCCAAAATATCCAAAGCTTTCACTTTCTGATAGGTGGAGGGAAGCTAGGCATGATTGTGTATGTTTGCACGTGTGTGGAAGATAGAGAGAGCAAGAGAGAGAATGAGCGTCACATGGGAACTGCCATTTGTAGCTTCTCGGCACCAGTTTACATGCTATAAGGGCTCGTGAATGCTATGTTTCTAGTCATTCGTATGTTTTAAAATGCTAGGAATGGAACAGTGAGGTCAGCCAAACTGGCAGGACTCCTGACCTTTTTCGACTGAGGATGGCTCGCACTTCAAAGAACTGTCACCTCACCCTTTTGGAAGATCGGCTGCATACCTAATCACTTCGTTAGCAGTACAAACAGGAGCTCCTGTAACTCCCTATAAAGCCCTTGAATTTTAATGATACAAATAGCGAAATGTCACTTTCATAATTTTACATGCAGGGTGACTGAGTGCAGCGACCTGAACCTGGTGAACGGGTCGTGCAACCCCTATGCCCTGGTGACTCTCTGCCATGGACTGGTGAAGCAGGAGACGCGTAAGAGCAAAGTGCGGCGGAAAACCGTCTGTCCCCGCTTCGAGGACGCTTTCTACTTTGACGTGAGTTGCTGTTGCTGATGTTTAAGATGTCTTTATTAGATGGCTACTTTGTAATCGGATACTTGATGCCAAGTCATCTCTGGAAAAACTATGGGTAGAGAGAAATGTGAGATGTATGACAGGTAGGTTATATGTGCTTTTGAACTGCACAATTTTGTGCAGTTGGTAGCCCCCTTCTCAAGAGCTCATCACGTGATTGGAGGATTGTATTTGAGAGTCTTTTGTCGTCCATGTCCTGGGTCGCAGTCACCGTTTGTTTCTGCTGAGCGGTTTTTTATTTTGTCGAAAAAATAGAAAGAATTGTGCTTTTTGTACATTCATAGATGTACTTTTTCAAAAATAAGACAGCTGCTATTCTTAAAGTAAATTTTAGTACCGTATTTACTTGCACAATGAACACACTTTTTTTTCCCGAGATATTGACACATATTTGGAGGGCGTGTTCATTACGCGGGGTCAAATTTTTTCATTTAGTACACACTTTGCGCAAATGTCATTTTAGGTGCCAATATGACATGGCAGGGTACTGTGGCATGTCTCCACTGACGGAGGCCCACCCATGGCTGGTCATGGGTACGCCACAGCAATCATGCTCTATAAATTGCAAACCTTTTTTAGGGCGCTTTTGGCGTGCCTTTTGCCAGAGAAAAAGCGCCCTACGGTGCTCACTGAGCACGGAGAGTGATGCGACCATTCTTGGGCCCTACCACTTTCATGATATCACTGTTCGAAAGCGGATCACAGACGGCGGCATGTTTATTGACATCAGTGCATCCGATGGACAAAGCACGTCCAGGGTTGGGCAATTTCTCGACCCCAGCTTCGCTAGGCGTGCGCAGCGCTCGATTTCACGGTTGACCACTTCCGCAACCACGCAATCGCAGCCATTGCGAGAGCGGCTTGACTTGACTTGACTTGACTTGACTTGACTTGGCCTGGCCTGGCCGCTTGGCAGCAAAACAAAAGTGGCAAGCTTGGTGGCTAGCTGGCTAGCTCAGTTGGACGCAGTTCAAGACTCGCAAAGCCAAAAATTAAGTTTGTTCATTACGCGAGAAAGAAAAAAAAAAGTAAATATTGATGGTTGTTGGGGGGGGGGGGGGGGGGGGGTGCGTTCATTATGCGAGTAAGTATGGTATTAAGGAAGGACAGAGGTTAGCAATGGGAGCTCCAACTGGGTGCTACTGTTCTTAAATGTACAGGCAGGTAATATAATGGGCCAGTTTAGGTGGCAATTGGTGGTGTGGTGCAAGCGGGAGTTATTATTTAGAATGACCCAAGCGTGTTCAGATGAAGTATACTATTTATCCAGATCTGAAAATGACTGTTAGGCAATGGTGCTGAAGCTAACATGGGGAGAAATGTACAGAAAAGGTAAAAAAGAAAGGCCCAGAAAGTGGCTATGTACGGGTTGTTTGACATTGCATGTGAACCGTCCTTTGTTTTCCAATTGGCAGTTGTGACTCTTTCCCAAAAGTTGTGGAAAACTTTTGTGGTGCATGCACATGCAGCTGTTATCAATGGTTGCCAAGCAGTTGCCTGCCAAAAATCATGACAAGAATTTGAAGTAGTAGTAGTGGGCTCTTGTACCTTTTAGGGGGAGGGTGCCTGACATTTTTTGCTAGATTTACGCCAGCCAATGCATGTAAATGTATGCACTGACATGTCATGTCTCGTGATGAGGCGAGTTAAGAAGGGACACTAGCTAGAGGTTCAGCTTCTGAACTACTCAAGTTATTGGAATGATATTTGCAGGAAAGACAACTTTAGATGTAGTTGTACTGTGCAAACTTTTAGCTGTCTAGGACAACTTTAGATACCTGCATAAGATGTGTCACTCTTCGTTAAGAAATCTATGATATGCGAATGAAGCTCTTATGCATCATTTTAACTCCTTGAGTATAAAGTGGGGGATGTGGGACTTCAGGCTATCTAGTTTTTATAACTCAAATGTAAATATTTCAGGAAGAGTGATTACCTCAAAATATGAGATGCATATCTGCAGTCATGTGATTGGTGTGCCATTTGAGCCAAACTGCGCCAAAGTGCTTACCCTACTACATCCTGCTACATTTTACCAAAATGTGAGAAATTTGCGTCAACGTTGCGCCAAATTTTGTTTTGGCGCAACGTTGCACTTTAATGGCACTGAAAATATTGTAGCTCAGGCCTCGTTGCTCGGCCAGGCCGTTACGATATGCTTATGCGAATTCTCAGAACTTTTGGCTATTGTCTGAAATAAAGTACTATTCGATTGCATTTCGTATGAAAGGCTGGCAGTATACTCGGAAGTTTCGCAATAATTCCCATGTTCGTCGTCTGTTCTGCTGGAGGATTAGTTAGTCTCGTTGATTGCGCTTCTCCTTGCGCATCGGTGTACTGCAAAGAAGCGAAAACCGCAATGTAAGCATCGCAATTTCGTGTGTTTTGCTTCGCCCCAGCGCACCACCGTGCTAAGGGGAAAGCACTCCTCCAGAGTGAGACGCGACACAATTCCCGAATACAACTTTGGCTCGTATGTATGATAGACTACAATATCCTGGCGGTACCTTTTTTCATATCGAGATTTAGCTAGGATACTTCAGTAGTGCAAGAACATTTATATGCTCTCTTTCATATGTTTATTTATTTATTTATGCCAACTGATTTGTTTAGCAATCCCTTTTATACAGGTGTGATTAAGTTATAACTAAGTTGGCAGGAACAGTGGATGGAAGCTCGGGAACAACCTTAATGAGCACGGCGGGATTGTTTTTAAGTTTCATTCACATGCCGTTTTTGTTATGAAGTTCTACACAGAAAAGTAATTGACGATCATAATCAAATAACAAGTGCTTTGTTTTTTATCTGAATTAAAAATTGCTGTTTTATTACAACCTTAAGAACTCGAAGGAACCATTACTATATGGGCTCTATATTATTGTATTATTTCAGTGAGATTGAGTACCTAAAATAACCGTTCAGAACAGTTTGTGCTGTCCTTCTTCACTCACCTTCTCACCGTGTTTGGTGGTTCTCTGCGCAACTAAACGCTAGTTTTGTGTTTGAGGGACTACCTCCTGCTGTGCAATTGATGCGAACTAAGGGTTGCACGTAAGTGAGAAGGCAATGTAGACATTACGTTTCAGTTGGACGCGCCGACACATTTATCTTCATAATGTCTGCATTGGTATGAATAAGAATGAAAAACAAAAGTTCTTCTTGCCACTCCAAAATTGACTTTTGGCTGCTCCAACAGCTGCTCCAAAATGACTCGGACCAATCACATCACTGTATCTGTCCTATGTCAATTTTTGCAAACTTTTTTTCTCAATGAGAACTTTAATGTAAAACAAAATAAATTAGATAGCCCGATTCCGCAGTAAATTTCAGTTCAGAAACATCTTGATTGTGGTATCCAAATAATTTTAATTTTACCTTCTAACAAAAGATTCCTTCGTACGAAATTAGCAGCAAAAATTGGAACTGAGAAAAATGCATTCAAACATTGAACTCCTTTACTTTGTTACTGCCTCACAATGTGTTGAAAATATTTTATATCAGGATAGCTATTTGGCACATAATAGCGAAATTTAGTGTAAGGGTGTATTATTAGTTTCTAAATCCGAAAACCTCAAAATTGAAAAATGAATTTTTTCACATTGTTTTGAAATTTAGGCCCATGTCCCCCTTTAAGGTAATATTCGCATGTGACAGCTGCTGCTTTTTTTTCCTCTCTTCCAGCTCAAACCCCAAAGGTCAGACAAACAAATCCGGTCGATTAGGGATGAGTTCAGCAACCTTGAGCTCAGGTGAGTCGCCGTTATAGTATATATTAGGTGTCTTTTAAAAATAATGTAGTGTTTTCATTGCAAACATGAACTATGCCTCGCTTAACGCTCAGCCTTCGCCTTAACATAATGCTAGCAATCTGAACCAGGTGCCAAAGTTTCATAGCTTGCCGTTGCTTTGATTCAAAGGTTATAAGTAGGCCGTATACTTTCTGGTGTTTATTTATGTCCAAAAGTAGACGGATGTTTTTCGGTGTTTATTTATTTCCCAAATACCAGTGCATTTCAGTGAACGGTCTGGTACAGACTCTTAAAACGGCTTTTATCGATGGAAAAAATTGCGAATAGAAATGAACTATTGAGACGAAAAATGGTTTTGCTTTTATTTACATCTGATATACAATGTTCTTCACACTTCATTATTGTAATGTATGCATGCATACATTCCAAGGTTTGCATCTGTCACTCCTGTCCACTTCTTTCTGTTGACGGTGCGCAATTTCGAGAACGCCCGCTCTACATTTTTGGGAGAGTACTGGCCAGTCTGGTAAATGCAGCTTCCAAAGCAGCACAGGGTCAACAACGAGCAAGATAAAGACAACAACCACGACCTTGTATACAAAACCCACACAAAAAACTCCAAACCGACCTATAAAAAAAATGAAGCAAATTGATTTTGTTTTAACTTGAGTCCAGACACAGCCGTCACTAAGAGCTGATGGGGCCAATCAGACAGCGTCAAAAGTGCACCCTCAAGGTTCGTCATGTTACTGTAGGTGCTCTATTATTGCTGAAGCAATCAAACAGAAAAGGCCCAGTGACTTGCACTTTTGTGGCTGCTTGGTTGGTCCCCTTTTCTCCTAGCAGCATCGGTTGCATCTGGACTAAAAAGAACACGTCTGGACTAAAAAGAACACGCCGATGACGCTTAACACTGCTTATACGTAGGAATGTGAAAGCATGATAGTCCCACAGGTCCGGCGGTGACGTCACGCTCCTCCACTGCGCAGGCGGGGGCACCACGGCCTCCGTCATGAAGCATCTGCGTTGCTGTGCTTTTCTTTGTGTTTCATTTCTGGGGCGCGTCCGCTTTGACCCTGAGTGACGTTTGCTCGATGACATATTTTTATGGCCACCTTTTGGGCCACAACGCTGGTGCCTTTTTGCGTAATGGGAGACAAGGCTTTCGCCTTAAAAACCAATGCCACCCTGTCCTCCCCCCCCCCTCCTCCTCGAACACGCTTTGTCCCAAACAATATGAAAGATGCTTTGAACCACCCAACTAGGGTCCACAAAGAGGGAGGGCAACCTTCAACGGGGCAATCAACGAAAGGGAACAACGAGGCCAAATTTTTGGGGACATAAATTGAAGGTCAAAGTAACCAGCACTGACTGAAAAAACACATCTTGATTACTAAGAAACCTTGGGACACCTATGCTAACGGTCAATCCAAAGCGACGACCGTAAAAAAAAAAAAAGAATGAGTCTGACGAATGCCTACATAGTATTTTTTATTTTATCCGATTTTTTTATTTTTGACACCGGCAGATACTTATTGGTGTTTTTTGGTTAAAACCAAAAAGTATACGACCTAGCTATACGCAATTTTCTGAAATTTTCAATGGGAAAACGAGCCCCTTTTCTGGCAGCGGACTGCCTTTCTTCCCCACATATCCGTGGGCTTCGTCAACTGTCATTTCACCGTGAGATTTCCAGTTTTTAAAGATAATCTACAGAAACCATGCAGTGCCGGAACATTAGGGAAGAGATTGGGGATTAAGGACGAGGAAAGGGATTTAATACGCCACGTGTGGGTGCATGCAGGGTGTGCCTGCAGCACGACCTGAGCGGGGTCGGGGGCATGTTTGGGAGCGCCTTCCTCGGGGAGGTGCGCATCCCACTGAGGGAGCTGGACCTGGAGCGGGGCTCGCACCAGGCCTGGTACCTGCTGCAGCCCAGGGACCAGATGCAGCAGCAAACGCAGCAGCAGACGCAGCAGGCGCAACAGACGCAGGCCACGACATCTCCCCTGGGTTCCCTCCGGCTCAAGCTTTTCTTCACCTCGGACCGGGTCTTCTCTAGTCACTTCTACAGGGAGCTCAGGGAACTGCTCCTCATGTCCCCAGACGTCAAGGTGCGAGGGCACTCCCCTTCTCTTTCCTACCTTTGGAGGCAACGGCTTTCTGTAATAAAGTGGAATCTCATTAATTGGAACCCGACGGGAACCAGAACTTTGTTAGAATAATGCAAAGTTTGAATTACCTGGAGTTTCCTTTGTAGAAACAGGGATGATGGGACCTGGATGGTAGCTTGAATTATCCGCGAGTTTGTATTAAGAGTTTGAATTAACGAGATTCCACTGTACTACCTTGGAAGTGTTTTGTTTTTCCGGCTATTACCAACTCCAGTTATTACGAGTGGAGACAGGCACACACAACTTTTTTGAACTTCGGTTATTACACACTGCAATCATTACTCTTGTTATTACGACCAAAAACAGTTACAACTTTTAAACTGCGGTTATAACAAACTCCGGTCATCACTCTCCTGGTTGTTACGGCTGGAGACGGAGATGCGTAACTTTTAAACTCCCGTTATTACAAACTCTAGTTATTACTTTTTCGGCTACTACAACTGGAGAGTTGTAGTAAAGTTGCGCGAAATTGTCGCATAATCTGCGAGTCGTGTCATCCGAAAAGACAGTAATTACGAATACAGTGACCGGCCTCAAGTGAAAAAGACAAGCGGAGGTTTTAAATCATGTCTAAGCTAATAATCTGTTTTCTTGTCGTCAATGGTGTCCGTTTGCGGGACATCATTCGCAGGCATGCTCAATCGCGATGATGGGATCCTTGTCGCTTTTCGCGCTTTCCGAAAGCGGGAACGGCGGCAACCAGCAGAAGTGTGGTCAATCCTGGGAGAAGCAACAATTTGGAGAAAGTAGCCCGCAGAGGAGAGCAAGGGTAAAAGAGAGACGGGAGAACAATCGGATGAGCGGAGCAAGGACGCAAGCGGCGTCGAGGCATTTCACAACCCAGGGAGGAGAAGGAGAAGTGCTGTCTCCTGGTCCCTCCCGGTGCTGTGGCTGTCTCGGGTTGCCAGCGGCGTGTTTTTGAATCCTCTGAGACTGCACACAGCTTGTAGAACTTTTCTGCGTTGCCGTGCCACTGTCCCCCTCCTCATGCAGCCGTCGAATTCTTTGTGCGTTTCCCGCCGGAACGTCGTATGACGCGGGACGCATATAATCACGTGTTGTAGAAACCAAACGTTTAATACATTATTTTTATGGGGACTTTGTCAGGACCAGGCAAATTCGTTGTAAAATGCGGGACGTCGCATAAACCAGGGACGCATACCTAATCGAGGTTCCACTGTACAAATGTCAGTGTTTACAGAGGATACAGTTGAAACTAGAACTGGTGACACCACAAATGTATGGCCTTGATGACGAATGGGTGGTTAAGATCTTTCATAATTTGCTGGAGCCTTTCCATGCTGCAAGATATAAAAGCATACAATTTTTATTTTTTCACTGATTCTAGAATACATTTTTTGACATGGCTCTGCTCATAGTGATGTTGCATATATTCAATGGTATATTATAATTCCGTGTTTTCGCATACGTCCTAAAAACTAGGAAAAACGCTCGCCGGTAAAATTTACATTGATTTGGATTTGTTTGTGAAACTCGGAATTTCGGGGTCACTATGGCAAAATAAAAAGGCAAGAGAAAGCACAAAAGATCGGTGTTTTAATAATAAACTTTGTGAGAGCACAGGGTCAGTGGTCCTGGGGATTTATGTCGTCAAGGTTCGTTCAGAACAACGGGTCATCGTGCTTCTGGATCATGACAAAAGCCACTGTTACGATTTCCAGTTTGGAGCATAGTACTATTGCTGGTTTTTGGAGAGGGGAGTGAAAGCTACAAACCTGTAGATTTTTGGTGGCAGGGCAGCTGGAGCTTCAATGCTTCCCACCAACTACGTCCACCGGTGTTTAGTTATTTCAAAGTAGTGACATTAATTGAAGCAATACTTTTATGCAATATTTGGCATTTAACAGTTAGTATTGCCAATGGCAGGGGCGCCGACACAAATGCAACCGCGGAAATGTCATTTGACACAGGTGAGCTCTTATGATTTAAGGGTATGTTTGTGTCTGAATATTTTTTTTTAGTCCAATTAAAACAATTTGGAAATTAGCATATTAAACTCCAAATTTAGGGAAATATAAAATCTAATAAAAAGAATGAACTCCCATAAACCCCAAATTTTTAGCGAAAAATAAACTCTGAAAAACGTCCTCTGAATTTTACACAAAATAAACTCCGAAAACACAGAATCGTAATTACAACTTATAAAAACCAAATCATGAAGGCTTCGAAAGAGTTGTTCTAATTCTTGGGCCAAGCTGAAGGGGAGGCAATAAACAGACTAGGAAGGATCCATTTCAAGAATGAATTCCACTCACTCGTTGTAGGTGGGGAAAGACAAAAAAGTCACTCCAGAAATCATGGAAACGCTCTGCATGAACACTTTCATGCAAATATTATACAGTCTTCCGTGTCCCATAATTTGAATCTCTTCATTACTGTAGAGTAGACCAAGTCAGTCAATAAGTTGCAGCGCAGAGTGACGTCACTTCAGCCATGTTGGAACTTACAGTCACTGTTGCCAGTCGTCCGAAGCTTTGTCTGAGATTGCAGGAAACTGTTCTCCGTCTTCCAGAAAGGGAGTGCCGATATGCCGGGCGTAACTTACTCAGTGGCCCTCAAGTAAACTTTTCTTTCTCACCGTCTGTTCTGTCTGCGTCCCCTGCCAGCCGGTGACTTCGAGTGCAGCCTACATCCTGGGTGAGATGGTTCAGCACAAGGACGATGCGGCCCAGCCCTTGGTCAAGATCTTCAAGAGCCACAGCTCGGTACTGCCCCTGCTCAGGGCACTGGCTGGCTGCGAGGTGGCCGGAGTCGCGTGAGTTTACCTTGCTGTCCTTGTGGTAGTTTGCTGAACGAACGAAAGGAGGTGTCGTGGCACAACGACGAGGTTACTGTGGACAAGCACGCTGCACCCGCTGGTGGGGCGAGGTATGAACTCTCGGCTGTCCCACCTCACGCGCAAGCTTTGAAGCGTGCTGTGTTTATGATGCTGTTGTGTCGTGCACGATTTGATTGTATAGATGGAGGGGAAGCGATTGACAAGGGGTGAGCTAGCGTTGACGGCAACAGATGGTGCCCCTGCCCATGACTGAAATGGACTGTCCCTTGACCAGATCATATTGTGTTAGGCATGTGCGAATTGTGGATTTTGAGTTCGAAGCGCATCTAAAGCGAATAGTGATTTTGGCCGAATATTTTCTAATCGAATATCGAATAGTTTCTCCTAGTCTTTTCACTACAAACAAAAACCCAGCTGAACTCATGAAGGATGTTCCCAAGCTTCTGCTTGTCCATTGCTAAGCTAATTTTAATCTCATAGCTATATTTATAGACTGTGGCCTCAGAAGGTCCGATGCTTACGTTGGAATAATAAATAAACAATAGATTTGACAAAAAATTAAGCATATAGAGATGCCCAGCTACACTTAATCGAGGGTATTTATAATTCTTGCCATCTGCAACTATCTTCAATCCTAGAAGAAAAAAAAAAAAGACAATCACGAATGATAAATGCAGGTTGTCAGGATATCTCTCCCTGCCTAATATACATAAAATAATGTGGAAGTGCCCACCTCGTACAAGCGTATACTACTAATGTTTCCCAAACTTGGAAATTCTGCATATTATACGTTAAACGTCTGCCCCCCCCCCCGAAGCTCCGGCATTGGCCGAAAATATTCACCCTATGACGGCCTTATCACGTGGAAGTGAACGTGCTTTCTCCGATTTCGTTCGCCCTTCCTTCAGAGCTTTTTATTGGCTGCCACCTTGGTTTTTACCGATTTGATGGAACAAGTGTCCATTTCTAGATTAACCCAGTTTTCAGTGAGAGTCGGGTGGGTGCTTCCTCGGTATTTTATAGTATATGCTCGCAACATAACTACAGCTAATTTTGAAAATTTGCTGCAACATAGATATCAACATTTACAAAGTTTCCATCTCTTTCCAAATGCACCAGGCATGCGTGTGAACCATCGCGCTTCGAAAGTGCATTTTTCTCTTAAGCATGCAACTGTGATATTCATACTTTCAGAAGTGTTGGTCTCGGCAGGTTACCCCCTTGAGCGCACTTCTAAATGAGCACCGGGGTGCTACGGGAAAGCACTGCCCACGGAGCTCGCTGCCACAGGTGTTGATTCTCCGCAGTGCACTGGTGCTCGGTAAAAAGCGTGCTCAACCGGGCTAATCTGCCATGAAGGTTGTCAGGATATCTCTCCCTGCCTAACATACATAAAATGTATGTTAGGCAGGCACCTTCAAAACATATTAATATTGCGGTTCATCATAAAGCGAATATTGGTGAGCGTATTATTCTAAACTATTATTCAAATATTTGCGCGATACATTAAAACCTCGTTATAACGAAATGGGATATAACAAACAAATGGATATAACAAAGCAATCATAATTCCCCTTGCTTGCTAAAAGTGGGAAGAAATGGACATTGGCTATAACAAACTAATGGTTGTAACGAAATAATTACGACCGCTCCTTCAACTTTGTTATAACGAGGTTTTACTGTACTACATTGTGTTAATCCTCTTACAATAATTTCTGCGGGTTTATTTTAAAGTGGACGTTCAACTTGTGACTGACGACGTGGAATACCATTTTGAATATTTTTTTACACTACTGGTCCGAACGTCCTACTATATCGTTCGACTTAATTATCACTGTGTCGTCTATTTTGGCGGTTTTCATTGTTTCGATTTTATTCCATCTCGCGTGAACGATTTTCAAACAGAACTGACTTTGCTTGCGCGTGCAGGGATCCACACACCATCTTCCGGGGCAACACCCTGGTGTCCAAGTGTGTGGACGAGTACATGAAGCTGACCGGGATGCTCTACCTGCAGGATACTCTCAAGGCAGTCATTGCCAAGGTGAGCGCCCCTCTCTTTCTCCGAACGCGGGGCCTTACACTTTTTTCCTTACTCATCCTTGTTCGCGACGTTACACAAAAAGGGTACTCAATTAAAACCCGGTCCACAAATTTACGCTCGACCGTGACCGACCAGGTTACGACGCCTTGGCCGAGCCGCCCACAGTCTGACAGAGGCTTATTGCGGAAAAACCACCGTGTAAATGAGATCAAACTCGGGGATCCTGGGTTCGATCCCCACTCCTGCTCATTTCAATCTGGACGAGGATCGTACCCGCATGCGGTCGTGTATCACTACCTCACAATGCGCATTAAAGACTCCGGGCTAGTGGTCGTACCGCACTGGCCGAAGTTCTCTTCTATGGCGGAGACGCCGGATGCCCACAGGGGCCGACTATCGTCCCGCCATCTAAACGTATGCGCAACACAAATAGTTTATTAAGCATGCCCTCGTTTCAGATCTTGTCCGAGCACCTGCCCTGCGAGATAGACCCCTCCAGGCTCAAGGATGGCGAGTCTCTGAAGGCAAACGAGGTGAGCCTTCCACTTAGAGTATTGTCACTTCATTCTCAAATTTTGTTGTGGGTGCCGCCATTTTGGTTCTTGGTGGAGGGCGAGTGCAATTTGGCAATCGTTACATTTCAGAAGTGCAGCTTTCTCAACTTTAGGTACTATATTGGGAAGCTTCAAAAACATCAGTTTACTCTTTTACGGATTGGCATGAGGGGCCAGACGTCCGAGGTCGAAATGTCTGTCTTCGGCAGCTGCTTGTGCATTGTAGTGCGGGGGGGTGGTGGTGATAAGTGTACATTGCTTAACACAAAATTGCTGCACTGTCTCCAGTCCAACCGCGATTCCGGCCTTCAGTGAGTGGCCTCTCCAGCTCGGGTTGTTGTGTTGAGCGCTGCGCCATGAGGCGGCTCTTTGATTGTTGCCAGGGTAGTGCTGCCATGAGATGAGACACAGTTTTCGTGTTCAATACAAGGTAGGGGAGCACTGTACTATTGCAGACAATATGAGCTGCAAATGTCCTTCAGGCTGCTTTTGCATACCTGCCAGTTTTCAAGAGAGCTGTGGTTCAAACGAGGAATGGAATGCAAAGTTGAGATTCCGTACTTCAAACCATTTGACCAATTAAAAGATAACGGAGCTCGTGGGGACCGCGGACGCAGAAAAATATTGGACCGAGCATTTCGGCTTAAATTGTTTGCGGGGGTACGTTTCACATACTGGAAACATGTCTCAAAGGCTGGCTGTTGGAGAAGCAGCTTGTACCGACGGCACGTGCGTGGCAATGCTGCGGTGGTTTCGGGAAATTCTCTAACTCTGTGCCCGGCCCTCCTCAGGGCAACCTGCGTGGCTACGTAAGAGAGGCCCTGGGGGCCATCACCCGGTCCTGGGTGGCCTGCCCCTGGGAGCTGTGCGACCTGTTCTCCATGCTGCGGGGCCTGGCCGCAGACCGCTTCCCGGGACGCAAGGAGCTCCAGTACTCGGTCATCTCCGTCTTCCTCTTCCTCCGCTTCTTTGCAGCTGCCATCCTCAGCCCCAAGTTATTCGAGCTCTGCTCGCACCCCATCGTGAGTTCCACTGACTTCTTGCCACCGTCGTGCCGGTAGCCGTGTCGCGCCCGCTTGATGAACATCTGTGCCGCTTACGAAGCAAGCCCGGGCATTTACTCGTTCTGTTGGAACTGTGGAGTGTCAGTCGCCACGACCTGCAGAATAGGCTAGGCCACGGGTTCTCAAGCTGTGTTCCTGGGAGCACGGGGGTTCTCCAGGGTAGTACTCTCATCTGCTCCCCGGGCTTTCGGATTTCCTCAACCATCCCTGCCCTTAACCAAAGTGTTCTCCCAGTTTAGGGCACTCTTTTAGTGGATCTGTGCCACCCATTGATGCACAGCTATGAGTCAAACACTTATTAGGAATGTGCATTACTGTCTACAAGGTCTGTAGGCTGTTAATACTGCAGATTGGGCGAGTTGGTAAGTGAGGCATCATTACGAACCAGCGCACAGGTAGACAATTAATCAAAATCCAAATACACAGAAAATTACTCGCACAGTGCTGAACTATCAACTAATTTGTATTTCAAACTTCCCCTTCTTTGACCCCGAGGAATAGGTTGCCAAGGGAGAAAAGGGGAAAGACAAGGCAAAGGAAGGAAGGTGAAAGAAAAAGAAAAACGGACATGAATAGAAAAAGAAAAATAGAAGACAAAAAAAAAAAGGAAAATAAAGGCGAATAATGCTAATACAGCAGAGTCCAAGAGTTACAAAAATTACAAAAATAATTGCAAAATTAATCACAGACATATATAAACCAGGTGATATGCTGGTCTAACTGTCGACTACACTGTTGGCGTAAATAGTTTGTGCAATGCAGAAAGTCCAAGAGTTACAAAAATTAGTTGTTAAATAATATCAGAAGTAAACAAAGAGAAAGAAACCAGTGGTTATACTGGCTTACTGTCAAAAACACCTTCTGTCTAAATAATGCAGTTCTTTCTCCGATAAAGCTAAGGATGGCGTGCTAACGCACTGGACTTCCCGTCTTGCAGTGTTCTCCTCTTCTATGATTTCTCGGGTGAGCTGGTTTTTACTCCTGCCTAACACAGCACAGTTGTCCAGTCGCGCAAAACAGCCACAATCCCTACAGTGAATACCTAGGTGTCCGGAGTTGGCATTGGCAATGTTGTTGTTGTGCTCTCGCAGGCGGTCGTTTAAACACCACCCAGTCTGTCCAATCTACTCTTTTCCACAGGAAAGGGGAAACGAATAGACTACCCCTTCAACACATGAGACAAAGTTGGATCTGTGTTTCTCTGCGCAGCTGACGGTGCTGTTTGAGGAGGTGTTTACTTTTTTGCAGAGGGTGTGAAGTTTGTGTGGTGCTGAAAACACTAGTACATTCACATTTGCTCTGTTTGCTATTTTCTTTAGACCATGAGATAGATTATGCATATGGCACAACTGCCGGTCTGGTTGTCCTATCTCTGGGTATTTTTGCGGCGCCACCGAGCTTGTTTTCTCTGAGAAGAACCTCGGTTACTGACGTCAATATAGGTAGAGGATATCCAGTGGGCCTTAGCCTTGATACTTGTATGTCAAAGCTCATCTGCATTGAATGTAAGCATGACTTGCTAATCGAGTTATTAAGGCATGACCTCACTATACCTCTTTTTACAAGCTTAGAATGTGCAGAGCTGTAGGCTCCTGCCCTCCTCTATTGCCTAAGTGTCGAGATTGGGAGGGGTTCCTGGGCTATCAGTTAAATCAGAGAGGGGATCCTTGAGATTTAAATGTTTCCCTTGGTCTGTATCTTAAATCCTCAAACTGGGTTTCCAGAAACACGGGGTTCCCCTCTTGGTACCCTCCGGGGGTCCTCAAAGCAGCCAAATTCTCTCGATCGTTCCTAACCCAAGCAGAGTGACTTCGTAGTTGAAGGAGTAGTATTTCAGAGTGTCTTGGCCACGCATTGATGCATAGCTGTTTGCCAAACACACCCTAAGGTTTGCATTGCTGTTAACAAAATCTGGAAGTCTTCTGTACTAATGTAGCAATTCAGTATTGAAGAAGGCAGGAGCTTTTCAGCTGCTATCCAAAGCAGATATAGGTATTCCTCAAGATAAGGAAGTATCGGGGCCTCTGGAGTAAGAAAATGATGGAAGCACAGAAAATTCGATCCCCAAAAATTTGGTCTGTGCTGTAATCTAAGCATGTCATAGATAGCTATGTCTGCAACAACATTCGCTGCTTAGTCTTCTGCTAAGTTTTCTTTCGTAAGCGTTTTAGTGTCACTCGCAAAAGTTATTTGTCGTTCACCTCAAAATGAAGTGCTCTTGATCCTTCGTTTTCCGTTTCTTGGTTCTAGGACGAGCAGTCCCACCGGAGTCTGACACTAGTGTCCAAGTCCATCCAAACCTTGGGCAACCTTGTCAGCTCCACAGCGGTGAGTGTGCTGCCCCCTTTCCATAGTTACGGTTGTCCTCTGCCGTGCCGGAAGTCATCTTTGAAGTTATTGGTCCGCATGCTTTTCGTAATTGTTGGGTTTTTGATCCTTCTGGGTGCCAGGCTCAACCATTCTACAAGGAGGACTACATGAAGGAGTTTTACGAGAACTTCATCACGGAGGAGCATAAAGAGTCTGTACGGCAGGTGAGAGACCAGTTGCCAATGAAGCTACTAGCTATTGGGTCCCTGACTAGTTGCCAGTTGCCAGTCCCTGACCAGTTGCCAATGAGGCTACTAGCTTTTTGGGGCTCTACTGCTAGATAGTCTGGGATCTTTCAAAGTATGCTTCAGGGATCCCAAGAAAGTTTGCAAATCTTCCGAGAATTTGGGCAAAAATGAACATGAGTTAAAGAACTTTTCCTAAAAACCTGTTGGTTTTATAGCTTGTCTTTCTGTACACATGTTTGGTCAACCCGCGCACAACTTTCCGGCATGCCCAACATGCTTTCAACCTGTCTAATACCGTATTTACTCGCACAATGAACGCACTCGCGTAATGAACGCACCCCCCAAGTCGGCTCTGAAAAATTCGACTTTTTTTTTCACTCGCGTAATAAACGCACCCCGAACTGGACTTCAAAATTTTGACCCCTTCCCCCCCACGCGCGCGAAATGAACGCACTTTCCTCTCCTGGTGCAGCGAGGTCGCGAATGCACGGGCAGCGTGGGCGAACAAAACGCCTTGCAAAAGGCGTTAAAAAATTCGAAAAGATCAACGGAAGCAAAAAAAAAAAACATAAAGAAAAGTTTTTTTTTTTTTTTTTTGCACAGCGCAGTTTGGACTTAGGTTCGCGCGCCGCCGCGCGCAAGGAGGTAAGAAAGAGAAGCGCTCTAAGCGAACGAAACAGCTTGCGAAAGACGAAAAAAAAAAAAACCGAAAAAAAAAAAAAAAAAAAAAACGGAACTGAGAGAAAACAAAAACAGAGGAGCTTTTTTTCTTCTTTTTTTTTTTTTTTTTTTTTTGCACAGCGCAGTTTGATTACTGGGGCGCGCGCCGCGCGCAAGGAGGTAAGAAAGAGGAGCGGAGAAGCCCTCTAAGGAAACAGCTTGCAAAAGGCGGCAAAAAGAAAAAAAACCACGGAACTGAGAAAAAAAAAAGAAAAGCTTTTTTTTTTTTTTTTTTTTTTTTTTTTGCACAGCGCAGTTTGGTTACGGGGGTCGTGCGTCGCGCTTAAAGAGATAAAGATAAGCGGAGAGCCCTCCCCTAAGCAAACAAAACAACTTGCAAAAGACGGCAAAAAAAAAAAAAATTAACAGACAAAAATTTTTTTTTCACTGCTTAATTTGGTTATGGGGTCGGGAGCCGCGCGCAAAGAGATAAGAAGTTACTCCGATTTTTCAGGATAAAAGTCCGTTCTATATGCGAGTAAATACGGACATACGGACGCAAAAATTTTACATCGCGTAATGAACTTTGGATCGATTTTTCGGGAAAAAAAGTGTGTTCATTCTGCGAGTAAATACGGTATTCTACAAATGGCGACACAGGCTCAAACATTTTACACAAATTGTTGTGAGGTCATCAATGTACCATAAACTTGAGATACTTGTTTTGTGAGTTGTCATCATCGCATGGATTACAAATTGATAGCGACTGGGTCACCTTGTCTGAAATGGTGGGCAGTAGTGATTGTCAATAGTAATCAACTGTACCTGCTCTTGAAGAGTAGAAAAACGATGATGGGCAGCTGCGGTCAGTGGCAGTAAGGTTATACTGAAATGAAAACCTGTGCTGCAGGCTTGAAGATTGTTAGTAGGCTAATTCTCAGTTCTGTTGGTTTCAATATGGACAAAAATTGCACAAGTATAAGTTTACGTAATCGTTACCATCTAATGCGCACTGTAAATCCTAGTTGAGCAGTTGTGCTACTCTAGGCAGTTGCCCCGCCTCACTGAAGACACTAGTCGTGTCTTTCTGGCATTGACAAACTTTCTGACGTCTAGACATTTGTACAATATGCAAGCGATGTGTTTTGGTGTTCCAGTACCTGGAGCTGATCTCTCTGAAGAACGTCCCCATGCGGAACTTGGACACACCTTCCATCGTCCTCAAAGAAGGGTGAGTGTTTGCTCCTTGGTGGTGCTGCTTGCTTTCTGGAAACGGCAAGTTGGCATAGTTGCAGCAGTCCTACTGCTCTGCGTTGCTTGGACACTGCTTGTCGGTCGGGCAGTACTTTGGCGATGTTTTTATTGAAATACGTAGTACTGTCGAGATTGGTTATAACGAAGTCGACGGGAATCTTAAATCACTCCGCTATATCCGCTTCTTCATTATATCTAAACTCCGTAAAAGTAACACGCAGAAAAACAAAAAGTCCGAGGACATCTGAGCACTTCTTACGAGTTGTGAATGCGAAAGCATGATTGTCGTTTTTCTGCTCCCTTGGTTCGTCTGCAACGTAGTGGCATGGATGGCCACGTTTTGCCGGTCAACGGCTGGGCACGCGCTCTTGTGAATTGGCCGCACCGTGCACCCTATCCCATGTTTGCCTTGGCGGGCTCCGTGGCCAGGCCCGCGCCGCCAAACCTCTTACCGGTGACCGGGCCGCTGCGGGAGCTGTGCCTCCGTGAAGAGGGCTTCTATAGTGTCGTTTTTTGGAACCGCATGAGAGCCAATGGGAGCCTCGTTCCTTGATGACGCGCACCAGCCAATGGGAGCTTATCCATCAGATTTACGCTACAGACGACATTGGGACGGGGGAAGGGGCTGTTTGGCACGGCTTCAAAGCTGACGACGTTGGTTCGCTCCATGGGACAGCTAATGGTTTCGCATTAAAAAGTATAACACGGGTTGACACGGGCACATGTTTATTGTGCCTGCAGAAAGCGGTTGAGGCTTCCCTTCATGTGCTCTCTGCTAGATCGGAGCCGCTTTTCTTTAACTGCGAGAAGCTCCAATTTAGAAAATCCTGCGAGCTATGTACGAACCGTGTTAAGAGTCCCGTTGACAGCTGCGACGGCCGCTGCGGAGGACGCCGACGGTGAACGGCATTCTTTACGTCGATGCACACTTCGTTGAGGGTGGCGACGCACTTTTGTTTCAGGGAGGTAACCTTTGTCTTCCCCAATGGCGAGTCTTGACGGTGCTTGCACTTGCCGAATCGGTGCTTGTGCAAGCTAGGCTTTTGCACAGACTAGTGACGCCGACACGAAACACGAAGCAAACAAAGCGCGCATGGCACTGAGTGACCGAGTTATCGCTGAACTTCGTGTTTCATCGATATAGAGAGCTTAAATTTAAGAAAGGGGGCAACTGGTCGATCAGGGTCACGTGATTTGTGGGCTGCGTTTGTAAAATGAGTTTCAGCCTGCAAGGAGTCGAAAGCGTTCACCATCTCCTCTCCGCCCAGCTTTCTTGCCACGCTGGCTACTAGATAACCAAATGATATGGCACTTGAGCCCATCTGCCCAGGAGGCATCCGCCATTAAATGGAGTTACTCTCTCTCTCAAATCTAGGTTCTTTTTGTCGTCTCCGTCGGTACGCAGTGATGTGATTGCTGCGCCAATTGCGCCAAACTGCGCCAAGGGGCTAACCCTGCTACGTCCTGCTACAGTAGAGTCGATTGTTGGGCTAGTTGGTTTTGGAATTTGGAATACATTTTAGCGCTCAAAAAACAGAGACAAAGAGGCGAGAAACAGACAGCACAGTGCACTGTGCTGTCTGTTTCTCGCCTCTTTGTCCCTGTTTTTTTAGTGCTAAAACGTATTCCAAAGTCCTGCTACATTTTGCCAAAATATGGGCAATGTGCGCCATGCCTGCGCCAAAGGACCAGTTTTGGTCGCCTTTCAAAACTAAACTGAGTACCGTAATTGAGTATGCAAGGTATCGCAAGCAGCCACTCGATACAAAGTACCCTGCATCAATCGTGACATTGTAACTCCGGAGCCGGGAAAAAGAGGGGACGTAAGGACAGGCACAAAACTTAAATGTCAGTATTGAACCAGCTCGCCTCCTTGCTTTACTTACATCAATCGTCCATCCGGTCTCGCATGGTTTTTCCGGCTGTCTCTTCTTTCGGGCTCTCGTCGTCTCGTGAATCTCGTCTCATGTTTTTTTGTTTTTTTTTTTAAGTTTTTTGACGATAGATGCGGGCGTGTGCGGACGCTCCGACGCTAACGTGCTGGGTACCAGCCATGCCGTCACGAAACGAAATTATGTTTTTGCGCAGCGGGAGTTTCTTTTTCAGCTGAAGCACTCGCTTCTGAAAGCAACGGCCGTGGGAAAACTATCTTTGGTCCTGCCTGCCAGTCCGCACGTCGCTACAGATATGGAGCTTCCTAAACCGAAACATAAGGACCGCCGCATGTTCATCAACATTCCTGTTTTTTTTTTAAACATACGCTACTACAAAAATTAATTTTTAACTCAAAGACTGCTCTGTGATTGATTACCAAGGTTTCTCTTGGTTGGCTTTCCCTCGAGAGGGATTCCAGTACATGAAAAATCTGTCGCGCAAGAAAGTTGGTGAAGAGAAGAGAGCTAAAGCAAAGAAGGCAATGTATGCATGCTGAACCCGCACAGCACGCTTGTTTGTCTCGAGTTCAGTCGTTGCACAAAGCGCTCCAAGAACGTTTCGAGGCTGGCTCGCAATGTCTTGCATCGATGCACTCGGGTTCTTTATTTTTTGTGTGTTTAGTTTGTACCTTGTTTGCCGGCCCGCTGGCAAGCACGCGCCACTAGACTGTTTAATACTGAACCAAAGAATTTAGTGCCCATAATAAGTAGCACACATTCTTTCCACGAGCCAGCAACCACTGGTGTGCGCAAGCACATGCAACGAAAATGATGTCAAAGACCTCCATTCGCAGGTGAGATGACAGTGAAATGCATGTGCTTCGGGCTAAAGGAGAATAAAGACAAGCTTTTCATCTCTACAAGTGAAAGCTACGGGCTTGTTAGACCAATTAATCGCTTACCTTTTACACCAGAAACCACTGTGTAGATGAAAAACTTGTCTTTAATCTCCTTTGGCCCGAAGCGCATACGTATCACTGTCCCCTTAAAGGGATACTTCAACGAAATTTGAAATATTCCCGTCGTGTTCAAAAATAGGTTGAATATGATCCACAATATCCGTAAATGACAATCGTGCGTTTGTATTTTGAGCCTGGTGGCTGTATTTTTCGTTATAAACGGCCCACTCTGGCAAGCGCTCGGAGAAGGCCCAGCGGAGACCACGTGACATCCAACGCAATCGTGACGTAGGTCGTCTCAAGACGAGCAAAGCTACAGCGAGGCTGACGTCGAGAGGATGGCCTAGTTGTTCCAGCCACCGAAGCGGCTGCTTTTGTATGAATTTTGAGTGACAGGTTAATCTTTTATAATATTGTAGGGGGACAATGGCGACTTCTGCGACACACAAAAGGGATTCTCGGAAAAAGGGGAGTTCCTCCTTCCCCCCTTCTCTCGTCGTGGCCGTAGACGAGACAACCTCCGTCACTAGCTGTCAAGGTTCCTAGTGACTGTCCACGCCACTATGCCGCAGACGAACTAAGTGAGCATAAGAATGACATTCGTGCTTTCGCATTCGGAACTCATAAGAAGTGCTTAGGTGTCCTAAAACCTTTTTTAAATTATCAGAATTTTTTTTTGCTATATCTGCAGGAGCTGCTCAATTTTCTTCGCTAAAAACAAACACATTGAAAAAATGCAATTGGGGAAGGCAAATCGTGATCGCTTTGCTATAGCCGCTATTTTGTTATAACCGACTTCGTTATAAACAGTCGCCGCAGTACATAAATTTTGCAACATTCTGCTACTTTTGGATTCTGTATTTTTGGCTTTTTTTTAGTGGAAACCTTTTAAAAAGGTTGAGTTTAGGTTGCTTGTGCCTCTATGAAAGGTCATTCAGTGACAGGAGTACCTACTAGTTCTAGTTTCCTTCTTTTTTTTTTTTTGTTGCATGATAGGAATAATTCTTGACTATGGTTTGGTTTTTCGGAGTGTACGGTATATTTTTTAGGTCAAATTCGAAGGGGGGGTTTGTTCTTTTTGGAGTAGTTTTTTTTTTGTGAATTCTGCATTTATCGTAGCTTACTTCTGGTAATGTCCCGATTTTCAGAAACTTGGCACTCTTCGGTATAGTCCCATTATATGCCTAAAAGATAATGCGGCCTTTTTTGCTTGAGGATGCTAAGTGTTGAAGTTAGCACATTACGTCTTTATATTTTCTTTAAAACTTCTGTACCCTCTCTGCATGTCCCTTGTGGCGCTTATTTGTTCTTTGTCCAAGCATTGGTTATTTCATCAAATGTTCGAGTCCGGTTGAATATTTGCAAGGTGCAGAATGGGCAGCTCTCAAATTAAAGTTAACAATGTTTGTTTACCTTTTTTATTTTTAATATTTCAATGGCTTGAATAGAAAGTCCTGATCATGCTTAAATGGGAAGGTGAAATTGGGCGTACATTCAAGTGCTGAAAATTTCAAGAAATCTGTTGTTACTGAATAGAATGTAATCAGGTTTGCGAATAACTTACGCCAAAAATTCCAAACCTTAGTATTGCAACACCCAGCCTAACCTAGTAACACAATACCCACCCTAACCTTTGTGAGCTCTTCAGCATTTTTACTTTAAGAACTCTCCTCTCTCCTCAAAACCTTGCAATTTAGGGGTGTCGGAGTTGATTGGAAACCTGTGTTAGACATGTAAGCACAGTGGCTGAATGTTTGCCTAACCTTCACGAGCTCTTGAGTGTCGTTATTTATGTACTCTCAAGACCTTGCCATTCAGCAGTGCTAGTCGATCGAAAACCTGTGTTAGACGAGTGCCCGAATGATTTTTCTGCTTGCACGAATAAGTGGCTCTCTTTGTGCCCCTGCCTACCTCTGTAGCAGTCTGAGATCTTTTATTTACATGTGTCCCACTTTCTGCTTTTCTTTCCTGGTCTTTCAGGCTTTGCTTTATGTAAGTACTGGTGCTAAGCACTGTCTTGTTTCTTCCTGCAATGCTTTACCATCCCAGGCGAAAATCAGTCCACTTCCAACTGGATTATGGAACTGAAAATAAGTCAGTTCAGCTGGACCCAGCTGGGATCCAGCTGGACTGCCTCATTTCCAGTTCCATAATCCAGCTGGAAGTGAACTGATTTTTGCCTGAGATGCGACTCGCATGTCTTCATTGCCACCATTTTGATCATTGCTCGTTGCTACTGTAAACCGCTGAAAAGTACTTCAATATTCGAGGGGAGGAAATTTTGAGAAGTTACAGACCATCTAAATAATGGCCTTCTCCTTTCTGCCATCTTTGCCTACTTGGCCGTGGAATGCGTTCTGAGCTCCCGCTGTAGCGCTGTTCTGCAGAATACCAGATGCCGCGCATGCATCCACAGTCAAGTGACTCTGTGACTTTTGCCCGGGTGATTAGAACTTGAATAAATGCATAGAATCAATCACAAATTTCTAAAAATTGGCTGCACCAACAAATCGAGCAAGTCTTTAGGCCCTTTGGATTCACGATTTAAGGCACTCCATTCATCTCTAGTATGGATGCATATGTAGATCAGATTTAATGGTGTCTAGATCCAATCCATAATACGCTATTGAATTAATTAAGCTGTTAGCTCAAACAGCTTTATTAGAATATGCAATGGATAGTTGTTTCTTATTAGAAGTAATTCGGCAGAGTTTTTTTTTAACTGCTGCATTACTTGCTGGCAAAAAGAAAAAGTGCCATAGCGAGATTCGGCCTCATCGCCTTGCTTGGGACCACGAAGGCAGTGACAGTCGTTCTGTTTCCCGTAAATTGCTCGTTTTTGGCTAGAAAGGTTACGACGAAATTGCATACATTCTGGAAAGGAAACGCGAGGAAGTCAGTGCGGTAGCAAAGCTCCCACGACAAATCTAGTGTAAGCATTACTGCCCCTTGTCATTAGACGCCAACTGAAACATTCGAGCTCAATTCTGCAATAGGCGTGGGGTCTCTTAATGTTGTACCTTCATATTTGGATACATTTGCAAAATATTGAGCTTGCAGTTGTAAGGTTTTGTTTCTAGTAGTGTATAACTTGCCTCTTGTCGCTCACTCGCATCACTCATAGTCACGCTTTCCGTTGACGTCTCCCTTCTTGTTTTCTTTCGCTAAATTGTTATTCAGCTTTGTAGTTTGTAGGCCTACTACTATAATACATGTTTTGTGCAGCCACCAAAGTTGGTGGGAGAAAAAAAGAGTCGGCGTGAAAAAAAAGCCCTTCCACGACCGTCGCAGAATCATGACCAAGCGAGCCCAGGGGCGGAACAAGCTGGGACTGAAGAACTTCAAGCGGCGCTACTTCTGCCTCACCACCAAGGAGCTGTACTACTCCAAGACAAAAGGTGAGGAGCACCTTCAAGGTGACTGCAATTGGCTGCAACCTCGGTAAAGGCTGGTTCACACATCTGCGTTTCAGTTTTCTCTAGTGTGCCGTGTGCTCGCTCGTAACTGCTTACATTGAGGGTAGGTCTGATCCGCGTATGTACTAGACTAAAGGTTTTGCGGTGCTTGCGAGATCAAGTGTATCCTACGCACGAGAAACGGTTGCTTTTAACGTCGTCAAAATTATTTCATGCACATGGGAAAAGAAGGATACGCAAAAAGTGATAAAAATAAATATGTGGATCGGAAGTGTTTCGGCGCTATCCGATAGATGGCGTTAGCGTGCCAATATGTTCACTTGTCTTAACTCAAAGGAAAATATGTGAACCAGCCTTAACTTGGGGACTGCAGTGCATCCTTGGCAAGCGTGACTTGCGAAGCGTGGTGGGAACAGTTGCGGGGCAATGCTCCAGTGTGTGATCGTACCGTGAACTGTCTCGCAGACTCGAGTCCCCTGTGTACAATCCCACTGTATGAGATCCTGGGGGTGGAAAAAGTCCAGGAAGACTCGTTCAAGATGAAGAATGTGAGTGCTCTGGAGTTCTTGTACGCTTCTGCTTCTCGCTAAACTCTCGTCTACGAGTTGTCTTTTTGCCGACGACAAATGTACTGAAACGGTGTAGGGTCTCTCGTGACCTCGGTCACAGCATCAAAGTGGCTAGCGCAGTTTTGCCTTATGACGGACCGCAGAAGACGCCGCCTAAGTCGACCCAGTGTTGTTCGAGTGTCGCAGGACCTTCAGGAGGGGTGCAGTTATGTGCAGGACTGCATCTTGGCAGACTAACCTAGTAGGTGCGGAGGCATTTTACAATCAGACTGTGTGCGCGGCAGTGTTTTGGAGGAAATGATGCATTGCCCCCAAAGAAGAGGCACATGGATGAAGTAGAAGAGAAGTCCTTTGTACAGAGCGCGACACTGTTAGCGCGAACAAGCGATCGCCGGTTTTTCCAGTTTTTCTCTTTGAAACCAAGGGATGTCATCCAAGTTATGATTGCTATAGAAAGAGCTGATGTAGTTCTATAATGTAAGCGATAACATTTCGTGCTCGCTAATACTATTTCGAAGTAAAATGCAAAAATGCGCCGATGTCGTGTTCGCGCTAACAGTGTCGCAATGTGTACAGGGTGTCTCAAATAGCGGCCAGACTCTTTAAATCGACCGCGAAAATTGGTGAATGATGTGCTAATGCTAATGCTAATGAGGCTGGCTCTCGACGCTGTATGCTCGTTCGTTGGCGGCAGCTGGCCTCGCGACCGCTTGCGCCATCTCTTGTCCACCCTGCCAAACAGTGCCCTATTGTTTGAAGACCGGTGGCTTCGCTGCATTTCCATAGGAGTTAAGCTTTTTTCTTTTTTTACATTTTCCTTAGGTAAGTTTGCTCTTTGCAAATTTCATAAAAGTATGCACCCCCTGTGGGCAACGCTGCACAAAATTATAGAGCGATAGGTTAAGAAACCAATTTTTGCGGTCAATTTTAAGAACCTGGCCGCTATATAAGGCACCCTGTACATTCATAATACTTTTAGCGTGTGTCACATTGCATATCATTCCGACAGCAAGTGCCGCTCGTTAAAGAAAACCCATCAAGTGCTATCGCGCTCATTGCGTTCGATGGAATGTCTCAGCCAGGCCATCTAGCACAGAATGCGTTATAGGGGTTGGTTTCATGAGAAAGGTGACATGTTACACTCTCGACCAACACATAGGACAAGATCATTAAAGAGGGACACTACCCAGAAGAAAACAAACTTCTGCAGAAGAAGTTGATTTTGAAAAGTGGCATAGTTACATCTGCCAACACCTAGAGAATATTCCCAGAAAGTTCCATTTGTTCACACTGCATATATATATATTTTTTAATTCTTTCCAGTTTATTGATGCTAAAGAACAGGTTGAGGTTCGAGCACTTTGACGGCGTTTTTCTCCCTTAAGGGGGGACGCGGGTCTTGGAAACCAAAAAATTGCGAAAATGGCGTTTTTTGGAAAATAACATTTTCGGGTTCTTTATTCCATAAACTATCTTCTCTGTAAGTTTCAGCACCTAATTCGCGCTAGAAATGTGTTAAAAAAATTACTAACGAGGCCGCGGGAGCTCAAAATCGACAATCAAACACACCAAACAAGCCCAACTTTGCGCGGTCGCCGCTCCCGCCTCGTTCGGCTGGCGGCCGCCATCTTGGTCCCGTTTTGAAGCTGATTTCTTTCTCTTTCTTTTGCCTTCTTTCAAAATGGCGTCAGCCTCGTGGTTCCCGCGTCGCTGGTGTTTTTCCTTCTCGCGATCGGAGAGCCGTGATTGGCTAAAGCGGGCGCTCAACAGAATACGAGGTCGTCATTGGCCAACGCGGCCTTCCTCCTCTCCCGGAGCGCCGTTCTACCGACCGGTTTCTCCCGCGTCGCCTGTTCGCATCGTCTGCTAACTCAGTGGTCTGCTTGCTTTCTCCAGCTCCGCTTCGCTCTTTCGCCACCTTTACGATCGTTTATCGCCCCTTTACTAGTTTCGATTTGTCTTTCCTGCGTATTTTGTGATCGCGCACGATGCGGAGGAAGATGAAATTCAAGACTATGCACGCCTTTGGCAGCCGGAAGCGATCTATGAAGTTTGTCCGCATGGCGAAGTCGGACTCAGCTCGGCCGACCGGCGACGACGATCGGGTTGATATGTCCCACAACGAGTTTACCGCGGCGCCAGCCGTCGCCGAGGAAGCATTTGTCGCTGCGAGTACGCAAGGGCCCGCGAGCTCGCTCTGCGCCGCGGGGTCTTCCGAGATCGCCAGCACCAGTTTTGCGTCCGCGACAATGAAAGAGAAACCATCGTCCAGTGTTCATCTGCGGACGCATTTCTTGACCCAAGAAGAGATCGAAGCGGCAGCTGTGCGTCGTGATGCCGTCCAAACCGAACTTTCTTCTACGTCGGCGACCGAGAGGAAGCTCCAGGCCATGCAGCGTGGTCCCACACCCGGAACGGTGTCGTCTGCCACAAGCACAGGTGCAAAGTTTTTACTTATCCAGACTGATGTTCTGAATGAACTGCTGTGTTGTACAGTTTGCAAGAACTGTTTGGAGAGTGGATTGGCCATTCGAGAAGGCACCCAGCTTGGGCTGGCACTGAAGTTGGAGGTCGTGTGTCCCCGTTGCGGCATCATAGCAGACTCATGGAGTTCACCACGCCAGCAAGATTCCAGGGCCTTTGAGGTCAACATTCGAGCCATGATGGCAGTGAAGCAAATTGGAAAGGGGCAGACTGCTCTGAACGATTTATGGGCGGCAATGAATGTGTCTCACAGGGGTCTCCACCATAAGACCTTCCAAGAGCACCTCAAGAATACTTTCAAGGAGCCAGAGGCAAAATGCTTGGAAGAATTTTATTCTGAATCGGCCTCAGCAGTAAAAACCATCTACAAGGAGATGGATTCAGGTTTCCACAGAGACGTCACCATAATGTATGATGGGACATGGCACAAGCGTGGTTACACGTCCCACATTGGTGTTGGTGCAGTTATCGAGTACCACACTGGCCTCATCTTGGATGCTGTGGTTCTGTCGAACTTGTGCCTTGGATGCCAGATAGGACCCAAGCCTGGAGACCAGAACTACCACACCTGGCACCAACACCACATTTGCCAGAAAAACACTGACGCCAAATCGGGACAGATGGAGGTAGAAGCCGCTCTGATTCTTTTCAAGCGGTCAATCTCGAAGCACGACCTGCGCTACACAACGCTTGTTTCGGATGGGGACAGCAGGACCTTCTCAGCCCTCTCGCAAGAGAATGTATACGGAATTGTCCCTATCATAAAGGAGGAATGCCTGAACCATGTTCAGAAGAGGATGGGAACCGCACTCCGAAATATCGTCCAAAAGAGTGACAAGCCTCTGGGTGGAAAGGGCAAGTTGACTAAGGTGCTCATCGACAAACTGACAGGCTACTATGGTTGGGCCCTAAGGAACAACTGCAATGACTTAACAAAAATGCAGCGAGCAGTGATGGCGACATACTACCATGTCACATCAACAGACAAGAATCCCCACCATGAACTTTGCCCGGACGGAAGCGAGTCGTGGTGCCAGCACAGAGTTGCTGAAGCGAAGAGTGAACCTCAGCCCCAGCACAAGTACAACCTCCCAGCATTTGTTGCTGAAGCAATGCTGCCGGTCTATCAACGCCTCTCAGAGAGATCACTGCTTGAGCGCTGCATGGGGGCAAGGACCCAGAACGCGTCCGAATCTTTTCACTCGGTGCTGTGGTCGCTGATGCCTAAGGAGCAGCACGCTTCACTAATTGCTGTTGAAACAGCACTGCATGAGGCAGTGCTGAGATTTAATGCCGGGCTGTACAGGGCGACTGAGACAATTTCTGAGGCACTGGGGCTCAAGCCAGCTCATTTAGCTCTCCGGCGGGCGGCTGAAAAGGACGCCATGCGGGTACGCAAGGCCAACAAGAGGCAACAAGCAAAGACTGAACAGCGGAAGAACAAGAGACTGCAAAAGGACACCTCAGACTATTCTGCAGGGGCGTTTTAACGCTGAAAACTGAAGTGGAACTTTAAGTGCCGTTTTCTCAAAATTGAATTTTTTGCTTACCTTGGTGTTTGTTCAGGTGATAACTTAAGAACTGTGTGATGGATTTCTGTGCTGTTTTTTTAATCTAGATGCTGAATAAATTTCTGAGGGCAAGACAAGCCCCTTTTCTAAAAAAAATGTCCGAGCTATTTATGACAAATCAATTATTTTGCATCAATGTGAGGACCGCTGATCACATAAAATACAATGTTGCGGCAAATATTTCCTAAAATGAAATTTAAAAAAAGGGCCTTGTCTTGCCCTTAAGTACCTATCCAGGAATCCTCAGAACAAATTACACACTGTTACTGTGTTTCATTATTACTTTATGCTCGGAACAAAGGAGGCATTAAAATAAATTGGAAAAACTCTTCTAACTTTAGAACTAATAAGTGCAGCACCATGAAATGTTGCTGTTATTCGATTGTTCATGCTATAAACATACCCTGAAAATTTCATTCACTTGGCTTTGAAAATAAAAAAGTTGGGTTTTCATCCCCACATCCCCCCTTAAGGCCCATTCACACTCTTGCGACTGCTTGCGACCTCTTAAACCTGGGTTCCTTAAAACTTCTTAAACCAGAGAGCACACTGGCACCATCTATGGGGAAGCAGTGTAAACTCGGCGGTCCGGCATATTTTTTTTTAGTTCTCGCGCAATATCCTTTTTTTTTTTTTGGCTCGAAAAACTTTTGTCAATGTTATAAACGAGCCTTTCTATGGGTATTACGCACATTTGACCTCGGAAATCCCGCAAAACCTTCGCTTTTGTGAAATGCAGTTCTAGGGTCACCGCATAGATGGCGCCACAATGTTAGTGTGTTCCCTCATTCCAGAAACATTTAAGAAGTTGTAAGAGATCTCGTCCCACTCAGTCGTACTCGGTCGCAAGAGTGTGAACGGGCCTTTACACTTTTTGCCATAAATTTCGCTTAATAAAATTTATAGTTTTAATCAGGGTGTCGAACCGGAACCGAACCGGTATTTTTTCCGGAACTGAACCCGAACCCGAACCGTTATATTGTTATCGCGATGAACCCGAACCGGAACTGAACCGGAAAAAAAATAGCGGTTACCGGCTCATGTCAAAACGGTTCGGCTACGCGCTGTTGACGATGAATGTGCTTTCAATGCCATTTGTTTTTTAAGTGCCGTCAACTGACACACACCTCGCTTACATATTTTTCTTCTCCACTCAGTCTTAGGAATATAAACGCTGCATCCATGAATCTTGACAAACGCTGCATCCATGAATCTTGACATAGGAACCAGTATTGCGCTAGTCGTGGCTTGCACGGAAAAAAAAAAATTGGAAGGCTGTGCAAAAAAAAAAAAATCGCGTCACGGGATTTTATTTTTCTACAATCTCGTAAATCCTAAATGCTGCTGTGTGCTTATTTCATAACACGTTTCTAGAACGCGCGAGTTCTTGAAGCTTGCTTCCATCGGAATGAGAAAAGAAAAGACTGTGGAGTTTGATAATAATGCATCCGGTTTCGTATAGGCACTTAGAAGCTAACATATTTGCGAGACAGCGAACTCTTCTATTTTAATATTTATCCTATTACGTCCTTCTGGCGTTGCGTTCGGTGAAGTGTTTTTCATATTCCGTATCTTGTTTAATGAAAACTTCTTTAAGGGTCTAATTTGAGTTACCGAAGGCTAGTTCAAATAAAGAAAGCTGAATTTTCTCCCCACTGTTCCTTCAATTGCTTACACGCCGAGGTGGCGGGATAGTTAGCGAGTTCTACTTGTAAGTGGGTTTGTAAGGAGGTCGCGGATTTTACAGCTACTGCGTCGGACCCAATTAGATGAAGTCCAAATGCATAAACGTCGGTCGGTAACCTTTGAGTGCACATAAAGAAACCATTTTTGGTAGAAATCCCCGAGCCTTACACTACGATGTATCCAGTCTCGTATGTGCTGATTTCAGATGTTTTATTTGATATTTATTTTGATGTTGCAATTTGTCATTTATAATTTCCGAACCAGTTCGCGAACCGGTTCAGTGCCCCAAACCGGTTCGCGGATCGAATTAATCGAACCGGAACTGAACCGGAACAAAATTAATTTACCTGAACCGTAACCGAACCCGTATTTTTTTCGGTTCGACACACTGGTTTTAATATAAAACTAGGGAGAGACTTAATTTTTTGGGGGCTTATAGATAAAAAGTTTTTGGAGACGGTTACTATGAACTTAGATTTTGCATTTTCATGTTCCTTTATTGTTAGAAATTGTAATATGCAAAAATTAGCACATGTGACTTTTTTTTTACTTGAAAAAAGCATTGTATCTGAAGTTTCTTTTCATAGTAACCGGCAACAGGTATTCCAGTATGCATTCCACCAGAAAAATATGGGGTTATCATCACCATTTCTTAATGATAGTCATTGAACAGATTCTGTGCAAAGCTAAGGGTATGCTTTACTTCGTTCTGGGGTTATAGTACCTCATAAAATTGGTTCACAGGGCAGGAACTTTGCATGCCCTCCTTCTATATGGCTACAAACACCGCCCGCAAATATCACGCCGATTAAGTGGAGCGGTTCAAAAGTTGACATTCCCAGGTAGTGTCGCCTTATGGCCCCATAGGGACTACATCGCTAATATAACCTTGGTGTCAAGTCGTCACGTGACACCTTGATGCCAAGAGACGCGGCTACATCATTGCGACGTCGCGTGAGGTCACACACTGCACAAGCCCAGCTGTAACTTGCAAGACATTCTGCGCGTGTCCGAGATTCATCTGATATTGAGACGCCCTTCTTCCCCCTCGTGTGCCAGGTGTTCCAGGTGATCCAAAAGTGCCGGGCCCTGTACATTCAGGCCAACAACTGCGTGGAGGAGAAAGAGTGGCGCACCATCCTCACCCGCATCTGCCACTTCAACCTGTGCCGCATCCACACCTACCACCCGGCAGCCTTCCTCAAGGGACACTGGCTCTGGTGAGGGATGCCGTTTGCACGGATGACGCGTCTGCGTCGGACCTAAAGGGGCGTTAAACTGAACCCCAGACGCAGAATGTATGACACGAGTCAATTTCTACGAGAAAGTCATCGTGAGCGAGCGTCGTGAACGAGCGACATGCCGAGAGTGTTATTCGACGTTAAGGTTATGTATAAAGCTTAAAAAGGCCCATGTAAGATCAGCATAAGAAAGTTGCCTCATCGGGGCTTGAACCTGGGTCGGAATGGTGGCAGTCAGATGCTACGTATAGCCACTGCATGGCACAGCTGTTCTGAAAGGGTTACGCTCCCGGCAAAACGTGCTGGCAAGTGTAATGCGACGTGGTACCACGTCAACGCTTGCATCCTTGACGTCGCACGTGGGCCATATAAGGTAACACTTCCGCGGCACGCTCGTTCGTTCGGTCTTGCCCAGCCAACGTCCTTGGTGCTCGATGAAAAAAACCACACGCGGAGTGCGGTTTGTGCAAGAACATTCTGCACTCCCTGGTCTTTGTCGACGTGATCGAGCTCATGTAATTTCTTAAAGTGCTTAACTCGTTTGGAGCGAGAAGAGATTCCGACACGTGCTTCTACTTCGGGTCGACGTGCTCAAATAGAATGGCGTTTCGGAATCGCTTGTCATCTAAAGCGAGTCTCGCGACGCAGGTGTCACGCTAAAACCATTTTTGTTTGGTGGAAAGTCTATTTTGTGACATACTATCCTATTTAGGCACCTGAAACAAAACAAAATTGTTTTGAGAGTTTGGTGTTCTTATAAATAGCCAAATGTGATGCAGTTGTTGACCCAGTCCACATTACCTTTCATCCTCCGAACCGGAGTGCTGTTGCATTCCCCAACCCGTAGGACCCTTAAAAAGCCCAAGGGTTGCCAGCCACTCTAGACTTTCGTCTCTCGACGACCTGTGGTCCGCACGCACCGAAGCGTTTGGCCGAGCGGTGGCTCCTACTTGTGGATGAATTTGATACTGACGACCTCAAATGAGACGCTCGTTGCCCGCTGTCGGGTTTCCATCCGGTTACACTTTATTTTGCGACTGGTTGAGCCGCAGGGTCTGGAATGCATCTTCAGCCGATGTGCTTAGCATCCTTATTGTCCGTGCATCGAGAGTGGACACAGGGCGACGAAAAATTACACCGCAGCAGCCGTGTCATACTCTCAGATGTCGCAATCCTCGCAGATGGTTGTAGAAGTTTTGGGGAAAAACTATGAGTGTCGGCGTCGGCGCAACGTCCTAGCTCGTTGCTGCCAATGCTTTTATGGACCGTCGAATCGAGAGCGAGCTACGGCAGAACGACCGTCTGCCATGGCCCCATCCACTGCTATACTCTGTTCATCCCCTAGCTGAGAGTGCGGTAATAGCCACGTGCTCATTGGACCGGTTGGACGTTTGTCTTTTGCCGCGGGATCACCGCTCCCGCCTGTACGCGCGTGCGGGGAGCAGGGATCGGCTGACAAGAGGGAGGCGGTGGATCGGTCTGGCGAGTCCGTAATCCCCAGCGGACTGTCTAAGGGGCACTGAGGTGGATTCTGAGATTGTCTGTTTATGGTGATAACTCCATCTACGGGCTCTAAGTATGCTAAAAAACGCTAAATTACTTGTGGGCAGCCAATTTTTTTTTTGTTAAAAATCTAATCAAGTTTTCTTCCTGCGCCCTGGAGCAGACACAGAAAGGGGGGAGGGTTGTCAGGTGGAGTTTTTGAAGAGTAATTGCCGTATTACGTCTGTTAAGCCCAAAGATTTCACGTTTTTGTCAGGATGTAATGCAAAGCGCACCTAGAAAGAGCAGCAATAGTAACATTAGGAATCTCCACGCAGTGAACTATTTTTGTTGATCAAATTTTATGGAGGCGGTAGGGACTTAAGGACGGTTCCCCCCCCCCCCCCCCCCCCCCCCCGTCCAAGAGAAAATAGTGCCCGCATATTTATTTTGTTGCGGGCTTGCCAGGACGTCTAGCCATCTAGAACTGGGTGTTTCTATTGACTGATGCCCAACAAACAATGTGCCATCAAAAACAAGTTTCTACAAAAGGCACTGGAGCACCCCTTTAAGAACGAGAGGAGTGTACGCCACCGCCGAAATTGCAACAGGCAACTTTGCGATGCCCGCTCGACGCGTCGTTAGGCGGAAGTCGAGCGACCACATTCAAGGATGGGGCGGGCATACCATTCGGCATGAGACGCGTTCTAGGCACCACAACTCGTCTGCCCTCTCGACCGATCCGCGCCCGTAATCGGTTCGTGTCGGCTGTGCAGCTGCAAGGAGGAGAGCGAGACGGCCCCGGGCTGCTCTCCCGTGACATCCTACAACCTGGCGGACATCAAGGTGACCATCGACACGGACCGAGAGATGCAGCGCGTCCACTCCATATTCCTCAACCAAATGCCCACCCTGGAGAGGCTCATCGGTGAGTGGGGCGGCTCGTTTCTGTGGGACGTCCCACCGCCCATCTACAAGCCCGCGCGCTCCTGTTTCGCGTAGTTCGCTGCAGTCGCCGACAGGATTAGAACGGCAGAGAGAGAGAGCGTTCTGCCTTCGATGATGCTTCGGCAGCTCGCAAGACGCGGGCATGCGGGCAAAATCCGACAAAAAGCGGCAAATACGCATTGGAGTCGGGGCATCCAAAACACATGCCCTTTCTGTTCTTATCCCGTCCGTGACTATGGCTGTAACAAATTCGAGAATAGGGCCAATTGGTGTATACGTTGAATGTGGCGGAATCGATTCTCCGCCAAACACCCGAGATAGAAAGTTGTTTTCTCCGGTTTGTTTGGGCCGTGTCGACGGTGCAAGGGCACGAATGGGGCTCAGGGGACCTGCGGAGATCAGTGAGGCTTGCTTTTGACCCGTTATGGACGTGTGTTGTGGATTCGTGACCTTGCTCGTGTGCGAATGGCGGATTTCGAGTTTGAGGCACAGATGGTGATTTTGGCCGACTATTTTCGTATCGAATATCGAATACGTAGTTTGTTTCAGTCTTTTACTACCGGGCGCCGTGCTTAAACGAAAAATTGGCCGAACTTGTCAAAATTGTTGCCAACCTTCCACTGGTTGACTTCTAAGCTTGGTTAATTTTAATGTAACAAAATATATATATAAACTGTGGCATCTGAACGACAAGTTTGTCACAGCTATCCTTTTCAGCTATCTACTGATAGGTTCGACTGCTATGTGCAAATATTTTTTCTTAAATTTCAAGTGTTGTAGCATGAAAAAAGCCAAACAGTGGTTTAGCTCGGCTATGCCAGGATATACGTAGCATAAGCTTAGGTTCAGCTGGTTATTCTTAGCTTTCCTGGTTGTCTAGGATTAGCTTGATTATCATGCTTACTGCCGTTTCAATGACACACACACGGTATACGCATTATGCGATTACTTCGGGATCCGATGAGTTAAGCTTCTCCGCTCTTGTTATTGCAAAGGAGGCGCCGTGTAACCGAGCTTTCGCTTGCACGTCAGAAGATCCCCAGGTGGTTCAAATTAATCATCAATCCTCCGCTGGGGTGTGCCAGATGCCCGTCGTTGGTTTGGCCAGCTTCGCGCCGTGTTGTTATGTACTATCAAGCAACCAAGCTGCCGCCCAGAACAACTGGACAGCGAGAGCCATGATCTCGAGCGGGTGCATGCGCGGTGCGTGCATCGGGGACTGACCCATACCAGTCCTGCCCGTTCCGTCACTGCTCCTCATACATGCGCAGCACGGCTTTCCAGGAGCCACGCGAAACTGCTCAACCTCGGCCAGTGTAGCTTACGCTACAAAACGAGCAGAAGTGATAAATGCAGGTTATCGAGACATTGCTGCCCAGGATATACTTAGGGGCCTTTTTTTTGGGGATAAAACCCAATATTTCCCGTTATTTACACCTCGAGCATGTTTCTTGAAATTCAAGTTCAACCCAGTTTCTGCCCCAATTCGAAAATTGAATATCAAACCTCAAAATGTTACTTTTGTGTCTACTGTGGAGTATCCTTGGCACTTCTCTTTTCGTTTCAACCAGTGCAAATATTGTGGAGTTTCCTTGGCACCTCTGTTTCCGTTTCAACCAGTGCAAAAAAAGAAAAAAAAAAAGAGCACGACAAATCACTTTCAAAACTTTGTTTAGATAGGAACAGCAGATATTTTGTTCTTGTCGAAATGAAGTGATATAGTTGCAGACTGTAAATGTATGGGTGAGCTGTGATGTGGAGAATGTTCCCTCAATTCAGTGTTTAAAGACCGGACAGGACTAGGATGGAGACGTGGATGCTGCACATGCAGATTATGTGAGCAACACAATTTATAAAAAATCTAAATTCCCAAGAAAGTTTTTATACCACATTCCAATGCTGTCATGTGTACTTTAATGACTTGAATGTGAAAAAAGAAACATTTTATAAATGGAAACCAATCATATCTTTTTATTGTTAATTATATATGTCTAAAAATGACCTAAAAAACTGAATTTCATAATTCCTTTAAAAAAAAAATCTTTCTTTGTTTACTTGCTTGGAACAAAGTGCCCAATTTTTACTCCCCGACTTTTTAACACTATAAGACCCGAAAACAAATGACCCGACATGTACTTGAAACCCTTTGTTTTTGGGTTTTATGTTTTTAAAAGGTGGGGGGATAAAGATTGGGGCACTTTGTTCCTAGTCTGCAATCGGGGCGAAATCGTGTTTTTAAAGAAATAACTTGGAAATTCGGGGTTTTCAAATTTTATTTATACATTTATAAGCATAATTAACAATATAGAGCATTAATCGGTTTCAACACTTTTTTTTTTTTCATTTTTCACAATTAAGTCGTAGAGTACACAAGTTGAAACTAGAGCTCACTTGGGTTTTTTGAATTTTCGTAAATTCTTGTGGCTTGCATAATCATCTGCATGCGCAGCTCATTCTCCGTGCCAGACCTGTCTGGTCTCAACACCACAGTTTGTGCGCATTTGCAATGTGCAATAATATAGCTTTAGTTCGACGGGAACAAGATATCAGCTAGCTGTTCCTGTCGAAACAAAGTTTTGGGAGTAGTTTCTCATCCTTCATTTTTCACTTCCTTTTTATTTACTTTTGTGTTGGCTGAAACAAAAAAGCACAAGGGCAAAGGATACTTCAAAATGGGCATAAAAGCAACATACGGGGGCATAATCTATGGAACTGAAATTCCCTGAATCCAACAGAATCTAGGTTCGTTTCAATGGACATGAGCTAGTGCATGCGTTCCTGCACACTCTTTGTTTCCTAGAAAATATTTTCACAGCAAAGAGCAATCTGAAAAATGGCAAATTTTAATTTCAGAATTGGGGGAAAATTGGTGTCCGAGGCGTAAATACGGGAAAATATCGGGTTTTACCTGAAAACGAAGGACCCTACGAATACTCTCGAATAATCGTGGTGGGCTAGCCCCGTTGAGTGCGCTTCTCACCGAGCACCTGTGCGCTGCGAAGAAGAAATACCTGCGGAGCCCTCAAGCTTCCCCACAGTGCACAGGTGCTCCATGAGAAGCGCATTCAACAAGGCTGACTCGCCGCGACCATCACTCGAAAAGTATGAATATTGCAGTTTGGCTCGAAACAACGATTGAATAGCTTACGGTTCGAAAATACTATTCGAAAACTCAAATATTTGCATAATTCTGCGTGACACACACAATACATACATTCCTTCAACAGTTGCCTTCATCTAAGTCACGGACGCCGATTGTCGCAGAATTACAACATGTGCCCCGTTGCACCATAAACGCCTTGCGTCATCCGTAGGTGGGGGCGGAATGCTTCGAGCCACAACTTTTGCCGGCAGGCAGGGTGATCCTGCACACGGCGTCCCGATTTTCAGCAGTGATATCGTTCGGACATAAAGGGAAATGTTGTTTTCAAGTTCTTTCTAATATGCATGTGGTTCTAATAACTTTAGGAGCTACACTTCACATAAACTTTCAGCTTCCCGACAAAAAGAAGCGCCACACTTGCTCTGTCGCAAATTTGTGTTGTTTGGCGTACGGCAACGTGCATGTCGCATTTTTAACTGACTTTGTGAAAGCTATTGTTAGCTCGTAAACTAGTTTCAATGCTTGACCATTTATATGGGGACGACCCTCGAGCCTTTTCCAAACTTGAAATGAACAAACAACGGAGGCCCGCTTCTAGGCGGTATCGACTGCACGCACGTTGCAAACTCTAACGTTGTGGCTGGATCGGTGCCGCAGAGACGTGCCGGCAACAGCTGGGGAGCGGGGCGTCGACCTGTCCCGGGGTGGAGATGCGCCTCCCGCCGGGCTTTGTGCTGGACGACCCGCAGAGCCTGCTCAGCACCCTTAGCTCCATCAAGACCTTCGTCGAATCCATGGAAGTGAAGCACGAGCGGCACCGGCACAACCTTTACCGCCAGACGCGCTACGGCTCCAAGTAGGTGGCGTCCGCTCTTTTTTCTTTCTGTGTATGCGTACGGTAGGAGCTTTTTTTGTTCTAGCCCAAGTTTTTGCTAGAGAAGCTTTTGATTCTGTCAGTAGTCTCGCTGAGAGATATAAAACTAATCACTGCGGCGGGAACGCTCGGCGCATGATTGCCTTGCGGGTCCGCCGAACCCACTGTGATTCACGCTCATGACACTGTAGTGGGGTCGGACGGGGTCGAGCTCGATGAGCTCTCCCCCGTTGGTTTTTCCCGGGGTGTTCCTTTGGTTGGTTTTGGGTTTTTTTTTCTCTCCCCCCAATCGGCTTTTTGGCAAAATTTACACTTGATTCTAGGATCCAGTTTATTTACATCAAATTGGCATTAATATCAGTTGTGCCCTCGAGGCGGTAATGATTGAGGCATTTATTTTTCAATCATTTTCACGAGCCTCGCCCTGCCAAACGTCAGTGGTCTCGTTAATGGGGCTTCGCAATTATATTTGGGATGTGTTAGAGGTTTGCATTGGAACTGGACTCACGGGATGTAGTACGGTGCAGTCCACTTATAACAATAACTCGTATAACAATGTACCATTTATGACGATCACTTTCTAGACTAGAAACAATCAGTTTCTAGTCCAGATACAACGATGATCGGTTATGACAATTTCCAGGGTGTCTAGCGACCGGGAAAACCGGGAACTGTCAAGGAAATTTTAATTACCGGCAGAAATCAGGGAATTGTCAGGGATATTCTCAAAAAGCGAGCCAGGGGAAATGAGCCGGAAACACCATCAAGTGTCCTGAGCAAAGACTTGAAAACTTAGGGGCAGAAAAATACGCAATAAATTCTGCTTAGAGCAGAGAGCGGGCTCTGCTCACCCGACGTAGAGTGTGCTACCTGATGCAAAGGGAACATCCGACAAATCCGTCTAAGACTTCGATTGGATTGGATTGAGGGCACAACACTAGGCTAGATCCAGTTAGGGCTACTAGATGTAGTAACAAATGGAAAAGCCACAGACCCCAATCCAATCCTAGCCTTAAGTTGAAAGTGTCCGAAAGTATGCATCTGGCGGCCATGACTTGGCCATGCTGCCATTTGGTTATTGAGGTGTGTGGTTGAGCGTCGTGTTTTCATCGTGTTTCCGGGAGTGGCCTCTTCACTGACAAAGTCGGCAGCAAGAAAGTGCTTGTTTAATCCGAACTGGACAAACCCCAATATTTCTGAATATGCAGGTTGGATTAAGCCCGTGCAAAATGATCCTCACAATGCTCAATGCCCCGTGTTTTAATGGTCTTATATATTTACCTGCCTCTACAGTGGTCAGGGAATTTCACCTGAAATTGTCAGGGAAAACCTGGGAAAGTTGGGGAATTTCAAGATAATAATTTGCTAGACACCCTGATTGCATTTTCGGGTTTTCTTATTATCATTATAAGTGGATTGCATTGTAGCTTGAAAGAAAGTTATCTTTATCAAGAAATGTGCGTTATCTTGGGAGTTGTATGCAAATTAAAATGACAAACAAGGAAAAAGAAAAAAAAGGCTTCTTTGTGACACATTATGCAGCCCAATGGCAGGCACAAAGTGCCCGGCCATATGGCTACGGGTTATTTTCCTGGTAGCCCCTCCAAAGCTTGAATCATGCATAAATCATCTTTAACATATTTTGTCGTTTACAAAATTCATCACAGCTCGTCTGAATGAACAATCTGGAAAAGAAAACAATCCTCGTATAGTCCACGCTCGTAGGTAGTCTGCACCGTTTAGAATTTCGACTTTTATATGCTTATAGTGAGAAAAAAGTGATATACATTCCTTCAGTCCTTCCTTCCCACTCCCCTTTGTGTACTTATATCCCACGTCATTCTGTTTCTGACCTTGCAGGCAGGCACCCATTGGGGACGACAACTACCTGCTCATGTTCGCACGGCAACAACAGCAGCAGCAGCAAAAATTGGCGTCAAACTCGTCTTCCTTGGCACGGCCCCTCACCAGTGATCTCCACATTCCTCCTTTTCCCGGCAGCGCAAACGGCTTCTCTGCGGCCTCCTAGGCGACATCCCCTCCTGTACGCTTCTTGTGCTCTTCGCATCGTACCGCCTGACTCCCGGGTGCAACTCGGGAAGCATTGTTCCTTCCGTTTCGCTTCCACTAAGTTAAAAGGTCGGGTTACGGGGCCGGGTGGGTCACTCTTGGGGCGAGAGGTTGCAAGTCTACTTGCCCCCGCGCCAAAACACGAGCTGCCATGCAGTGTTCGGAGAGTCATCTGTTTCGACAACGAGAGCCGTCTGCCTTGATGGGAGCAGACGAGAGTCGTCTGCGTCTGCTCCAACAAGGCAGTTTAAAATTGTTTGCTCCGACGAGTCTGCTCTGCAGCGAGAGAGAGCTCCAACGTGCCCACTTCCCGATGTATGGAGTCTTCCGCGGAGCTCGAGTTTCGACCGAGAGTCGCAGGTGAAGCGCGCCTTTCGTCCTTTCGCCGCTAGGATATTTTAGGTTTAGGACGCATGTTTAATATATATATACATGTTATATATATTACATATACGCATGCACATATACATTCACATCTAAAGTGCACACACAATCACCTTTTGTCTCATTCGTCCGGCGCGGAATGCGCAGTCCTCCGTCTGAGAGCATCTGCCGAAAGAGAAGTGCGTAGCGCAGTCGTTGCCTTTGCTCAAGGTATATCTCCCCTCGTCTTGGAAGCGCTAATTGTCATATTTTTCTTCGAATGTCCTCCGGTCCACTTGTGGCGACATTGTAAAATATCAAGTTTTGTTTTATTGCTACATTTGTAACTCTCCCCTTTTCCTCAAGCGTACTTATATTCGTCGGCTTGTGTAGTGGCATCTTGCGCCTGGAGAGCGTGGCGGCTGCAGCCTTTGCCGATGTTGTGCTTTGCCAGAAGACAGTGCAGTGTTGTGCCTTCCTGCGAGTGGCGTTTGCAACGTCGTGGCATCGTACAGTGTTGGGGTGTTGGGAGAATGTTGGTTGCGTTCGGTGTTGCCTTCAACATTGCGGGGCTATGTTTTGCGGAGCTGGGGAGCTTGCTCAGTAGTCGCGTTGTTGCCGTCGCCTTCACCACGAGTGCATCGTTGGAGCTGCCACTGTTATCAAAGTTTTTTGACGCAAAGTTTGTGAAGTATACGCGGCCCCCCTTTCGTCGCTCCCGAAAAAGCTCGTTGCGGTGTGCTGCTTTTTTTTTTACACGCACACGCGTGCACCCGTTTTTGAGGGAAGCGACAAAGTTCACAGGCAGTTAATAGGTTTGAGATTGTAGTTAAAAAAAAAAAAAGCTATTTTTCTAAGTGACATTAAAAAAAAAAGAAGAGGAAAGCACCAGCAGATAGTTGTATGAATTAATGAGAGAAAAAAGAAATGTTGGGAGGAATGCTGCCACAATTTTATATAACACCAAGGGGAAGAGAAATCTATGCACTAATGTGTTGAGATGTTTTTGTGTTTTCATTTATATAAGTCTACATACATATACACCTCCATGGCTACTATAACCCCCAGTTAATCGCATACTACGCCATCTTGTTAGCGTGGTTGAGAAAGCACTTGCTGGCACTTGCTCGGAGCCCGTTCAACTCTGATCTGATGGCAGTGCAGCCTGTGCTGTTGGTCACAAGTAAGCAAGAGAAGGTTGCGTGGACACTATTTATTGAAACTAAACACATTTACTCCAAGCCAGAACAAACCTAGGCGTGCCTTTCTACTCTACTGTTGTGTGTATGCATCCCATCATTCACATAGTGATGAGTAAAGTTGAATTTTATGCAGAGTCTTCGTCTCTTCTTTTTAATGCGAAAACAGTAACCGTCTCATGGAGCAAACCGACGTCATCAGCTTTTGAAGCCACGCCAAACGGCACCTTCCCCTGTCCCAGTGGAGCGAAGCCTAAAGTTGAAGCCTGGGCGAATTGGTATGACATACTTAAAAGGTTAAAACAGCGCAAAAACGACGGACTGGGTAAAGAAGGACACGGACAGAGCGCTGAAGGACGGTGAGCGCTCTGTCAGTGTCCTTTACCCTGTCCGTAGTTTTTTGCGCTGATTTAACCTTTTAAGTAGAGCGAGGCCTGTTCTCTTTAGAAGAAATCTGATAGATAGGCTCCCATTGGCTTTCAAGGAACGAGGCTCCATTAGTTTCAAGGAACGAGGCTCCTATTGGCTCTCGCACGGCGTAGTTCTATAAGGAACGCCTCCAGAGAAGCCCTCTCCGTGGCGGCACAGCGCATGCAGCAACTCGGCCGCCGGTAAGAGGTGCGGGCCTGCCCACAGAGCCCGCACGGGTAAACTCTGGAGAGTGCACGGCCGAGCGTGGTGCAGACACTTCTCGAGAGCGTGCCACTGAACGTTGGCCGCTACCTCTGCAGTAGTGATACGTGGTTGTCCACACCAGTACGTCGCAGACGAACTAAGGGAGCGGAAGAACGACGTTCATGCTTTTGCATTCACAACTCATAAAAACTGCTTAGGTGTCCTCATAATTCTTCTTTAGTAAGTGGGCTCGCGGTAATTCGAACTCCGATATTTCGTACTGCTGGTTAATTCAAACGAATTTCAAAATTTTGGTTGTTCCACTAAGATAGATATTTTAATGGCGCAGCGGAAACGAGGCCATAATGCGCCAAACAAGGTTGCTCTGCTACGTTTCTAATGTATTCAATAAGCCACTTAATTCGAACGGCATTTTCGTGCATTTCATACTTCTTGTTATCGCGGCCCCTTTGAGTGTGCTTCTTTCTGAGCACCGGTGCACTGCAGTAAAGCAACACCCGCAGAGCTTGCTTCTGTGGGTGTCTCGGTGAGAAGCGCACTCGACGAGATTCGAGCAGACCACAGGAGCTATGAAAACTGGCATCACGCGGAAATTTCCACCGCAACTTGCGTGGATACTGTGACGTGGCGGCATGGCAAACCTCACAGTGTCCGCGCAAGTTGCTATGAAAACTGCTGCACGGTGCTCGTTTTCATCACTCGTTTGTCCCCTGCTTAATAGTTTACATTAGACAATTTCTAGGCTTGATGAACAAAATTAATTTTGTTTTGAGTTGTCGTGTTTAAACTGTCCACGATAAACAACATTTTTGAAGGTTAAATAAACTTGTCGTACATTTCACAAATGTTACCTGCTTATAATCAGTACTATGTAGATGGAAGTGCTGCATCATTGTGCACCAATGCACTTTTGCTGCACCATCCTGCTTCCAAGCGCACATGTTGCACCAACACTAGCCGAAAAAGCTTTTTAAAGCTATATTGGAGTATTCTTCATTGGCTACAGTGGTTTACTGTGTTGTGTTCATTTAGGTAATTCTGAAGCAATATGGGCTTTTAACAAACCGTTAGTGTTCTGCATACCGCACTAACAAAGCATGCTGCGTGATTTATGGTATTTGTATCTGTGACAAGGGCGTTCGTCGTGGGTTCCCTCGCGCATATTGCACCGTGATGCGCAAATATTCGTTCCCGTGACAAACGAATTCCTAACTCGTTCCCAAATTTTTTTTTTGCCTGCGATTTTTGTTTGTGGTAATGGTTCCCGTGACACCAGATTTTGTAGCATCTGGGTTCTTGCGTTTATACTGCACTGTGAAACATGAATGCCCTGCTCCCGCGTTCTGCTGCCATACCCGTGACGGGGGCTCATAGCAAATTTTCTTGTACTTGTCGCACAAGCGACTTCACCGTGTCTGCGATATGTATCATTAATGAAAAGACAGTTAGTGTGCAGGCGAGGTGGTGATAGTTAATCATGATGTTTAAAACCCGAGTCTGGTGAGGGAAAAATTGGGAAACTTTGAAGTCGAAGAGTTCTCGTTTCCCTTAACTTGTAGTGCCCCGTGCCCCCCATTTTTGACACACACACTCCATTTACCTTTTTATTTTGGGTGGGCATCCTTTGAGGACCCGCGCGTCGCCTAGTGAGATCGTGTGTGGTTGAATGGTCATTGCGTTTGTCACAAGGAGGCTCCAGGTTCGATTAGAGGGAGGGAAATGCTGCTTTATTTATTATTTCAACTTGGCGTTTTCGTAAGTTCTAGAACATTGTCGTCTAATTGAGTTATGAATGTTCTACGCACTGAACGTTCTACGCCAAATGTTCCAGAAACCCACGCAGGTACAAAAGGTTCTCCGTGTGGCAAGTCTGAGTCAGTCTCACTCTAGTGCTCGATCGTACTGCTCCGCCGACATTTGACGCCTGTGACACTACCTCTTTGTATCTTCGTCTTCGGCACAAGTTTGCCAAATTAAATGTTAGTTTCTGTTCATTCGTCGCCTCATTCGTGACATCTTGGTGGAGGTGCAGGGTGACAATACGAGTGCCTTCATGATACGTTTACAATGAAAAAATCCGCAGATTCATTACTGACTCAAAAGCATTAATATATATTTTTTGTACGTCGCAGGCGTCCAAGGTCGGCGGAACGGTACGATCGAGCACTAGAGCGAGACTGACACCGGCTCGCCACACAGAGCTCCTTTTGTACTCGCGTGGCTTTCTGGAACATTCGGAGTAGAACTTTCGGCGCATAGAAAATTCGTAGCTCGATCAGACGACAATGTTCTCGAACTTACGAGACCGCCAAGTTGAAAGAATAAATAAAAGAACATTTTGCTCCCTGGAATCGAACCTGGAGCCTCCGCAAGACAGCCGAGCATGGTAACTATTTGGCCACGCACGCACGTGCTTGCTCGGTGACGTGCATGACAATATAAACGTACCTAAGAGCCTGCTGGCATGTGTTCACCTATCATCCAATCTCTGGGAAAAGCAATAACTACTCTATAAAATTAAACATTTGGCATATTTTTGCTTGTTTGGGGTGTGTACTTTTGCTGAGACCGCTTCTGCGCTAAAACATAATATATAAAAGCGATAATTGGTTGCCTCGATCATCTGTAGTCTTTCTTGTAAATGACATACTTTACAAATACAGGTACTGGCATACAAACAGCAGCAAGGGAAAGGGTGGAAATGTCCTGTTGAGTGAGCGAAGTAAATTCTAAACCGATCGGCTAGAATGCATTCAAGCAATTGTCTTGTATAAAAAACCTTCAGTTTTTTGGTTTTACTCGCTATTCGTGACCTTAGCCTGCCTTTCCATTGCCCTACCTTCTCGAGTTGCAACAGACTATAGCGTTGTCAGTCACTTTTTTTCTTTACAGCAGAGCTGTTAAGGGCTAGTTTCCCCAGTTTTGTGTCCGTCACCAAAACATCCACCGCCATCGCTCATAGATGGCTGCAACCTTTCCACTCTGGTTTTCATCAGAGTGGAAAGGCTGAATTTTTCTAGGCATCGTTTTAGAAGTCGTCCTCGAGGTCGTCCTTGAGGTCGTTCTCGAGGTCTTCCTTGAGGCCGTCCTAGAAGTCGTTCTTGAGGTCATCCTGCACGCTGTCTTCGAGGTCATTTTAGATGTCGTCCCTGAGGTCGTCCTAGGCATCGCCCTCAAGGTCGTCCTTAAGGTCGTCGTAGACATCGTTCTCTAGGCTTCTTCCTTGAGGTCGTCCAAGAAGTCATCCTTGAGGTCGTCCCACCATAGTACAGTTTCGCTGGTCTTCCTTCTTCACCAGAGTGGAGAGGCTGAAAGTTTTTTTTATTAAACTTCTACACAGGTCAGCCATATTTGTATTAGGGTTATTTCAGCCGTATGTATAAGCAGGGATGGCATAGGTGGTATGAAGTTTTCAATATTTTGCATTTGTACTTTTATCAAATAGATTTCTACTCCATTGAGTATTCAAATACTTTTGTTTGCTAAACAGGGACTTGGAACATTTGTATTTCCTAATAATGAAAACTGTAGTCGGTATTGAACTTTATTTTATACCATCCTATTGCATCTTGAAATGGTTTTGTTTTCAACTTGGTGGAATGTACAATTTAAGTTGTTAAACAGGTACATTTTGTTTTCATGAGGCTTAAGTTATGCTTCTTTTGTTGACTATGCATTGAATTGTAAATCCATGAGAGGCACCAACCTGCTACCAGGACAATTCTCAATAGCTGCCATTCAAATATTTTTCATGCTGTGAACTGGAATATATCTAAGGAAAGGGAATGTTTGGAGATGGTTCGGGAACGTCACATGGAGGTTCTTTTTCATTGATATTTTTTATATTTAGAAACCATCGGCTCTTATAGCCCCGAGTCTGACCTGTGTGACCAGCTCCAAGATTTAACTTGGTACTGCTACGAAACTCAACTTTTGTTGCTGCTGAGCTGCTCCAAAGCAGAACTTTTACTGCTCCAAAGCAGAACTTTTACTGCTTCAAAGGGGCATCTTTGCTGCTCCCAGACCTACTCCAAAAGGCTGAAGCCTGCTTCCCCCCCTGTGTAGAAGAAATCAACAAATATCTGCTTTGTATGTGTAGCCATTCGTACGGCAAATCATAATTTTATTATGCACCATATTTAGATGAAGTTTTGATGATAAACAAAATGCATGGCTTCCTGGAGTATGAAATAATGAGTCTACTATACACATTGACTGTTGATTTTTTTACGTGATGTGACGAAAGTGCTGCACCATTTATGCCATCAATGAAAGTCTGCTACAACCTGGGCCAAGGCATTATTTTTGCTAAAAATTGCGCCACACTTGCGGTGTGGGGGGCTTGAACAAAGCAAAAAATATATTATTATTGGTCGATTCTCACATTTAAAGTAGAAGGAAAGGAAAATGGTCCAAATCTGGATTTCACAACGTCACTACCCACCGTATAATTTGTTTCAGGTTAGGTCGGAGCAGGGTCAAAGGCTTAAACACATAGTCATAAACAGACACTAAAAGCGCCAGTCACGAGGAATTTGCAAGGCTCAATTGGTTTAACCAATGAAAAAGACGTTTACAATTTCCTGTAACGCCGAATTAGAGTGCAGCTCTTGAGGAGGAGGGGAGGTTATGCCCCTCCCTCATCCGTACCCTCTCCTCCTCCTCCCCTCTTCCATTCTCTCCTTCCTCCTCCACCCCTCCCCCTCCTCTCCTCTCCGCACTTTGCATCATGGGACGTTTCCCATAATGCAGCGCATGATGTGACGTCACGCGACTCTAGTGACGTCACGAGTCCCACGTGTTGCATTTCCCATAATGCACCGCGCAATTACGCCGACGCCACTCAAGCCAGAAACGGGTACCTCAGAGCTGCGCCAGCTGCGCTCTAAAAAGGCATACAAATAGATGACAAATGCCATGGCGTCGCGCTTTTGACGCGGCTTCATTGGTCCCATTAACTCGTAGCGTCTCTTGCGCTTTAACTGAGGATGAAACGAAGTGTAGAATAATGATTGGGGTTGTGCGGATATTTATACAGCGTGTAGTTGGTCTGCCATTTCAAAGTTTCGACGAGTCACTCGCTGCAGATGAGCAATTTAGCCAGTGACAACCGCTAGCCTGGGATCTTTAACGTGCACCACGCAGTAGGGATACACGACCGCACGCCGGTACGATGCTCATCCAGGTCGAAACGGGCAGGGGCGGGAATTTAACCCAGACTCCCTGGGCTCTGCAGCGCCAGCTTTCACTCCACATGCTCCGAGCTGGTGTGCGCTAACCCACTCGGCCACCGATCCCCCGGCGAAGTGTAGATATTGCTTTTCAACCGTGCTGGCCCGTCTTCGTCTGAATTTCCAGATGATATCTGCAATGTCGGGAGCTAAAAGTCGTGAGAGAAATTTGAAAAATAGTGAGATGGCGCCTACGTTATTAAGACAGACTTGGGGTTTTTTACTCCCGATGATATAACTTGATTATCGTGTCTGCCACATGCCTCCATGGCGCTGCTGCAGTGTACCGTGGCACTTGTGCCGCTCACGTCAACCTTTACAGCCTCACACCAGCGCGCGCGCGTCGAGCTCTACCGCTGTGCACCGGAGTGCTAGGAGCAGCAGCTGAGATGGGGGAGCGCATGGGTTAGCGCGATTGTCTCGGAAATTATGCTCGGCACTATTAAAAGTTGACCTCCAATTTTAAGAAGCTGTCGAGAAGGGAGAGAAACTTCGGGTCTCTATTTCTATAAATACGGTGGTCAAGGTAGCTCTTGTGCAGCAATCGAAAGGGCAGCAAACTTTAAACTCGGCTCTGGCTCGAACGCCGCTAAAGCGCAGCTTCACTTTTAATGCACAAATGTAGAGTTTCATAATCTTTGTGGGCAGTTGTTTTTGCAGTTTATGATATTAGAATTTTGAGTTCGGTGTTTATAACGCTTGGGGGGGCTATTTTTATAGATAGACATTTTAACGGATATGCTGATTTTTTGCTAACATTTTGGAGGAATTATATTTACAGGCTACATTAACTACAGAGTGTAAAAGAGGGAAGGAGAGACACCTTATCTCAGCTGAAGTGTTGCACTATGCCTCGTTTTTCAGTTATTTTTTAATACCTATTGTAAATGGAACCTACTCTTAGCTCAGCGATATTTCGAAAAAGAAGGAGTGTTCCTTTCGCGTCAATCTATTCTTACCGAAGTAAAGGTAAAATTTTGGGGTTTTACGTGCCAAATCAACGACGGACATCTCGTATGCCCTAGCAGAGGACAGGATTAGTTTGAACCACCTGGGGATTTTTTGACGTAAAACCGAAAGATCGGTTACACGGCACTTTCTCCGTCAGATTGCGGGCACCTCGGCCAGGATTCGAACCTGCCACCTGGGGATCCGTAGGCTGGCATTCCTCGTCTCGGAGCCACCGAGTTGGCTTCTATTCTTACTACAAAAGATAATAAATAATATACTTCAGTATCAAAGAGGAATTATCAACCATTTTCAGATACAAGCTCATTTAGTGATCCCCCAATCACATTTTCATATTCATATGACATTGGAACAGATTTTGGCATCTGTTTTAAAAGCGCCAGTGGCTGCTCCAAACCATTTTACATGCTACAAAAGGTCCAATGCCGCTTTCATCACTGCACGTGTCGCCACAGGGCACGCAATACTTGCAGAGTGCTACTGACTTGCGAACATGCACGCACCCATGTTGCAGTAAGCACCCCCTACTTTTGGAACATCTGAAGTGTAATCAAAGGACATAAAGTGTTTGCCCTAAAAAAACTTTCGAGCCCACCAAGCCAGCACCGCCTAGAATAATCAAAGCTCGTCCACTAACATTCTGACCGACGTCGTCGCAGAGAGATCAAGTGCAGACATTGGTTGGGCACATGTGCTGAGCCAGTGTTTGGCTGGGCCTCACAATTGATCAATGTGTCGAAGGACGAGCCCAATTGCCGAGTTGGCACAATGACGCTACGGGGAGGTAAAGGAGGCTGTGTGCTGGCTTTGATTGTTCCAAGTGGCATTGATCCACAAGTGCTTCTCAGTTTCTGCCACTTCTGTACATGCACCGGTGAAAAAACAAGCTTTACACGCATGCAACAGCGCTAAGCGGTGAGGCTGTGTGCACCGCTGCAAGGTGAAGCTTTACCTATGTGCACCAATGCAAAGTGGTGAAGCTTTGCACACGTGCAACGGCACAATGCAGCGGCGAAGCCGTGTGCATCGGCGCATAGTGAAGCTCTGCACATATGCACCAGTGCAATGTGGTGAAGGTGTGTGCGTGTGCCAGTGCAAGGTGTTGAAGAGGCTTGATGGGGGGGGGGGGGGGGGGGAGGGGGGGGTGGTGGGGCTGCTTTAAAATTTTTTTCTGCCAGACTCCTATACTCTTGCGCCGTCCCACTGATCAAACGAGTTGAGGAGGGGTACACCCTACCGTGTGCCCCTTTTTCTTTCTCGTTCTCGGACCTGTCCCCACTTTTTTTGCGATTTATCTCCATATTTTGGGTGAATGCCTGCTCATTATTTTATGGTAGATGAGAATACTCTGAAGCCCACTTTATAAGAAGCCAGTAGTCTGTTATAATGCTGTATTACGGTATCCATAATTGCCTTAGCATTTTCCTATTCTGCATCCAGTTGCACTTTACAGTGAACTGTTCGTTTTTTGTTTGAATCAGCTGACAGAAAGATTCGGCAAATTTTTAAAATTCATTTGCGTCCTTTCCTTTTTGTTTGTGCCCCCTTGCCCTTCGTACAACACAATAGCAATGCCTCCTGTTCCTGTTTGAACACAAAAGTGCCATTTTTACAATTGTCCAGTGTCCTACTGGTTTTTTTCTTCGGAATGTAGACAAAAGACTAAAAATAAAGTTAGTTGCGTAATGTTCGGGGCTTGGTCGAAAGTAATGTAGAAAGATTTTATGCGCGGAAATCTAATCCACTCACCCATTTTGGTTCAAAGCAAATTTTGCAAGATAAAATCTGTACACCAATGCTAGTCATAACAGCATTCTCGAAGCCACCATATTTCTACTAATGCTTGCTCGTTCAACGACTGCTGTGGTTGCCTCGATGTGGTCTACAAATTTAATTTCGTTATCAAGGTCTGATTCACACATTTGCATCCGAGTGCGACTGAGGGCATTGCAACTGTTTGCGATGAAAGAACACGGTGACCATTTTTCTTGTATAGTGCAGTGGTATAATCTCGCAAATACTGCAAAAATCTCCAGTCTAGTTGTACAAAGATCGCAAGTGTTCTAGGTGCCTCTGTGTCCTGTTTGACAGATCACATACTATCCGTTTTCTCGACTGGGCAAGTAAAGCGTAAGGAACATTTGGGGGTTTTACGTGCCAAATAAGCGAGGGGCATTTGGCACGCCCAGCAGGGGACTGAGGATTCATTTCGTCCACCCGGGCACCTTTAACCAGCCTGTGCTCAGGCTGGTCTGCCCCCGAATTTTCTACTTAAGTTTTTCACTCAACATGGCAAACCCGCGAAAGTGGGCACTATAGCCAAACTTCACTACATTAGCCGGACAAAAGTGTGAAATTTGGGGTTGAATATTGCAAAACACGGGCCGGTTACGCTAACTTTACAAAATGGAACAGTCTTGGCATACGACTGCCTCAAAGTTGCTAATATAAGCATATATTCTAATTACAGTAATCAAAATTAAAACTTTTAAATAAATCTAATGTCTGCCAAGCCATATAAACATAGAGTGAAAACCACATTCATATGACTTCTTCCTCCTCAATTTAAAATTTGGTGCAGCTAAAAAAAAAAACACCCTGTATATCTTACACCATGGCAGGGATTCAGACCTGCCACATGGAGATCCGTAGGCTGCCGATTTGCCTCGGAGACATTGAGGCGGCTTTGGGCAAGTGACGCAATGGCTACGTAACTTAAAAACATTTATTTGGACAGAAGAAATGAGTATGGAGCAAGAATGCAGTCAGAGAAACTTCTGTGCACCAGCAGCAAACTTTGTGTTCAAAAGTGCTGCCTTGTTGAGGAGCGCCTTGTTGGCCTTGGCGTCAATGTGACTGATCTTCAGGTCTTCCTCGCGGTTGAATTCTCTTCGCTCTTGGACTACAACTTTACTCTGAAAAGACGCCAAAACGAAGTTTGTTTTGTGGCCAAAGCAAAGCTGTTGTCTGGTCAGAGTTTATTTAAACACTTTGGGTCTTAATCAATTTTAACATACGACTATCGCAACTTTTCAATCAACTTCGGGCATTGGCACGATAGCCATTGGCAGAGGCGAAGCATGTCGATAGCCTGCAGTTCATCACGCCGGTGAAAAATCCAGCGCCATCACCATTTATCAATGTTGGTGGTACTCACTACTGAAAAGTGTTTCTACGCTGTGAGTGGCCTCTATCTCTAATCAATTCTCAAGTGGCATTGACTAGATCTTGCAAGATGTGTGCGACACGGGCACAAGCACGAGTGAGTAGCTCCGCACAAGGCTATGTCAACTAGTTGGAGTGTGTTGTGCTTCGGTAAACCAGTTTGTACTATCCAAATAGGATGTCCCACAGCCTATGCACCCTTTTATGGGCACCGTGCCATGATATCGTGTCCACTTCCTTCGCTTCACCATTGAGAAACATACCAGTCAGACTCGATATCTGTACTTACCAAGACTGCTGGATTACCCACTTCTGAGAAACAACAAGAGCAGGTGGTACCAAAGAAAGCTGTTTAGCGGGTACGTATCGGACCAGTCGTCCTCGACAGACGGGAGTAGACAAATCCTTCAACAGAACCGGAAGACCTTGGAGAAGTTAACTCGGCCAGGCAGAGCTCCGACTTTCAAAACAGCGTTCCTCGATGAGGACCTACCGACGGCCTCGTTGGATTGGGGATACCGGCAGCCTGTATTAGCAATGCCGCTTCTCCTGGCCCAGTGACTTTGGGAACATGCACAGTGCTTACTCTGATAAGTTTGAGGCTGGTTCACACATTTGCATTTGATCACACGGTCTATGTCGCTTTACAGGTCTTCCATAAGAGCTAGTCCTAGGGAACAAAAGAAACAAAACAAAATGAAAACGTCATCACCTGTTCCACTTTCCGCTTCTTTCGGTGCATGTCCAAAAGGGACTCTGCCCGTTTTTCTTTCTGTAATGGGTTTAAAAATCGGTGCTTTGTCGTATCAACCAGTTGTTTCCGGGCAACAGATACATACATTGTAATTTGTCAACTGTTCAGCAATCTCCTCTTCTTTCTTACTGCGCTTCGGGTGACGCGAAGGCTCCGCCTCGTCCTTCTTGGCCTTTTTCTGCGGCAAAAGATTACGAGCGTTAGCTGCGAGGCTTGGAGAGACCTTTGGGCGAGGAACAAACCCAGATCCATGTTCACCGGCACCGGTTCTACTAAAGGGATCACATAATGACTTGGACTAACTTGTCCTCAGGATAGAACTCGGATATGCGGTGAATACTATTCAATGCACATTAGTCTTTCTATCAGACAGCCTGCTTAGTTTAAGATATTTTACGATTAGTGTGAACAGAGTGGGGTACTTTCGACTGTACGGATAATTTCGTTAGCAACAAGAATCGTGTCTCAGATGGCAATGGTCATGGCATGGCAATCGCATTCACCAGCTGGTGAATGCGATTGCCACTTTTTTGGTCTTCTCTATGCCTGGTTCACCTCTCAACTACTGGCTAATCGGAAAAAGAAACCATGTACATAAAGTCGGGTGTTTTTACGTGCTAGCAAAGCTCTTACACAGTTATGACATCTTTTCATGCCACAACAACAGTAAACAAGTTTGCTTAATGCGTAAATTTTATAATTAACTTTTTTTTTTTCTTTTTTTTTAAAGATTTATGTGTTGTAGACTAGTAGTAGTTTTTAAATGGGGTTCCACGAAGCCATTTTTGGAGTCCGTGAAGCACTTGCCTCAACCCTCCTCCTCCCCCCACACACACACACGCACACACACATACACACTTTTTCTTGAAAAATATTACTCTTTGTTGGCCCTGGCTAGGTGGCGCAAGCTACCACCTCTCACAAAGGTAGAGCCGTTACAATCTATCCATCCATTCATCTTTTTACTTGATGTTTCTCACTTCTCCTGTCTATAGACCTTTTAACCCCAGGGGTAGCGCCCCCTCAATGGGGCTCCTCCTGGAAGGGGAAGGGAAGGGGGGGGGGGGGAATCAAATATCACTGTGGCGGTGGTTGCTTGGCTCACTTGTTGCCAGAGGTCGGCATTTTAGGTCGCCCTCACTCACCCTCACCCTCACAGCCACACTCCCCTAAGCCCCTCACTCACCCTCACCCTCACAGCTACACTCACCTTCAGCCCCTCACTCACCCTCACCCTTACAGTCACACTCACCTTCAGCCCTTCACTCACCCTCACTGAACCTCACGGCCCTCACCGCCCTCACGGCCCTCACGCCCCTCACGGCCCTCACGGCCCTCACCGCCCTCACGCCACTCACCGCCCTCACCGCCCTCACGATCCTCACGACTCATAGCCCTCACGCCACTCACCGCCCTCACGGCCCTCACCGCCCTCACGCCACTCACCGCCCTCACGCCACTCACCGCCCTCACGGCACTCACCGCCCTCACGCCACTCACCGCCATCACGCCACTCACCGGCCTCACGCCACTCACGCCACTCACCGCCCTCACGCCACTCACGCCACTCACCGCCCTCACGCCACTCACCGCCCTCACGCCCCTCACACCCCTCACGCCTCTCACACCCCTCACGCCCCTCACGCACGCATGGCCCTCACGCCACTCAGGCCAGCTTCAGATGGGGCAATTTCACCCAGAAACTTTACGTCGCAACACCAGCAACACGGGCCGCCCGCGATCACACGCAGCAACCAATTGCTGCAATTTGCCATCGTCATCATAAAATTTTATTTTTCTTGCACCATTTAGACACAATTACGCGTTATAAACGTGTTTTTATGCATTCAAACCTCGTTAAGAATACTAATGCACCTTTCTGAAACAGTTTATTTCCAAAAAACGATCGATTTCAATCCAGAACCAAGTCTTTCGGTGTCATCATCACCGGCACGAGGTATCGCGTGAAAATTTTGCGTCCCTGATTGGATGCAGCCGCTTCAAACGTATTCGAATTGCTCCGAGTTGCTTGCTTATTTCGAGCCGGACCCCATCTCAGCAATTCGTGTCGATCTAGGGAAAGCTAGAGAACAACCCGCCATTAACACCAAAATTGCCGAGAAAGATGCTCGATTTGAAGGGGGCCTCACGCACTCACCGCCCTCACGCGCTCATGGCCCTCACACCCCTCACGCACTCACCGCCCTCACACCACTCACGCACTCATGGCCCTTACGCCACTCACCGCCCTCACGCCCCTCACGCACTCATGGCCCTCATACCCCTTACCGCTCTCACCGCTCTCACCGCCCTCACGACCCTCACGGCCCTCACGGCCCTCACGGCCCTCACGGCCCTCACGGCCCTCACGGCCCTCATCGCCCTCACGGCCCTCACTCACCCTCACACTCATGAATTTTCCTGGTTCAGGAACTCACTCACCTCACCTCACCTGTGAAGATGAGGGTGAGTGAGGGTGAGTGAGGGCCCTCATGAGTGAGGTTTGCCGAGGTATGCTTGTTGCCCTACGACCACCGTCGACCCACAGTGTCGCCCTCGCAGGGTCGGGCTGATGTCAAGCCTTGCGGGGTCCTCTCTTCCTGTTGGTTTCCCCTGGGCCATTCTGTTGGCTACGGCACCGGTTTTTCTTTATTCTTGTTGGCCATTGGCTTTTTATTAAATTCCACTTGATCCTGGGATCTTATTAATTTATTTCAGTCTTGGCTTTAAGTCTGCGGTGCCCTCGAGGCGGGAGCGAACAAGGGGACTCTCATTTTTCAGTCTTTTTATATTTCTCCGACCTGAACCGCTGTCTATAGATCTTTCTCACAAGGGCGCCACCATCTCGAAATATTGTCACTTCCAGCATGGGCAAAAAGATTTTTTTGCCATCGCCACGCCAACAGAATCATCTAGAATATGAGCGTAACCGTCACCCATTCTCATTTAGTCTCCCGTCTATTCTTTTTACTATTTGCAGTTAGAAATGCTTTACTATTTTTTCGTCACTCATACCGGATATGCCTACCAGGTGGCTGGGGATGAGAGTAAGCGAAAAAGGTCTATAACTGTAAAGAATGTATTTTTCCTACTGCAATTCGTTGTCTTCTTTTATACCCCGCCCCTCCCCCCCCCCCCCATTCCCCTTTCCCTGCTGGCATGGGGTCCCTCATCAATTTGGCAGGTCCCCAAGGAGTCTTCGATACATCCATGCTTGAGTGCCACTGCTGTAGACCACAAACAAATTTACCTGGATCAATGGCTACAAAAACCTGAAGTCGTATGCCATAATGACCCAGCACTAGCCCCATAAGGCCATCAGTCTACAAAGAAATTTATGAAAATGAACAAGGGTAGCACCGAAATAAAGCGTAATGGAGTGACCATAGCACGCGGTCGTAGATAACGCTAGCTGGGAGGACCACTCAAATAAATCAGCACACTCAGTCAGCAGGAACAGTAGTCTCTTTACAAACACCAGAGTGATACAAGCTCATCGTACTGTCGCTTTGCCCGAGCTGGAAGGCGACAACTGCAAAAAATTTTAAAGAATCGAAAGCATTGCCAAACGAGCAAGCCATCCGATTTCGGGAAAGTTCCATTTGTTTGAATAGCTAAAAATAGTTGGCGAAGCACCCCTTTAGGGAATCACTTTCAGTACTTGCAACACAAGGCATATCCCTAGCTTCCAACAGACTGATCACACCAGTCAGTTTCGTTGTGCCACCACTGCCTGCATGCTTTCTGGGGACTGCAGTTGTTCTGCACGTGCGACAAGCCCGCTGCGAGTACATGCAAGCAGGGCATGAGAAGGCACAAGATGTCTCGTGCACTGTCGCCTGCCTCCTGTGGACTACAGTTGGGGCGGCGCCACGGATGCGCGGAATGCTTAATGAGATTGGTCTATTGTCCTACGCGAGTTAAGGGAAAGGAAAAAAACCTCGGCTTTCTTGGCCTTATCGGCTGGCGTGTCGGTCCACTGGGATCTGTCCGCCTTGGGGTCTTCCATGTTCTTCCTGAAGGTCCGTGGTCCGAGGCCAATGCGAAGTCCCAGGTTGTCTGGGAGCTCGGTCATCCACTCTTCTCGGCGTGGCTCATCATCTTGGTCCTTCCACAAAGAGAGAGCCAGAACAGTTCAAAGTTGATGCTCTCCCCCAACTAGGTGAACATAATGTGTACATGACTCTTAGAATTTTCAAACAATCTCATCCAGAGATGGTTTCAGGGTTAAAAATGTGTACGCTTTAGTAACTTTTTTTTTTCTTTCTTCACAAAGATGCGGCTTTTAGGTTTTTCATTTTCAGAGGAGTAAGAAGTGCAACTTATGCAGAATACAGCCACGGCTCACAGACACTTCCGTTCACCCAAAAATCATCTATATAACGTTAGTCATCCATAATAATGAGACAAAGATGCATGCATTTACCCATTTGGTCCTCTAAAATGTTGGCCATATTAAGGAGACATGACTGTGGTGCACATCTGTCGTGTTCTAGTCTTCCTCTGCTGCATTTATCTCTGTAGCCACAATACTATCAGTATATGAAGTCACTGTTGACCCTGTCACTACCACAGACACTTAGTTTGCTTACACTCCTTAAGATAGAGAATTGGGCGAGTTGGCTATTCATAATACTCGTAAAAAAAAATGGCGCACAAGAACGCCAAGCGAGTGATTCATTCTTACTGGTGCGCGTCTGAGTGTGAATGGTTCTTGTCCGCCCTTTTTTACAAGTATTATGCTTACACTCCATTCAGCAATCTATACATGTTTGCAAGTCCGGCTTCAGGGCGCTGCCATCTTGCTCGGTTGGGGTGCGCTTGGACGCGTCATAATCGTATTGTGAAGCCTTACTAAGGCGTCGTAATAGGATTATTGCTGCGCCCAAGTGCACCTCACTGAGCAAGATGGCAGCGTCCTGTGACCGAACTTGCAAACGTGTATAGAAGTGGCAATTTTTTCTAGCAGTGGTAGCCCTAAACCAAGGTTCACCCTGTGCACAGATGTCCATGCAAAGAGAGGGCTGCAACTCTCTCGCCGAAATAAGAAACATAGTAACATGTCTGTATTCCACTCAACTTCAGCAAGTGCTTGGAGCACGAGCAGGCAGCTGTAGAAGGAATTCCGTCGCGTATGTGCTCGCACGACGAGAGTACCTTGTTACTCCAATTCATTTGAAATTTTGTAGCGAAACCAAGTTGCTGGCACACACCCGTGGCTCTAGTGCGCTACATTCCAAAGCCAACTTTAAGAAGAAAAGAAGTCTACGAAGCTGCGACCTCGTGCCCGTAGCTTTCTCAAAAATGTGAACAGAGAGTATGCAGACGGTCGAACCGTGAAAAGGGAGAATGGATGCGAGCTCACACTTGCAGCTTTCAGAGAAGCGCAAGTGGAGTGTACGTCGGGCAGAGTAGGGTACCGCGCTGTTTTGTTATAGCGACCAACGGAGTGAGAATGGCGGGTTGTGTCTTTCGAACGGCCGGCCTCTAGCAGACGCTCAATTCCTTGCGCTGTTCTTTGACTGTCCCAAACACGCTCGCGGTGCACAAGACGAAGCATTGTCGAAGGTAGGCAGCTCGCACTGAAGGTGGGACAAATGGAGCTCCTCCCTGCCGTTTTCACCTCGTCGGTGAATACAGCATCAGATGCCAGAATCTGGCAGTGATCGGCTCAGTCCGCAATGACACGTCGGCATACCTTGCCCTCAAGGTGCCTCTTCATTTTGTTGGCCCTGCGGTCGATGTCCAAGGCGGCCTCGTTGCCCGCGTAATCCTCGCCTACTGCCTCCGACGGCTTCGGTCCAATGTAGCTGTCCGAGCTGTCGTCGTCGTCGTCGTCGTCTCCAGGAACCTCCTGATCTGCCTGCAGAGTCTTACCAAAGCCAGGGGGCATGGCTGGTCCAATGAAGCTCTGGGAACTGCTCGAAGATGAAGACGACGCAAAGCCTGGAGGCAACACGGGTCCGATGATGTCCGGCTTGCCGAAGCCGGGTGGCAGCGACGGTCCGTAGAGATCCGGCGCGTCTTCGTTGGACGAGGCGCTGCTTTCGTCGGTGCCGCTGCCCGCGTCTCTCGGAGCTGAAGGTTTGAACCCTGGCGGGAGCACTGGCCCGATGACTGCATTGTTTGCGGTTGTGGAGTCGGCCGCGGCCTTCAGACCTTTGGGAGAGAGCTAGTTAAAACAGACAATTTGGACGCCATTAATCCTCCATTTTGTTTGATGTTAGCCTTGACGAGACTTATGTGAACGGCAAGTCTGCCTGCTTCTTTTGCAAGGGTTGTGGTGACAACAAAACGACGAGCTCCGATTGAAGGATAGTGGGTAGACCTCAAAGCAAGCTGCCTTGAGGTCTACCCACTATCCTTCAATCGGAGCCAATCAGAGCTCGGCGTTTTGTTGTCGCCACAATCCCTGGGAAAAAAAGCAGACGAACTTGCACTACGAAGTTGAGGGTGTTGTGTGAATGCAGAGAGCAAGTTCGTCTGCTGCTTTTGCTGGGGTTGTGGAGATGCCAGAACACCGAGTTCCGATTCTACCCACTATCCTTCAATCAGACTCGGCGTCCTGACGTCACCACAACCCCAGCAAAAGAAGCAGACGAACTTGCGGTCCGCATACGTGGAATGGTCGCCTTTGGCACGCGTCGGGCGGCCCAGGAAGGCAAAATGGTGGGCGAAATTACGTCGGTGAATAGCCACAGACAGGGTGAGAACGACTGGGCGTCTCTTTAGGACACCCGGCTTCCAACACGCGCTCGCAGCCTTTTGCCGAGTTTTGGATGCGCGTTCTTCGCTCACGAGGCTGAAGCGTTATCGGATGTAGGAAGCACGCGCTGGAGGCGGGACAAGTGAAACCCCTCCCTGCCGTTCTCGTTCTCATTTTAGCAGTTAAGCTTCAACGGGGAGCACTCTCAAATCGTACTCCGACAGTAAGATAACAACTAACGTTCCCAGCTTCCCACAAGCGTCTCCAAAGCCCCACGGGGGTTCCTGCTGGGGCGTCGTAGTTTTAGGTACTCTACGGGACGTTCATCTCTGCGCTGCGAGCGATCTCGACCCGATAGCTTACCGGGTGGTACTTGTGGTCCGTACGCTGACATGTCGGGTTCCCTGTTTTCAGCAGTGGACACTGCGCGTCCCTTATATTTTGACTGTTTTGACTACCAGCAAAGGTAAATTAGAGTCGGCTATCCGAACGTCAAATAATGTACAACAACCTCTCTGGGAGCGCATCGAAAGCACGACAAACCTCCGGTTGTTTTCGCTTTTCTTTTTTCCTCTCTAGGATTAAATACGGCACTGTTTGAACTTAACTAGACGTGTCTTTCGTTCTCAAACAGATGCTTAAAATTCAGTCTTGAGCGAGTAGTCGTTAGTTTTTGACATCGTACTAGTCGAGTAGCACGCACGCACGCTACACCAGCAGCAAAACCGCAAAAACTGCACCTGCTGCACCTGCATAAACATACGTCGCATTCGTTTAGCCGACTTCTATGAACATGCGGGAAGGATGACGTACAACCAGGTTACTCCGAGGAGCCCTTGGCTTATTAAGCGCCACAGAAAACAATGCTTTCGCGTGCTCATTTTTCAGCCAATGAGAGCCAAATTGAGCATCTCGAGTTCATGAGAAGTGAGTAAAACAAACGCAATATGTAAACACATTTGAGCGCTCGCTGCGCCACGGCGGCATGGGCGGCAGGTGCAAAAAGTCAGCAGCAGTCAGCAGTGCATGCTGGGATTCTATTCTGGTAGTAGGAAAGTTTAATGGCGCCATCGATGTGACGTTGTGCTCGTAAATCGCCCGTTGTCCGCTAATACGAATTCGTCTCTTAAGTAACTAACCTAAAGTTTAGTTAAGTAAAATTTTAACCTTTACGCGCAATGGGCGAAGAACGAGAGATCGACAAAGGTGAGCGTTCGGAGCGTTAGTTTGCTAGGCCTACTGAGCGCGACCGCTCGCTTGGGCAGGCTTGGGTGAACGCTGGTCATTTTGGCATCCATGAAAGATGTAGCTAAATCGTCCCCGTTAATCGAATTATCGCCCTTCATCGCGATGTTCTATCGAGCGAACACCCTAGGATGCGTTTGGGTGCGGAAGCTTCGCCACTTCTGGGGTTGCTTACGGTTGTTTTTTAATCGGTTCTAACGAGACGCCGGCAGTCAGTGTTACCGGCGCTGAGTCCGCGTGGGCGCTCTTTTCAGCGTTCGTGCGCCATGACCTAAACGTTTTGTGTAGGTGATTACTTGAATCATGGCCGGGACTTCGCATCGTTGTGCGCTTTAATGCTGGCGTTTCAGTCGTCCGATTAACCGAGCCTTTTGTTTTCGATTTCGAGCCGGCTGCTGCGATTCCTTTTGTTACGTGTTTTTTTGTAATTGATATTCAAGAACACTTTCCCCGTTCAGACATTCATCTTGTGCTTCCTTTCTGGTCCGAGTGATTGTCAGATTCATCGCGGGAATCGATTATGTGCTTCGTTCGTGCTAATCGTGGGCTCATTGCAACTGCCTTCGTTTCTGTTATTTGTCTGTACATTCGAAAACGGGTCCATATCACAAGAGCGAATGACATTTTAGCGAACGGCGACATTTTTTCGAAAACACGGTATTACAGACTTCGTGTTCGAAAAACACGGATTCAGGCTTCCGTGTTTTTGGATAAATCCGGAAAACACTCGCCGGTGAAGTTTTCGTCAATTCGAATGTATCCGAAAAAAACTCAAATGGAAAAATAAAAAGCAAAAAAAAACAAAACGGTTTTATTAATAAGCTTTGTGATAGCACAGGGTTGGTGGTCCTGGGGAGAATTCACTTCTGTTTCCTTTGAAATCTCTGGCTATTGATAAAAGGGGATTAACCATCTATCTTGTCAAGGTTCATTCAGAACAACGGGTTATTTGTACTTCAGTGCAGGGACTCAAACCAAAAGATATAACATTTCGGTTACGTTTAGCGTTTCCTGTTTATGTTGGTTTCGTTTAGTTTTTTTTACGGTTTCGGTTACTAACTACACAATCCTAAAAACCGGTTTATTTTGGTTTCTTTAATTAGTTTTTTATTGAAATGCTAGGCAGTAGTTTTATAATAAATAGTTCAAAGTAGTACCAGATATCCAACAACGGGACATTCCCAATAACAAGAGCTCAAAAGCGTCTTAGTACTTTTAATTGCTAAAATGTTGCACACGTTTCTAGCTCCAACACTTGTTCACTACATTTATTTGCATTATATAGTTTGATACCCAAGCACACATGTCACTGCCGCTACTCAATGATAATCACATTCTATATTATAAAAATGAACATCGCTGCTTTGTTGTTCGGCAGTGTTTGTAACCAACACTTGGAAAGTTCCCACTGGGTGCTCGAAGAGCCATTCACACCTTCTTGTTGCTATAGTTTGTTGCAACCTAAGATATGCAGAAGAGGCTTTGCACACACTGAAGGAACAGAACTATAGCCCTCCTCTAGTAAAATACTGCTAAGTGGAATAAAGTAATAAAATTTAGAACTGGGCTAGTTGGTGAAAGTGAAACATAATGTAAATGCAATAGCGCAAAACATGGAAGACTAAGGGGAACGAACAACACAGAGAACTGTAAAAAGCGTCTTGTGTTGTTCGTTCCTTTCCTAGTCTCCGTTGTGTGCTGTTACACCTACGTCATGTTTGCTATTTTTAAGCAAATGCATGTGGTTATAGAAGCACACATTTCTCGTCTGATTCTGTGATGCTAGAAAAGTAGTGCATTTATATAGTAGCGCCATTTTTCTCCGGGCGGAGCTTCTTTTACAGATATGTTGCAACGTCACGTACTACCACCGAGCCGGAATTTTACGTTGAACCTCAAGGATCGACTGGTTTGACGAATTTCCGACTTTTTAAACAGGTTCTACAAGACTTTGTGGGCAGTTTGGCTAGACTTTAATACGGGCATGTCTCGGTTTGGAAAACACGTTTTTACAGAATAGGTTGTTTCATTTATAAATAGTTAAAACTAGCAGAACATAATTCTAATAATTTAAAAGTTAATAACATAATTTATTCTTGCTATATTACCTAAATAACCAAACAGTGCTGCCCTTACTAAAAGTAGAATGTTCGACTTCATCATTTGGTCATCACCATCCAATCCAAAACCAACTGAGCCAGTACGTCGCGCATGCGCATAAAGATGAACCCTAATAGAGCTTTTTCAAACTTTTCAATAGAAGTTCGAAAATGTTGAACCTGGTCGAACTTGAACCTTAGCCGGTTTGCGACATCCCTAGTTGCAGGTCAGGAACATTGGTGGTTTTGAAAAAACCGAGTCGGATGGACATATAGAATTCTAAATTATTACTTAATAGTTTAATGCCCCAAAGGCGACACATAATGAATGCCTATAGCAATTGTAGGAGTGTGGTAAATTCAGAAATAGAGGCATTTCATTCTAAGCTCTACCACTGATTCCAACTAAGTATTCTTAATCCTAAATTTGATTGAACGTAAATGTATTGCCAGATGCACCACTCGCTGACGGTAACTGTCAAATGGCCACAACGTTTCAAGATCCCTCCTCAAAGTCATTCTTGTGAAAAACTAACATTTTTTTTTATTTTGCGGTTCATATAGGTTAATATCGGTGACCGGTAAATAATTTACGGTTGTGGTTTTCATAAATTTCAAATAACGGTTTCATTCCAGTTACGGTTAGTGAAAAAATTTCGTTCCTAAACGGAGCCCTGCTTCAGAGTCATGACAAAAGCCCCTGTTCCGGTTACCAGTTTAGAGCATAATATTTGTGCCTAGTAGGAGGAGGGGTAGTATTTCTATAACGGTGAAAGCTACGAACCTGTAGGTTGCAAGGAGGGGGCAGGGCAGCTGGTGCTTCTATGTTTCCCACCGACTATGCCCAGGTGTTCAGCTAATTCAAAGTATTGACACTAAAAGAAAGCTGAAGAGCTTTTCGAAAAAAATGAGTTAATGGTTGATTTTGACATGTTTGTGCCTGCCGAGTCCAAATATTGCAACCGTTTGATCCAAAATAATCGCTAAGCGTGAAAAAAAGCAAAGAAAGCAAGTGATTGCCGCAGTGACACGCCATTGGCTAGTCACGCGTGACAAGCCACTAGGTCATACGAGGACCATCTCGACTCTCGCTTGCTCCGTCGCTTGTTGAAATAGCCGTGTGCCGAGACTTCTGCTCTTGTAAATCGGGTTCGGCTTCCGATTTTTCTAAATCTTTCGGTGGATCCGACAGAGGAATGTGTCCAGAGGACCCTTGACGTGACAAAGTATGTGCTCCAGATGTTGGGAAACCAGAAAAATGACCTCCCACAGTAATAAGGGCAGACACGACGAGGCACCGCTTGCGCAGACGCGACGTGGCCGGCTTCATATGTTCAGGAACATACTGACTGCTACTTAATATAACATAAAATGGTGACAATAAACGGTGTGCTATCGACAGGACGCATCAGGCCGGATTAGCATGACCCTCCCCTAAATGGTCGTCAGGACAAGATTTCGGCACACATCGGCCTTCATGCTTGGCAGCTAGTGGACACGTGAGCGTGCAGGCTGCATTGTTCACCGGGGCTGAAGTGGTTTGAAAGGATAGTATAATCAACTTCGGGCGACAGGAGAGCTTCCTCTGAGATGAGCCAGGGTCGCCTTTCTGCCACCCTTATGTCCTTGCATACTACGCGAATAACTGCGCAGAAGGTCCATCCTTGTGGTAGCGGTACCCTCCGCTGCGTTTAGTTTGTTTGCCGCCAATTACTTTGCCTTTACAGCTTTAGAAAAAGGGGAGATGTGTGCCTGGCAGCCCTCAATTTGATGTTGAATTCCTGAAAGCTTCCTGGGCCTCTACGTACATTCACATACTCAGGGTGCCTACCGACCGGGAAAACCGGAAATTGTCAGGGAATTTTAAGACACCTGGAAAAGTCAGGGTATTGTCAGGGAAATTTCCAAAAAGATTGCCGAGTCAGGGAATTTATCCCATGCTCGCCCGCTTACGCTAGAACCGGCAGGCACGGGCAGGCATAGCCACGAGCGCAGTCAAGTGCGGCGTCGCAACCCCCTAGGCGCGATGCCACCCGCTCAATTTTTCACGCGCTACGCTTTACACGAGAGCATGTGCGAAGCTGGCGACTCGCCATTGTTTTAGTACACTCTAAAGCCACTAAATAAGCTACACTTTAGGGTAGCAACGCTAAAGTATGGCGGCTAGAGAGTTACTCACAGTTACTAGTGAAGCAGAGTAGCAGCGGCAATTTCGTTTAGTTCGTGACTCTAGTCAGGTGGTGTTGCCCTAGTACGAGGAGAGACAGTTGCTCTAGCCGATACTAGGTGGCGTGAGTCACCACTCACTCAAAAAAGAACAGCCGTCGTTCATTCATCTACCCCCTGAGAGGCACGCGCCTAGCGATCCATTCGTTTGTCAGATATGGTGCTTTCGCGCTTCCCCGTAAACGCAGCCTGGACGCCTGGACTCTACGATCTCTGCCACGTGCGTTTGTGGCTGTGGGTTGCGCTTTCTATTGTGTTATTTTCCGAAAGTGGAGATATGTTTACTATGTCGCTGTCGAGAAAGTGCTCCTTCAATCTCAACTGGACAAACCCGGACATATGCACAAATGCAAGTTGGATTCGGCCCATTCCAAATGATCCAAATAGTGCTCACTGCGCAATGTGCTGCAAGAAGTTCTCCCTGAGCAACATGGGGAATAGGGCGATTGCTACTCATGTTGAGGGTAAGAAACATCAAGCTGCTATGAAATATCTGCAAAGTGTTTCCCAGAGCCCAGTCGTATTTTTTAAAACTGTGACAAATGCGGACTTGCCTTCCGCGACAGCAACGGGTGTTTTTTGTCCGGTGGTAACAATAGTGCTTGTAGGGCTCCGGCAATGCGTCTAACCACCGCCGCGGAAGCTCTTAGCCTCTGTGAAGACGTGGGTAGTGGTCTTTTTATTGAAGAAGGAAGTCACAAAGGCCGGGGATCATGTGGTGCTTGAACACTATAACAACTCATGGGTCTTTCCGTTCAGCGGCAGCGTCTGCCTCGCTGTTTCCGTTGATGTTCGCCATGTGTGAGACCGCCAGAAAAATGCAGCTTGGAAAAGACAAATTGGGATATACAATATGTCGTGGTATCGCCCCCTACTTTCAAGACAAGTTACTAGCAAGCCTCTCTAACGTGCCATATCTGGTGGTTGCTTTTGATGAGTCACTGGACAAAGTAACTCGGAGAACAAATTGACGTACTGATCAGGTGCTGGGACCAACCTTCCTGAAACAGTAAACCCTGGTCAATGCTGTATTCTAAATATCTTCTAAAGTTTGCTTTATCTAACTTAAAGAAAATATTTTATGTTGTGAATAGTGTCTATCTATCATATATGGTGTTTTTGTGTCGGTAGTTGTGGGTCAGGGAATTCAATTAAAATAGTCAGGGAAAACCTGGAAAAGTCAGGGAATTAAAAAAAAAAAAAAAACAATTTGGTAGACACCCTGATACTTCTCCCAAGATTTGTTGACTGCATTAGACCACTACCAAGCATTATCATTGTCCAATCGCATTTCTAGGGCCCAAAGAACCGTTTCATAACACACAAACTTTATACAAAAATACTAACTTGTAAAAAAAATAAAAAATTAATTCACAACAGAATGTCAAATGTCCAAAAAGTGCTCCTGAAAAGAATATGTACCTATGGAAGGAAAATTTAACAAAATTTTATGTTTACGCTTAAAAAATATGTGACCTCAAAAAGTATGAGCCACTTTAAAAAAAAAAGAAAAAAAGTCCATGCTAGAACAAGTTGCACTGTGAAAGTCACATGAAAATAGGCCCTTTTCCAGACTCAAAGTTCGAGGGTCTCTTGGGTGGAAGATGTGTGGGTGGAATATTTGTGCGTGCATTTGTCCTGCCCACATAGGTTAAACGTGTCCTTGAAAAACCTTGAATTTGAAAACTGCATTTTCCAGACCTTGAAAGCCCTGGAATTTCTAGTGATGCTTCAAAAATCTTAAATTTCCCAAAGATGGTCAGCTTTTTTTTTGTCAGAGATATCTGTGGCATAATAGAGGAAAGTGTGTTGTTACTGTGATCGTCTGCAAATGGGTCATTTGCCTCTTGCAGACAAGGACAGGCGTCGCGAGCGCCGTCGCAGTCGCTCGACATCGAGGGGCCGTGAGCGCAGGAAGCGCTCTAGGTCACGTGAGCCCAGGAGGAGGAGGTAAGCAGACATCCGTTGACCAAGTGCCCGCTTAATAGGCAAGCGTTTGTGACTACCATACTCGGTTCGACCCTATGCTGGCAGTGCGGTGGAAGCTATGTGCTCGTGCGGCCACTCGTACGTCAATCTTTGGCCACATGATCACACTCCCGAACATACCCATGTGCAGGGAGTGGGTGTGATGACGAAAGATAGGTAGCTGGTTTGTCTAGCAAGCGAGCTCACAATTCCCACTGCGCTGTCAGCTCGAGATGAATAGAGTACACTAAGTTTCACTCAAGTTATGAGCCTTACTTGCCGACAATATGCTGTTCCATTTTTAGACACTTTTGCATTGAGAGAGAGTTTCAGTGTTCTTTCTGCTTGTGTAAGGATGAATGCACACAGTCGAGTCCTTTAGATCGGGCGGTGGGTTAAGCATGCCACCTAGCCAGGGGTTTAATTAACAACATTTTATCTCTACCTAATTACAAAACGTCTCTAGCTCTCTGCTCGTTGCGGAAATCGGAAGCATAGAAGACATCAATAGACCTGAGTAATGCTTTGCCCGTGATGTCAGATCTCTGTGGAGACCCCCATCCTTCTGCAGTCTGATTGACAAATGTGCCCTTGACGTGCGCTCTGCGCCTCCCCCCCCCCCCTTTGCAGTCGCAGCAGGGAGAAGGTTGTGGTCCCGGGCGGCCCAAAGAAGTCCCGGCGGAGGAAGCCCTCGCTGTACTGGGATGTGCCGCCTCCGGGGTTTGAGCACATTACTCCGCTCCAGTACAAGGCCATGCAGGGTGAGGGAGCGCCGTGGGGAGTGCGCCCAATGGGCAGGAAGGGGTCTTGTGCCTGAGTTGCCGACAGGGAGTGCCTTTCAAACGCCCGACCTCCAGCACGCGCTCCATGCCTTCCGCCGTTTGTGCGCATCGTCGGACTTTTCGGACGTGGCACAACTGAAGCTCCTCCCTGTTGTTCTTACCCTGTCATTGACTATTATATGTGCCGCCCAACTGCCTAATGCAGTTAAAGTGTGTGCTTGAGTTCTTGCATACCATTTCCAGAGGGGGGAGGCTAAGAGTAAAGTTGGCAGTTTTAAGCAGCCGAGGAACGATATCGGATAGGAATGTTACGCAAGCCTGCTGGCTCTAGCGGGACCCAAGTATACTTGCACACAACGCCACTGACCAAGACGCTTTGTCGGTGCGTAATTTCGAGGCTAAAAACAAATGGGAATTTTCTTTCAGCTCTCCTTTGCAAAACTCGACGACCGAGTTGTGGAGATTGCATTGTTGGCATCGTCATCTTTGCGATTCCCACGACGACAACGTTTAAATGTTGCTCGTGTGGTAGGCATGAGCACTGCGTGAGCGTCTGATTTGAGCTTGCGACACTCAATGCCTCGACGTGTATTCAAGCAGCGGCTCGTGCCCGGCTGCCGCGACGGCGGGAGTTGCTGAACCGACTAGATTGTGCGTGGCTGCTTGTTTTTTTGTTTTTTATCCTGGACTATCTCATGGAGGTTTGTTCAGTACTTCTGGAACACGACAAAAGCTACTGTTCGGGTTTCCGGTTAGGAGCATAATATTTGTGCTTCTTAAGAGAGAGGAGAAGTTGTGTTTTTATAGCAGCAAAAGATGTTAATGTGTAGATTTCATAGGATGGGGAGGGCAGCTGTAGGTTTTATGCATCCAGGAGTTGGAAATTTCAAAGTACCGACGTTTATTGAAGTAACGTTTTGTAAAGATATGTCGTGGGACAGTTAGTACTGCCAATTGCAAGGGTGCCAATGCCAGATGCACCTGCAGAAATATATTTTGATGGCAAGTTTTTCTTTACAAATATAGTGTGTGGTTTTATCTGCACAATATTTATTTTTATTTTAAAGAAAAGAACACAGTAAAATTCTAAACTGAGAATTTGGGAAAATTGGGAATCTTAACAAAAATTAATCCAAATAAACCCCATCTCCAGCAGAAAAAAAAAAAAAAAAAAAAAGCCTTTGAATTACGCAAAAAAAAAAAAAAAAAATTAACTTGGCAAACGTGAAGTCTTAGTTATGAATGACAAGGAATAATTCTAGGCTGTATTTACTGAACGTACGAAAATTGTTGCGTCGCGCCATTAACGACAGAGGAGAGCTAATGCGCAGGCGAGAGCTGGTGAAGGCCAAGCTGAGAAAGCCCCCAAGACAAGGGAAGGAAAAGGACAAATATAACAAAGGCTTTAAGATTTTGTGTTTTGCCCCCCTTTTTTTTTTCCAGGTGTTTTCTCGGCTTGACGGCTTCATGACCCCTGCTCGGAAATCCTAACAATCAAAAGTCATCCTTAAACTTTTTTTTCTTTGTCCGTACGGAAATTTTATTTCTGTGTGTGGGATTATTTGTTTTCCATGGAAGCCATTATTGTTGTATATATTGTAGATGCTGTTAATATCTGCTGCAGGCATTTTTCTTGGGTTGCCAATAGTCAACAAAAAGATTGTTTAGAGTGGTGAGGAATGCCTTTTAGCTTCCCGCTTGAGGTTTGATTGTGCGCGGGTGATTTGTAAGCACCATGGAAAGTTGCAAGCTCTCACCGTTTTAGGAGGCGAGTGGGATGGAGAGAATAGGCCATATCCAAGATTCCTCTCGGCTATCACCTGGTATATTGGAGAATTTTCGCCATCTCCCATTGTGGACGAGTCACATCTGCATTCGACTCAGTTTGCATTTTATTGGGACAACGTATTTGTACATTCAGTAAGCTGTACAACAACAAAAATAAAAGATGGCCGCAAGATTGCGAAAAATAGTTTGAGCAACAAGGTCGCGAGATTAGTCACCGAAGCAATGAAATGGGTCATCCAAGTAAGTGAACAGTCCATGCTAGATGACACCGTGTGAATGGTTGGGATTGCACTGGCAGTACGCAATTGTATTATAGATATCTGACTTCTATTTCGCTGCGACCAATTTATGGCAAAACAATCTGTACCCTTAAATATGGCGGTAACTCGATAATTGTTCATAGGTATGCAAGATGGTGCTTGTTTTTGTATATGGTCCATTACTTCATCCTCCCTCTTTTCACTTGTCCATCGTCTCACCTTGTCCCGCATCCCTGTTGCAACGCAGCCTCTGGCCAGATCCCGGCGACGATGCTGGCGGCTACGGGGGCCCTGGCTACGGCTGCAGTGGCGAGTGTGGGCGGGGGTCTCGGGGGTGGGATGGGGGCGGTGGGAGGAGGGAGCCTGGCGGGCAGCACCCCGCTGGCCCCGGCCGCCATTGCCCCCGTGGCCCCCGCCGTGCCCATCGTGGGCAGCACCATCACCCGGCAGGCGAGGCGCCTCTACGTCGGCAACATCCCCTTCGGCTGCTCAGAGGCAAGTCGACCCCTCCTCTTGCGGGTGGCCTTGAGAGGAGTCACCGTAGTCGCCGAACTGTCGGCGACTACGACTACCACTAACAGTATGCATGTCGTTACGTAGGCGACGCGATAGCATACGTTTACCTAAAGACTGTTTTCACCTTACATCAGTGCACTTGCGCTGTTGGGTCTCCATAGCCACCGACGGAATGAGACAGGCAGGACGTGTTTTTCGAATGCCCAACCTTTGCTTCGTGTCTTCTACTGCGCGCTCAAAGTGCACGAGACGTCGAAGCGTTGTGGGAGTTGGGAAGCTCGCGCCGTTGGCGGGGTAACTGAAGCACATTCCTGCTGTTCTTGTGAGTGGCTATGGCGGTACACACGTCGTTACACGGGTGCCGCAGTAGTAGACGTCGACCCAAAGACAATTTCCGTCTTTTGTGGAAGAGCGCATTGGTGCCGTCTGCAGGCTAACTGAGACTGTTTTTTTCCACTCTGCAAAGTACCCCGCTCGACGGTGCCCGACGGAATTCGGTGTGGAATAAGCGGGCAACAGAGATGGCAGTGCCCACGGGACGGTCGGGTAGCCGAGCGTAGATGGTCCGGGGTGGGGGTTTTCATTGACAGCCAAGAAACCCCCGCCGGTCTCGGCGTCAGTGCCATCAAGCGGTGCAGAAGCCCGCGGACCTTGTTTGAACAATGATGCGCATGCTAGTGAGAGCTTTTGTCATAAATAGGCTTTAGTGAAAGGTTTGAATTTTAATATGAATTTAACTCGCACCCGGCGACAATATTCATCTCGGGAACCCCTGAAAGGCCCGAGTAGCTTTTGTTGGGATCCCGAGGAACCCAGTTTCAGGACCCACGATCCAGGCACAGCTTATCTAGTTGTTCTAGCTCTGAGTGGTTGCAGCCTGTGGCTTTGCTCCGGCGCGAGGACGAAAAGTGCCGTGATGGGAGGCAGGGTGGAAGAGAATTGTGATTTTTTGTTTTAAATTGAGGAAGTCAGATTTATTTGATCGAAATCAGATTAGTTTGATTTAAGTCAATTAGTTCTATTTGAAGCACTGTAGCTATCAAATACTGATTCCTTATCTTATCACGAGATGTATTTTTAAATGTGACAGATTGATTGATCAAACCGTCCAATCACTGAAAACGTTGCAAAAGCAAGAATTGCTGTAAATTTGAATTACAGTTTAATTAACAGCTCTTTTTTTTATTAAACCCCGCTGTAATAATAATAAAAAAATTTTTTATAGTGAGTGCTATATTAGCTTTTTTCTTTCACATATTGATTTGCTTGCAGTGGGACATTACGTTCTAGTTTTTGTTCCTTTCGCATTCTTATTCCCAATAGGATGGTTTGGAACTGACGAACGAGGTGGAAGGTAGAAAGAAAGCTCATTATCGATTTGATCAAAAGACTACTACTGCAGTGGGCTGGTGTTAAGCGTGATATAAGTCTTCCTTGCTCGACGATTCGTCGATTTAAATACAAAATAGATGCACACAGAGAGCATCAAGTCATAAACTAACGATAAGTAAAAAGAATAGTTTTGGGGTTATCTTTGAGGGTACGGTTTGATTTAAATCATTGTTGCAAAAACCGTTCTGATTTTTAAAAAAAATTTAACTTGATTTTTAGTTTCCACCCTAAAGGGAGGTGACCGGTGGCGTCTCTTTTCTTTTTGCCTGGGAGCAGGAGGAAATGATGGACTACTTCAATGCCCAGATGCATGCCTGTGGGTTCTCCCAGGCACCGGGCAACCCTGTGTTGGCCTGCCAGATTAATCTGGACAAGAATTTTGCTTTCTTAGAGGTGAGTGCACTTGACACTGACCTTGGGACACCATGCTGTCCCACATTTGTTTTGTGTCTTTCAACTTGCTAGGGGTATAAGACGAGCAGGTGTGGAGGTCGTAAAAAAAACCATCTGTTAACAAATCTTTTTTTTTTTTTTTTTTTGCAGCTAGGCACTAAGGATTGTAATCTTTTTTGTTCAAATATGGGATCGAGCTTTTGAGCTGTCAAGTTCGGTATGCCAGATGTGGTGGAAACCTTCCGGGGCACTTGTTCTTCAGCAAAGTGTTGCGACATTTAATTCAAAAGGCTCATATCTTAACCGAGCTCTGCTAACTTTCAGCTTTGGCTGACCTTACCTTTGAGCTTTACATTCTTGTCATTGCTCAAGGCTGCAGTGATGTGATTCCTGCGCCAATTGCGCCAAACTGCGCCAGGGGCTGACCCTGCTACATCATGCTACATTTTTCCAAAATATGGCTGAACTGCGCCAAGCCTGCGCCAAAGGTCCAATTTCGGTCGCCTTTCAAAACCGAAACTAAACTGAGAACCGTAATTGAGCATGCGTGAGCTACAGGTGGCGCAAGCGGCCGCCCGACAGAAAGTACCCAGCATCAATCGTCCATCCGGTCTTGCATGGTTTTTGCCGCCGTCTCGCGCTTCGCGCCCTCGTTGCCCTCGTCGTCGCGGGAATCTCGACTTGCGTCTTCTTTTTAAAATTGTTTCAGCTATAGACGCGGGCGTGTGCGGACGTTCCGTCGCTAGTGTGCCGGGTGCCAGCATTGCCGTCATGCCGTGAAACAAAACCACGTTTTTGCACTGCGAGAGTTAGTTACTTTGTGAGCTGAAAAGCTCGCACGACCACTGTCACCGTGGTCGTGCGACGTCGGGTGTTGCCGTCCCCACGTCGTTGCAGATATGGCGCTTTCTTAACTTGTTCGTCGACATTCCTCTTGTTCAAATAGTATACTGTACTCCAAAAATCCCTCTTTAACTATAAGACTGCTTCTCGAGATATTTATTACCTAGATTTCTCTCGGCGGGCTTTTTTTCGAGAGGGACCCCGCTACGTAAAAAATCGGCCGCAAAAGAAAGTTGGTGAGGAGAAGTGAAATAAAGCAAAGAAGGCAATGTCTGCACGTTGAACTCACACAGCGCGCTTGTTTGTCTCGAGTTCAGTCGTTGCTCAGAGCGCTCCAAAAATCTTTGACCCTGGCTCGCGATGTCATGCATCGATGCGCTCAGGTTCTGTTTTTCTCTGTATTTTGCTTGTACCTCGTCTGCCGGCCTGACAAGCACGCGCCGCTGGACTGTTTTTTTTTCGTCGAATACTGGACAGTTGCATTTTGCATATATTTTGGGATTCAGTTGACGACGGAGCGGTGTGGCATTGTTTCGGTTTCGATTGAACAGCCGTTGTCTCCGCTCGCGCGACGAAGCACGTGCCACTGCAAGCCTGCTGAAGTTGCCCTCACGTGCATGTGAACATGACTGCACGACAGAGCACCAGCCGGGACGGTTGCAATCCAATGTTTTACGTTCGCTTACTTTTAACGAAAATCTGGCACGTCGGGAACCGGGAACCAGTAAAACGGTGGCGAGCATTCTTTTCGGAATTGCTCGGCAACGCCTACAACACTGTACACTTGTGGGATGTATCGGCAGTAAAAACACAAACAGCGAGTTCCGTCATAACACATCACAAAGTGCTCTTCGTTTGTCCAGCACTTAAAACAAATATTTTTATTTTTATAAAAATATTTGCTCAAAAAGCCTTTTTTTTTCCTCCAAAACACTGTTTTGGCTTGTCCAAGAGCCACTTTTGCTGCTCCAAAGGCAACTTTTGCTGCTCCAAAACACTGTTTTGGCTGCTCCAAAAGGTGCCTCAAAATGGCTTAGGCCAATCACATCACTGAGGCTGCCATAATGTTTGGTGTCCCCGCATTCTGTTCTAACCGACTGTTCCTTTTCCCCGCCGTGCAGTTTCGCTCGATCGACGAAACCACCCAGGCGATGGCCTTTGACGGCATCAACTTCAAGGGTCAGAGCTTGAAGATCCGGAGACCTCACGATTACCAGCCGATGCCTGGAATGGCGGAAACGCCTTCCGTTGCCGTTCCAGGTGAAACCACGCCCCAGCAGCAGACGCCAGCATGGCTGCTCTTTGTCCTCTGCTTCCTTTCCAGTTGCACGGACCTTCCTTTCCTTTTTTTCCTGCCAACTGTTTTTGCGCGGATTTCATTCTTTTATTCCCGAAGTTATGAGCATTGGACTGATGAGCTAGCATTGCTAAGGGGGGTAAAGTAAATAGTCGTGTGACTGCTGTTTGAAAAATATTCGCTTCAAATAGATTGTTGAATCTGAGGCTTAAATAAGATGTTATTCAACAATATTCTTAATTTTAAGACCGCTTTCCATGAAGTTGGTAAAGGGGCTGTTATGAAGGCACTCAAGTTTGGTGCGCTGAAAGTTGCATTTTAAGATGAGGCGGGGTCAAAAAGTTTCCTATTGCTGTGGAATGTCTGGAGCATGCCAGCAGTTTCATTAGTAAATATGCTCTTGTGGAAGCCCCCATTATTTTTGGCACTTAGAAAATTTAACTCTAAATACAGCATTTTGTCATATCATGAGATGCTCTTAAGATTACATGTCATGCTTCCTCAACTTTCTCAATGAAAGGCAGAAAAAGCAAATTTTGGGGCTGTGCAAAAGTGCTGATAACAGCTATATCTCATACCCAATTGCTGCGGTAGCCGAGGTGGTTTTGTCTTGAACTTGGGTTTTACTTTGCAATATGGAAATGGCTGTTTTCGTGCTCTGAACTTTTGCTACTGGGAGTTTGTCCTTTACCTCTTTTTTAGGCTATAGGCCCATAGAAAAGCTCTAGACTGCCTTTTCATCCATAATAATAATGCTGCTTTCGTAACTTGCAGGACTCCTTAGGGCCTCTGGTGTCACGGGTTCATTCCTACAATTACCGGGTTTGGGGGGGGGGGGGGGCAGACAGGAAAATTTTATTTCAGTGCAAACGGGGTGGGTTTTATCTAGGGTCTACGTCATCGCAGCCCACAGGCCGGAAGCTTTTGCAGCCACAGCTTTCTTTTTTTTTTCCTTTTTCTCCCTTTGTGCCCTAGGTTTTCAGGTGGTTCCGTGGTTCCATGGACGTCGCGAGTGTTTTCCTTCCAGTGTCCTTTCCCTCTCCCCCCCTTGGTTTTCCCTCCCACTCTTTGCTCCCAATAGATGACTATCTTTCCCCACCTTTCTCAGGAAACTGTTGGGGGGCGGGGAATGGGACCCCGGGAGACACGTGGCTTGGTTTCCTTTCAGGTGTTATTTCGACGGTAGTGCAGGACTCTCCGCACAAAATATTCATTGGTGGATTGCCAAACTATCTAAACGAAGACCAGGTATGGCTGCCTCCTTTGTCTCTCTTGCATCATTTAATTGCCATCCTTTTTTTTTTGATATTGATGCATGTTGGTTGTTTCCTTGGTACCGTCTTGGAAAACCTGTGTTCGCAGCTTTGTGCATTGTCATGTTGTGATTCACACATACGCATTTTAAGTGTGATCTGCTGCATTGCTTATGGCGCGAGAACACACTGGCACTGTCCATCAGTCAGCCCTGGAACTCTTTAGTTCTGGATATATTTTGCGCGTGATTTTGTCTTCCTATGCATCCGAAATAATCTGACATATTATAAGCAAACTGTTCTTAAAGATGGTGCGTAGATTTGATCTTGCATATACTGCAAAACCTTCGGCCAAACCTTGAAGTACTGAAAAACCTTCGGTCTCCCAAATGCTGCGAAACCTCCAGTTCAGGCATATTGCATGGGGTTCCAGGGCTACCTTATGGATGGAACCCACCAGGCGCCTAGCCAGTGGGGGGGGGCCCAGGGGAGGGGGGCCCATTGGGCCCGGACCCCCTGAAATCTACCATTTTGCTGGGGCCTCCCCTCCCCCTCATACAGCATTTTGTCATGGAGAGCCCCCCCCCCCCCCTCGAAATAAAATCCTTGCTACGTGCCTGGCACCCACGTGTCTCCTAGTTACAAGGTGTTAGGAGCAGTTGCAATGTTGTCGGTCACGCCCTGAATGCGGATGTACAAGTTAGCCTGAGGGTTTTGAGGGACTGCTTTAGATTTTACGTTTAAAACTGAAGAAGGTTCTAGTGTCGGCAGCTAAGGTAAGTTAGTGCATCGGCTTTGCCTTTTGGGGGTTCTGGTTGGACACGCATGTCAAACGAGGCTTTTCAAATTTGCGTGATTTAGTAAACCGCTTGACGAATGATCGGTGCACGGCACTGTAGTCGCTGACAGGACGAGAACGAGATCGATTGGCGAGGCGCTCTCTAGCCTTCCCGATCCTTGTTTGACCACGCCATTTGGGTGCATTCCTGCCCAAAAAAAGTCATCCGCATCCTGTTTGCTCTCCGAGACGCCACAACCTACGTACGGCTTCCCCGAACATGGCTTTTCTTCTCGTCGTGGATTACCTTTGGCTTCGAAGTTGATACGAAGAAGCCATCTTCCTTCGCTGCTCAGCCAGCAGGAAGAAGGGGGTATAGAGGACGCCAAATTTATTAATGCGCATTAACTGTCCTATGAAATGAAGCCTGCGCCATCTGCAATTGCAAAAAGACGAGCCATAAATTCCCGTTTTCTCATTGGCCGAGCGAAACGGCAACCTGATATCCCATTGGCTGCGACGCGTCATAGTTCCAAGGAATGCCATTCTATAGAGAAGCCCTCTCCTGGCACCGTGGCTCGCGCGCCAATAAAAAGGAGAGGGTGGCACGTGCACGGCTGCCTCTCTCTTCCCCCTCTTGGGTCACGTGTCATGCGTGGCCGGCGGGAAGGGGGGAGGGAGAGGCAGGATATTCGCACTTCCTTACCCGGTGCTCTACTGCATCATGTGTTCTACGCTCTGCTTTCAGCCATGTTGTGCCACGAGGCTGGCGTCTGCAAAGGAGGGCGGGGCACTGCTTGCAGGAATGCGCTTCGTGTTGGAATGCTTTGGCATTCCTACACGTGAGCAGTCTTAAGTGCCCTTGTGTAATTTTTTTTATTCTCGAACCTATATTTCTGAAAATAGTCCCTCCTCTGGCACGAGCTTCCTTCTACGGCGTTTCGTGGACCATGGGCATGCGCACGTGGTCAAAGGAAAGCGATTAATGCATGTTAGAGGCTGGGCTTCCGAAAGGGATGTACCGCTTTTCTCGTCCTGTCTGCGAGTGTAGACCCCGTTACGTCCTGCTGATTTTTAGCCAGCTGCAGCCAAGCCTAGGCAGCTGTTGCATTTTCTTTCCCTTTTTTTGGGGGGGGGGGGGGGGGGGGTACATAGCACTTTGTTTATCGAGATATTTCGAAGACATTCGCAACATCTTCGCTTATCTATGCTTTGTCTCGAGTCGTTAGTTCTTCAGCGATTTGTTTGAAGGTGATAAGGGCGGTTTCTGAGTGGTGCAGAGATTTGAGGAATTTTGAATTTGGGAAGGACATAAGTCTCGCAGTAATGTAAATATTTTCTTTTCAAGGGCATTTCGAAATTGTAAACTTTTTTTTTATCAAGCTAAAAAAAAAAAAAAAAAAGTAACAGTGAAAGGTTTTTTCAGAGAGGCCCTCCGTGGCTTTTTGTAGGTGCAGGGCGACGTGTGTGTGTGTGTGTGTTGTGCGTAGAGAAAGCCGAAAAGGCACTGTACATTATTATGATGGACTGTTGAACTGTCACAAACAAAAACATGTACTCATGCGTTTCCTTCTTTTTTCTCTTTTTTTCCTTTTTCCCCCCCATTCTTTTTTAATTCTTCGTAGCCAAGGTTAGGAGGGTGATTGCCTCTTCCTAGTTGCTAAACCAAATCTCGAGTCGCACTCCACCCTCCCCTCCGCCACTAATTGTGAGGCCCGTGGCAGGCAAGTTAAAACTACGCCCTCTCGTCGGTCCGGAAAGGGGGAAACCGAAGGCACTCGGGCGCAGGTGTCGTGAGAGCTTGTGCTACTGCCGTAGTGGGCCGTTTTGGAAGAAACAAAAGGAGTGCAACGAGCGTGGCCCAGTTCTCACTTTCGTGGGTCTTCTCTGCCTCTGTACCTCGCTGTTTGAACGGCATACCCTCAGTTTGGCGAGCTTTCGCCATCCGTTTTTCTAGTGAGGATATAATCTGTTGCAGGTTCAGTTGAGCGGGACAACCCCCTCCCACAAAGCTCTCCATTCGCCACGATTGATGCTTGGCTGTACTCCTTAACTCAAGGGCTTGCTCTGCTAAACTGGAAAGAGTTTAGGGCTCTGTGGCTGGGGGTTGTACTGCTGTTCCTAATTTGCAGCAGATCGTAAAGCCGATGAGATTTTTTTTTAAGGAACACTAAAGAGTGGTACAGGCGTCTTACAGTGTTTTGGTGTATAAGCACCGGAAGATGCTTCTATTTCTTTTTGCATAATTTAATCTAGAAAGACAAATAAATTACTTGCTGGGCTTGTCTAAAAATAAATGCAGAAAAAAGGCCAATGTTTTAGATGCATCATCTATTCACTTGAAGTGATGGGTACTCTGTTGTAAATTGCAAGGAGTAGTTTCCTGTTATTTCGGTTCAGTTCGAGTGGTGAGGCTGGCTGGGGACTGAAATAATTTTATGCGTCTTGTACACTCCGTAGCCTTCCTTGACAATTTGGGAGGAGACGTTTCCAAAGGAGAGGTTAGAAGGCCGTAGGAACTCGTGACACAAAACGCGGCGTTAAAGGTCGACCTGCAAAGTATTTCTCAACCGGGGCAAAAATCTCGCCACCCTTTCCATTTCCCCATCTCCTGCCGCTATCTTAACAATGGCTGCACCTTGAGGCCAGATGAGCCTGGAGCATGTCCCAGCTCATCCAGCCCCAAGATTCAGCAACAAAAGCAGTCCCCCCTCCTTGGAGTTGAGAAGGAGGGGAGTGGGAAAAGGGAAGGGTGGGGAGGTGGGATTTTCACCCTGGTTGAAAAATGTTCCGCAGGTCGGCTTTTAAGGAATGCGAACATAGTGCAGGAATTTAGCGAAGCGGTCTGCAGCGCGTCTACCGATGAGGCTCTTCAGAACCAGGCATTTCTCAGGTGGACGGTAAGCACCACACCCGACCATCTGCCCGAGGGAGGATTGGATTTCTGTGTTTTTCTCGCTGGCCGCGTCTTCAGTTTCAAAGTGAATTGGCACGGGAATCTCGTTGACGATGAAGGTGGAGTCGCCAGCAGAATGAGAATGGCAGGGAAGGTCTTCCAGCTTCCCCACCTACAGCGCGAGCTTCAACCCTGCATGCACAGCCAAGGCATGCCTAAATGCAGTGGGTGCACGCCAGAGGCGGAGCATCCGAAACAAACGCCCTGTCGTCCTCGTTCTGTCGGTGACCTTACGACGTCTTCCAGCTGTCTCTGATGGTTCCCCCTCTCCTCCGCTTCCCCCTTTATTCGCAGGTGAGGGAGCTTTTAATGTCCTTTGGGCAGCTGCGTGCATTCAATCTCGTGAAAGACAGCGCAACGGGACTCTCCAAGGGGTACGCGTTCTGCGAGTATGTGGAGGTCACCACCACAGACCAGGTGAGTGTTCGCCCTCCGTCTCGGAAGCGCGCATCGTGCCGGGTCTGCTCACCCTCGCTCTCCGACTCGCAGGCTATCATGGGACTTAATGGAATGCAGCTTGGAGACAAGAAGCTGATTGTACAGAGAGCAAGTGTTGGTGCGAAGAACAGTCAAATGAACGTGAGTAGAGACGGTTTGCTGCTGCTTTTGGCGGGTATTTCCGAATCCGGCGAGGTCTTTGGGTTTTTGCTGTGGGGTGCGTGCGATTGTCCATTGCGCTTTGTTTCGGTCTATGCTGTAGTAGTGCAGTCTACAGTGTGAGTGCCTCGCCTTGAAGTGCTAGTCGGTGGTAATGGTAAGGGCTGGCGGTACTATGAGCGCATGCTTCTGGGCCCGGTCTCACCGCTACTTTGAAATGGAGCGCGTAATGCAGCCGCTGTTGGCTTCCTGCATATGGGTTGTAGATGTGGGCAATTCGGATACTAACCCTTGTTGGCAAGGTGAACTCGTATCTCGAGGCCCGTAGGTAATTTTCAGCGGAGCAGCGATTTCTCCCGACTTGCATCGAAAGTGGGGCAGTGCGTGCGTGGCACACAGAAGGGAGGCAAGGTGCCTTCCCCCTCTGGTGGAGGCATGCTCAGTTTCTTGGTATTCTAAGATTAGAAGGCTTTGCTGCTCTCGGTGCAGAGTGGCTCTTAACAGCCAGTTCCTTGTCAGAGAGCCTTTTTTCGTTTTCAAGGCTACTTGCTCTGATCTCTCAAATTTCAATATGCTTTTGTCACTTCTCACAAGTCGTCTAAAAATCTGCACTCCTGAGTTTCTTAAGTTTTTACTTTACACCTATTATTTATTTTTTTATTTTTTATTTTTTTGTGAAGTCACATTTCTAGGAAGTCTTGTCTACTTTTAATATCCTGAAGGATGCTATTTTGCTCCTGTAACTAAATTCTTTATTTCTTCGGAATAATTTATTTCTGACGTGCTGGTACCACCTAAAGTCTAGCTTTCTGAATTTTCAAAATGTTTATCTGTTTCCCTTTTTGGCATCAAATCTTGGTTCAGGAAAACTATCATTTGATGTGGCACCTGTTTTTGAAGTGTCTGTGGTGATATTTCTTAAGGAATGGGCCTGTGAGCTTAGTCTGCATTTTCAAAGTCTTTTGTTATAAAAAACAGCAATATCTTCAACCCATGCATGTAAAAAAAAAATGTATTTTAATTTAAAATGGTATAATTTTTGTAATCACTTTCCATAGCCACATACACAAAATTTATACTGTATATATGATAAAAAAAAAAAAATTGACCATTATCATTATCTTTTCTGAACAATCGTTCCTAAAGTAGTGCAGTGTTTATTTTGTGTACTTCACATAACTCTTTAAATGATAAACTACTTCGAAAACAAAAGCAATGATGTTTCGCCCACGCGGCTCAAGTAACCGAGTTTACACTCCTCTTCATTTCGGGTCTTCATACATTGAATTTGTAAATAGCATAAAAACTCTCGGAGTCATTTTTTCCGAAGACATGCTCTGGACAAATCACGTAAAACATCTCTGCTCCAAATTAGGCAAAGTCGCAGGAATTATGAACAAGCATAGGCACGTTCTTCCATCCAGCGTAAAAAAGGTTTTGTACAATTCCTTAATTTATTCTCATTTATGTTACTGCACCATTATCTGGGGTAACATGTCTTACTCAAACTTGCATATAATACACTTATTGCAAAAAAAAGTGCTAAGAATAATAGGTAACGTTCCCTGCATACATCATACGGATTCACTGTTCAAGTCATACAAGATTATTAATATTCACCAAATCTATAACTATCGTTTAACGATGGCGTATAAATATGCGGCATTAGGACGCTCAAATGTAATTCTTCAACTGTCTGATTTAAAAGAAAAAAGTGATTATTATTCATCGAGCAATCACCAGCCCTGGCAAATTCCGAAATGTAGAACAAGCTATGGGAAACAAAAAATAAGTTATGCTTTACCGTCTATTCTGAACGAATATTTTGTTAAAAACGTATGTACTCCGTCGTAGCTGCCGAATGGGGGGCCCGGAGCCTCGTCAAGCTGCATTTATGCAGCTCTTTCTTCGGCCTCCCATTCACCACTTGTATTTGTGGTGAAAAATAAAGTTTGTAGTATCGTATCGTAACTTAGAACTTTGTATGACAATCTTTTTCCCAGCTATGAATATGCCCTGCAAGTTTCATACGAATTAAGCTAATGTTTAAGAAGTTTGCTTTCCTGAGTAGTATCTTCTCTTAAAGGGAACTGACACCCCCAAAAATTGTTCTTTTATTTTTTGCCAGGGGATTCATTTGGTGTCAGAGCACTACCAATCAATATTTTACTGCAGTGTCACATATATTTTTAATAAATTAAAAAAATGCAGCTGCTCGAAACTGACACTGAAGGGAGGAAAAAAATATAAAGGAGAAGAAAGTTACCAGAAATCACGTGGCTGTGCAGCCCTATTTCTTCTTTTTTTTCAATCAACATATTTGCAACGTTTTAGAAGCCACAAAAAATGGGTGTCTTATTTTCAGTCTATTTTTAGTATTGAGTGTGTGCCTTCGATGACCCACGACTCGGATTATCTTTGGTGGTTGCGTCTAAACCATAGAAAACGACTCGTGGCCACCGAAAAGAGAGTGAGCGTGACTCAAAACGGCCAGTTCTCGATCGGCGGTTTTCGGGCGGAAAGAAAACGAATTTCGAACCGTAAATTGTCATGTACAAATAAAACCCTCGGCGAGCATAAATACCCTGTCAGTGTCCCTTTAACATTATAATTGCTGTTTCTGCAAGCTCTGTGTGAATATGGGCTGGAGATTGCACGGTGGTTGCCACTCCTGCCATTACCTCAGTCTTTCCTCTTTGTCGTGTCTATCTTTAAAAGTGTTTGTGCGTGTGTGTGTCTGTGCAGCAAGCACCAGTACAAATCCAAGTACCAGGCTTACAGTTGCAAGGGGGCGCCGGGCCTCCGACTGAGGTTCTGTGCCTCATGAACCTTGTCTGCCCGGAGGAGTTGAAGGACGAGGAAGAGTACGAGGACATCTTGGAGGACATCCACGAGGAGTGCAACAAGTACGGCGTCGTCAAGAGCATCGAGATCCCTCGCCCCATCGAGGGCGTCGACGTGCCGGGATGCGGAAAGGTGCGTTTCCCCACCACTTGAGGTCGGCACGCTGCCATACAGTGGACGGGGCAGGCATTGGCCATTCGCACTTGCTCCAACGCCACTAAACTTCTTATTGGACGCCCTAAAATGTCCCACAAAGAACGTGAATATGTTCATCAACGAGGCGATTGTACGAAATGATGATGAAAAGCTGTCATCCAAGGGGATAGTATGATGGAAAGTGCCCTTTTGGGGGTACAACCTTCAGTGATGAAAGTTTATGCTTGCCAGTACTTTGAGTAAAACACGCAAAATCGTTGGCATCATGTGGTGCTGACCGTGTTATCCTTGACATGCTCTTTTATGGGGGACGTGATGGAAGTGTCCCACAGTTCTCGAATAACGATGCACTTGGTACTCCTGAAACTTGTAATGCCAAAACTTGTTTCTCACTCAATTGAAGTTTTCTTCTTTCGGTTCATTGTGCAACAAGCTACAGTATTTATCTCCCGCGTACCAGTTTCATAGCTTTTTGTGAAGCACTGGCGATTTCACAGAGCGTATACAGATTGTTCCTTGGGATGTCGGTGTTCAGTCATGTTTTTCGGCATCGCAAAGGACTGAGGCCGTCTTTTATCTCCCTCGCAGGCCTTTGTCGAGTTCAACTCGGTCATCGACTGCCAGAAGGCGCAGCAGAGCCTGACCGGACGCAAGTTCAGCAACCGCGTTGTTGTCACATCCTACTTCGATCCGGACAAGTACCACCGTCGGGAGTTCTAGGAATCCCTCCGGATCCGGCATCCATCAGGCCCTGGGCTCTCCTCTTTTTTTCCTCGTCATCCCGTTTTATTCACTTGCAGCGACCTTGACTCCGCATGAACATTCGTCTCGCTTCCTCATCCCCGAGAAACGATGACGTTTGGTTGGATTTCTGCTCCATCGGTTTCACTGGTTATTGAATGCTGTACTCCAATGTGTACTAAAAGCTCTCGAACCGCGGTCGCTACGAAGGCGATCCACGAAGAAGTTGCGCGATTTTCGTCGACAGTCCTTAGGACGGAGGACAGACTCTTGCGAATGCTGGGTGTCGATAAAGCGATCACGGCGTCGCGACGAATCCCCAGCTTCGTTCACTAGCACAGTTTGTCCGATGACCGCCCCTTTTTTTTTTTCTTGCACTTTGAATTGATAAGGTTTGTGCAAGCTGGGACTGAACAATAGATGTTCATAAAAGTTTTTTTTTTTTTTTTTTTTTTCTTAAATGCCATTCCGATTTTTTTTTTTTCTGTGTGTAAGTTTGTAGCACCAGTTTACGTAACTTTTGCAAAAAAATATTTTTTTAATTTTTTTTTTTTTTTTTTTTTTTTGTATTTGGCGGCTGTGTATTATGGTACTGACAAATAAACTGTGTATGTCCACATCTTGTCTCTTGGTTGTTTGAGATCGGTGCGTTTTCTGTGTTGCGACTGGGATTATACGCAGTTTTGCGAGATTCGTCCCAGGAGTATGACGATTATGAATGTTGCAGATGCTCAATTACAGTTCTCTTCCTTTTTTTTTGTTTTATTTTCATGGAAGCCCACCCACCACCCATGGTTTATTTGCGGATGCAAGTAGGATGTGGTGAAGCAACTGCCGACACATTTAGTAGAGGTGTCTGATGACCAGAGAGCTTGATGTGCAATTCGCCATTCACGGTTAAATTTATATATTGTTGCTAGAACCTGAAGTGGGCGTTTTTCTTACTGTTTTCGTAGAAGCAAAGGTGCTTTGCGTGTTCAATTACTTCGACGGGTTAATGAATGAGCATGCTACTACAACTGCGACAATATCCGACTAGCAAAACCCCTGGCTCTCTTTCCTGGCACAGTTGTCCCCAAAGCCTTGTCTCCCTGGAGCCAAGTTTAGATCTCGAGTCTCCATCGAAAATAGTTCGCTATGGCGCGTAAGCACGTGACGTGGTGTTCAGAGCTGCCCGCGTTTTCGAGCAGATGCGCAGAGGTACTAGTGGAAGTCTATGATGAAGAAATTGCAGAAGACCCCATCGTAAGTGCTAGCGCATTTTTTTTTTGTATGTTTATTGTTCACGTTCGCGATTTGCACGTAAAGCTACAAGCTCTGCTTGAGCTAGTCCTGCAGCGCGAACATGCAAATGACTCCGGTTGGCCGCATGCTTGCTGAAACGGGTGACATTATCTAGCCGTTGATTTTCAAGCAATTTATTTAAGATACCTTGCAAAACGTAATAAATCATTACAAAAAATGAAGGGGAAAAATTCCGAGGAATATTGTATTTTATTTACAGACGCATGCTCTTAGAGCCGCGAGAGTATCGTGAAATAAAACTTTGTTTGCATCACATTGCTGGAAGACCCAAATGATTGCACTAATTCATATTTAATTGTGTTATATCTGAAAGTGCTTCGAGGTGAACGCTGCGACGGTTTTATTCGCGTACACGGCCATATTAAAACACCCGAGGTGTCGTTACGTTTAATTCACTTGGCACGGAACTATCTATTACGAGTCGCATCTTACTTTATTCGCGTAGACGCCGCACTTATACACAAACTGCATTTTAAAGTCGCATATTCTGTTGACAAAACACGGTGCTTGGCTCCCATTCCCAAATGCAAGAAGAAACAAAAAGCGAGACGACGACACTTTCAGGTTCCAGCCTGACGCAACGGTAAAAAAGAAATACAAAAGGACGACGAAACAATCGGTATAGTTGTGTAAACGCATTTGCCCGCCTTTTACGTCCAAAGAAGTAACGCAAAAACTTCACCAACCATCCGGTTGTCGGTAGCAGACGACGCCTGCACGTAGTACGCGCACGGGCGCGCGCAAATCCGCAACGGTTTGCGAACACGGGCGACTCTCTAATTGGTCCGTTCGCTTTTTCCCGGATGTGACGCTTTTCTCCACCTCCAACTTCCGGTTTCCAGCTGACAGCAACATCTCGCGCTGCATCGCGCGCGTCGGATATCTCCTCCTCAGTCAGTGGGGGAGCGAGCGAGGAAAGGTGGTGGCGGCAGTGGCTGTTGTGTGTGCGTGTGTGTGTTTGTGCCTGCGCCGCTGTCGACGGTGATCTTTGACAAGTGGTTCTCAACCCCTATTCGTCTCGAAGTGTCCCTCGAAAAGCCTTCCTTCCTTCTGAGCGCGGTGGTGGGGCTCGTACCGATGTGAACTTTTTTTCCCCTGAACTTTCTTTTCATCTTGAGGCACCAGCCCCGCCGCCTGAGCCAGCGACCATGCGGGCCGGAGACGTCCTGGCCGAAGAGCAACTGCTCAACGGCCGCAGCATGCTCGGATTCGAACACACGCTCGTGAGTAAACCAGTCCCAAGTCTCTCGCTCTTTGTTCCCTTTGGCGGTTTGAAAGCAAAGAGCCGTCGGAATATTGGAAACAACAAAGCCAGTGCCAGCCAGCCATGTTTCGAGTAGTAGCGCCGACAAAAACGTAAAAAAAAATAAAGAATAAAAAGGGGCAAGATCGGAAGGAAAGGACGAAGTTGTCTCAAGTTCTTTGCGCTTCGCCGGTTGGAGTAGAGGAAGTGGCAGTAGCCTTTTTAGTGTGACGCGCTATCGGGCTTCGAAAAATAAGATAAGAACGGTGATGTAAGGATGTTTCTGAAGGAGACGACGTCGACGCTCGAGATTGGACTTGTACGTACGTCTTGGGACGGCCTGCAAACGCAGGTTGCCGCGGCCGCCGTCGTTGCGTGATACTAAGAAAAAAAACTTCTGCGTTGCCCGCGCGCACGTGTTCCTGCTATTTCGTAATTGTCGGCGAGGGATTTACCGTCTCGCTCACGTTAATGAGCGATCGATCTTTTGTGATCGGGCAGTGGGAGGCCCTAATCATTCATTTGTGTCGGTGTGTGACTCGTTTATGTTAGCCAACTGAAATCTTTTCTTCTGTCATACAGTAAAAACGGCTGTATATTTTTCCTTGTTTAAAAAAAAAAAAAAAAAAAAAAAAAAGCTTCTAGAGTGCGTTTTTTTTTTTTTTTTTGTCTTTCACTTTAAAAAGTGAACAACAATCGCACAGCTTGTTCCCACGTAGCACGAGAACGTTCTGAGAACATTCCGGGAATGTTCAAGAGAACATAGACAACATGCTTGAAATGTTGGAAATTTACGTAAGAACATTCTATTAACGTTGTCAGAATATAGCGCAGGCACTTATCGCTACATTCGGGGAATGTTTTCAAAGGGATATTCTTAAAACGTTCTGAGAACGACATAGAACATTACCAGTATATTCAATCACATGCAAATATCCTAACAAGGTTCTCAGAACATCCCAAGAACTTCTGCAACTTTCTTGAAATGTTGCAAATTTATGCAGGGACATCCTTTCAATCTCCCCGGAACGTGCGTGGGTACATCCCTACATTCAGGGAGCATTTTCTGAGGCTTATGTACAAAGGTTTTACAATTACGGTTTGATTAGGAAACAGTACTAATCAGCCGCACTACATATATAGATGATGGTAAAGCTGCTTCGCAGGGCGATGGATATTTTTATTCAAAATATATTTTTAGAAAGCGGAGGCACAAGATTACCGCTTTTCCTGCTCACCAGCCCGAGCACGTACTAACGACAGTTTACTCCTACCTGTCACTTGTCAACTTCTTTCATTCAAAACGTGCTACGTACATGACCGATTACTCACTCCGAGCTTAGAACAGATACACATGGCATCCCACACTCAACTGCAGGATAAACCCTTTCCAAAGTGTTCTGCCCCTCATGCGAATAATAGGGTCTATTCAAAACTGCACCTCTACATACGCAGTGAGTGCCAAGTTTATTATGAAGTTTTGAAAACCATTGTTTTTCTCCTACACCTTATATTACATTCCTCGGTAGATTCATATAAGATAAAACTGATCCCTTATGCTAAGTTTCAAGAAACTCCACTTAATTTGAATATTTTTGGCACAAAGTGGCATACAGTGGATGGTGTTTCGAACCACAGGTTGCGTGAGAGCTCCGTAAAGTTGGCTTCACCTGCGAAAATTCTAGGAACGTTCGCAAGCGAACGTTCAAATAATGTTGCACATATGAATATTCGAAGGCGAATGTTCCGAGAACATTAGGCATACGAATGTTCGCTAACGAACGTTCCTAGAATGTTGAGCAGCTTAACTTGTGGGAAATGTTCGCATTCGAACGTTTTTTAGAACGTTCTGAATGGTGTTATAACGTTCCTTCAACATTCAGAACACCCAGGGAATGTTTGCACGACATTGGGTGCTACGTGGGTTGGTTAATTGAGGTAATCTCTTCATCGCTGGCTGTGGCATTTCGTTTCTTTTACCTCGAAGGTATCTAGCAATACATGCGAGGAAAAGCTAGAAAGTGGGAGAATCCAGAATATATGTGTATGTATGGATGGATGGATGTAGTCCATACATACATCAGTATTGTATTCTGATGTATGTATGTAATCCATACACACATCAGTATTCAGTATTGTTACTGCAGACCTAAGGCTCATATGCTGGTGTACTTAAGAGGTCCATTCTTGAAGATCCTAGTTTATTAAAATGTCCTCGTTATTTCAGTGCGAGCCAGACGAGCGTGAACACGAGCTTGAAAGTACATAAACGTTATTCGAGTTTCATTGGAGGTTTCTCCATTTGGTTTGCGTGTTTTTGAGGTAATTACTTGAATCTTTGCGTCCACCCAATCACTTTTTTCTACTGCATATATATTGCCATATCAGATTCGGTGAACCGATTACAAAGGTCGTCAACTTACCTTTGTCTCCAGTCCACGCTTCTTCTCGATGCATTGTTGCAACTTGCGTGAGGCAGGACCGCGCGGCGGCTTTCAACAGCGCACTTTTCAGACCTCGGCACCGATAGTGTATTAGACGCTTGGGTGTGGCCTGCAACATTTGCCTCCTTTCAATCAGAACATTCGGCTACCTGGGATCATGAGAAATTCTTAAGTATACTTAACGTAACATATAATACCACAAAGAAAATAATAAAAATAACGCGGTTTGAGGTTCGTCTTTTGAAATTTATATAAAGACTTGTTGCATGGCAGGGATGGGCAAAATACATGCAAATATGTATCGAAATACAAATACAAAATACTTCGCCAAATATGTATTTCATTGCAAATCTAATTACATTTCCAAAAAAATCATTTAAGTACAAGATACAAATACAACCAAACGTATTTGGTCTCCTCCAAATACTTTTCCAAATACATTCCTCAAAATTTGCGTCAGCGACTTCAGGGCACCTGCAATGGGTTTCTAGGTATCTCATTTTAATTTTGCATCGCACATATGGGAGTTAGTGTGCGAGGCTCTAGTAACGTAATCGAAATATAATCACAAGAAAATGTAATTTGCTTAAACGTAATAGGTGAAAAAAGTACAAAGCTTCCAGCAGCTTTTTTTTGTCAATTACATTTTGGTATAGACCAACAAAGAACCGAGACGACCAAGACGCGCAGCACTAGCCAGAGAATTTTTTTATTGTTGCAACTCGCACCACTTACGAAAATCTGGACGACGAAAAACATTTAGAATGTTCCAGGCAAACATATGAATGGAAATCACGCTGGAAAGCATCACAAGTTGTCACAGGCACTTATTTAGCCTGTCTGCCTGTGAACGTCAATTTCGTCACTATTCTTGACCTGGAGTAGCATCGTAATCACAAAGTCACTAAACGCTTGTGCTTGATTGAGAGACACTGCATTCGATGCAGAACGTCGCTTTCTTCCTGCTCTGGACACGTCTTAGGATGAGCAAAATGAGTCGTGACAATACATTTGAGGGATGTATTTTCGCCCACAAAATTGTATTTAATTACAATTGTATTTGAAATACCCACGTTTTAGTATTTAAATACACACGTCAAATACATTACCCAATTTGTGATGAAATTCAAATGCAAAATACACAAAGTATTTGAAATACGTATTTCAAATACTTGTATTTGAAATACTGTCCATCCCTGTTGCGTGGTGATCCTTCGTGTTTGTTTTCCCGCCAGTCACCGAAGTGTACCGTCTTCGATGTCTTCATATCCATCGTCAATCGTGACCTTCAGAAACGAAAAAAAAAAAAAAAGATGGAAGGAAACAGACGATCTGAAGCGTCATTATGAGTAAAGCACAGATTGGAAAGCGACGAACAACACAACATAATCTCCTCTGGTTTTAAAACTGTCGTGTTCGCTTTTTTTTTTCTTTTTTTTTTTTTCTCGTCTCGGGTTGATCTTATGTCACAAACGGGCAGCTCTTTCGCACACCAATGCCTGCGAGGTCTTGATCACGTGGCTTTGTGACTGGAAGAACCAGTTCTGGGTGTCACAAAAGGGAACAACTATTACCGCATACGTGGTGGACCTCGCAGCGCATGCGGCTGACACGTTAGGGTACGGGGTTCGAACCCCTCCAAGCCCAGGATTTTTTGTAAATTTTAGCAAACGTTGCTTTTCTGGAAAGTTAAGTCGATCAAAAACCAAGCAAAAAAGAAAAGAAAAAGTACGGTTTCTCACGGAACGTTAATAATTTCCTCATTTGTGCGTTGTATGATGAAATATGTAGCTGCACCTTAGATTAGCTTTACGTTACTTTACCAAGACGTACACACTTTCCAAGCGCCGAAAGCATCATTGCAGCGAGCCGCCTCATGCCAGTCGTCCTTCCGTCGCAGGATGCGTTGTACCTTTCTCTTTAAGTCAGCTTAAATCAGTTTTACACCCTTCTATTATTTTTATTCGCGCCATCATAGCATTCGGTCTGTCGTTTACTGAAACAGTTTAGCGCTTATTTAGGGAGATTTTGCAGTTGGAACATTTTCTATCTGCGCTCTGCCACAAGTTATCTGTTCTAAGACGATGGTCACTGGTGCCTTCTGCTTGTACCTTGGCACAACAGCAGGGATGCAAAGTCATCTTGACATCGAAGCAGTGTCACACATTGAGAGCTCATGGACACTCGTGTCGCTTTAACGAAATGTGGACAAAAGGTGAACTCACGAAGATTTCTTGGGGGGAGAAGATGAAAGCAAGGTCGTCCCATCGATTATTTATTTCGAACCAATTGTTCTCTATTTTATCTCAAGGGCATTGTGCAGCGTTGTGGGAACTTGGCCGCCAGCTTGCGAATTTATAATGTGCGTCCCGTTTACACACACACACACACGGTGTTTCCGCGGAGGCTTTCGAATATTCCTAAAAAAATATGCCGTTCGAGATGAAAAGAAACTCTTTGCGGGAACAAACTACGGCGTCAAGCAAAATAATACTAATTAGCAAGATAAATTACTTAAATTTACTAATTCATTTTT